TGAAAATGAAGTAACTTACATATCTTTAACGGCAAAGGTGAGGCCATTCAATGGAAGCTCCTGAGATGAGGAGCTTGGTTGGAGAATCAATTTCTCCATGAAAGCTCCATAATCAGAGTCCATTGCCATCCCTCTCTCGCTCCTCTCTCTCTATCTTCTCTCTCTAAGCTTTTCCACTCCGCCTAGTGTTAAACGGATAAAGTGATATTACTAAAGTCAAGGAACTGAAGGAAGCATACACACGACACTCAATGTTTTTGTTTTTTTTTGTTTGGTGGTGGCTATGGTTATTTAATTCAACATGGCCTTGGAAACATCATTTACCATCAGAATTTAGGAGTCGGTATTCGTATTGGCGGTGTTTGCATCGTGTAGTATAAGTATATTGTTATATGGGTCCATACAAATACAATATGATTGTCTTTTATATTAAGAAAATTTAACAGAAACTTGACGCGATTATTATAAAAATAACATAATATTACATAAATAGGTGAAGATTTGATAGTGATATAACACATTGAACATAAATAAGACACAATTATTTTTTATATCAACACGTTTAATTATCATATGAATTCGATTTGACATAATTAAATGATTAAGCTAACTTAAATTCAGGATGAAATTGTGTTAGCTGTCAAATATTACCTGTTCTTCATATACAAACTGATTCACTCTATTGGCAATTTTGACCCTATATGATAATATGATGGGTTAAATGCAAAAAAGTCCTGATGAATTATGGTTAAATTTGCAATTAACCCCTGCATTTTTTAAAATACAAGAACCACCTAAATTATGCAAAAAAATTACAGATCACTCCATCCGGCCAAATTTCGGTGACGGTTAAAAATAGTTGACTTATTTTAAAATACCATACTACCCTTGGACGCATGAAAGGACTAAAATGCCCTTAATTTCCATTATCCAAACACAACCTTATCCTTCCGTCTATATACATATACAGAGAGGGAGATATAAAAACACTGTTCATCATCTTCCTCGTATAAATTAAAAAAAAAAAAAATTGCTACAGTCGAATTTAACCTTGTTGGCCAAATTGCACCCATCTATGCATATATATATATGTATATATAGCTCGCTCATCTCTGTAATTCTCCTTCTGTCCACACACACATATATATATTTATATCATACTTATGATTGCTGAGGAATAATCAATCAATTGAAGAGAGAGATCAGAGAGATCGAGCAATGGTGAAATTCACTTTCCTGATTACTCTAATTGAGTCCAATTAAAGGGCATTCAAGTTTTGGGTTGCAAGAATAGGAGATCTTGTGGCCGCGCGAATCTGTTGCTGGGATCGGGGTGGTGGATGTCGTCTGAGGAGTGGATTTCCCTAATGGGTATATACTACACGATTTACCCATCTGCAATCCTTGATTTTCAAAATTCTTGATGCTGATCAATCCAAACACCTTATAACCTACCCCACACCCAAACACAACGTCTCTTCTCTCTGTCGTCTCTCACACTCTCACTGTCTATATATATATATATATTTCGTATCTCCTCAGTCCTCACTGAACCTCTCTATCACTATTTGTATATATATTTGCGCGCAACTTATTCGACCAAAAACAAAATATAATAAATAAATAAATAATATATAATAATAATCTATGCAACTTAGCTTAACCAATTTTCCTATCAATCGCAGGCGTGCACAAGTCGTCGTCGCCAACGCAGGATCCATTATCGCTGTCCCAGTCTCTGATTTGCGCCGGAATCGTGACTTCTCTAGTCGTTGTTCTGCACCGCCGAGCTCTCCACCAGCCGAAATCTCCACAACCGTGCTCTACACCGCCGAGCTCTCTCTCGCTCGCGGGCTGCCATCACCTTCAACCCTCTCTCTATCTCGCTCGGCTGCTACGATGATGATCAGTGCAATTTTTGGCGGCAACAGCGTATGGTTTCCGATGACGAATGAACGGTGCATATATATTTGTGTGTTTATACAAAACTGTTAATAAGTCAATTTAGGAAGGGCAGCATCGTCTTTTTCCTTTTCAGGTGGCTTGAGCGGCCAAATTGCAACAAATTGAAAATTGGGGGAAGTTTCTTGTAGTTACGTCATAGTTTGCTTTCTATTGCCAAATCCTCGTTCTCTACAAAGATAGGATTCGATAAATTTGAATGGCATCCACGGAGAAAAAGAAAGGGGTGTACCGAACCACCGGTAGTAGTAGTTAAAAATAAAAATTAGATATGATTAATCCAAAGCAATAATATAGAAAATGCGGACACATTTATTTTATTATTTTTTTAGTCATGAGGTATAGATACATGTTGACAAATCTAATGTCTTAAATTTTGATTTTGATTTTTTTATCTGATTATTCATTATTTGAAACGCTTTTATTAAAATCTAACGAAAATAAAAAATTAGACCTAGAACTTTGTAGAATAATAAAAATAAAAAATATATATTATACGGTATAATAATATACCTAAAAAATGAAACCTCTGGTCTGGGTTTAGGTTGGAATTGTATTTTGGGCCTCAAGTGGGCATTCACTAATTTAAAACTTAGGCTCGTGATATTTTTCTCAGAAACAAAAGAAGTAAGCCCAACCCAATTAAAGCTAATCTCTTAATTTTTATTTTTTTGTATTTTTTTCTTTTTGTTTTGTCTGATTGTACATGGTTTGAAATACTTCACAACTGAGTAGTTTTAAACTTCTCTTAATACTTTTCTTTGAATACTGTGATTTTAGTGTAATTTTAAAATGTAATATGAGTTAATTAAATAAATAATATAAAATTTTAAAAACAAAAAATAAACTTTTAACTTTAAGTTTCAAATTAGTAATTTAATTCATGATAACACCAATCAAATGAGAAAATATTAATTTTTAAAATATAATTTTTTTAGGTATCCCTATCATAATTGTGTCATATTTTTTTAAAAGATTTTGTCTTATTGCGCGGCCATATTGTGTTATACCTTTATTCCATGTTAGATATGTGCGTGCTTTCTCAACTGACAATGTATCAAAATTTTAACTCGTGAAATTTTTTAAAACTTTTGTAACAAATGACTAGTGAGTATTTAAATTTTAATAAATCTCTCATTATTTAATCCGTGGAACTCCTTCTGAATTGATATGTATAGTTCTACGGTTCTCTATTGAACATGACATGAAGATAGAAAAGTGCTAACTTATCAATGATTCTACTATATATTAGGGTAAATTATAATGTCCTTCCTTAAAGTTTTGATAAATGACAATGGATCGTTTGACCTAATGTATACTAAGATCATCAAAATCTATGGTTAGTATGTGAACCAACTGAAACTAAGACTGTTCATGATCATAAGAGAACAGATCATTGCCTTTAGTTAAAACTGAATTTGCTATTTGGTCTAAGTAATTTAGGGCACGTGCCTAGCTTGACGTGCTCCTTTCTACAAAGAATTACCAATAGATTACTCACTAGGTTGATCCTGATTGTCTCTAATTAAAACCGAACTCTTTTTGAGTTTCAGTAAACAAACAGAAATGAATATAAAGTCTCTCATAAAAAAAATAAAAAAGAATGATAAATGAACCGAGCAAGGGCGGAATCAACATTTTTGAATGGGGTGAGCTAACTTTGGATTGGACTAAGTTGGGATAGACTATCATTACCTTTTTTTTTTTTTTTTTTTTTTGTGGGTTTGATTTCACAAGCGTTTAGTCCGTGTTCATTTATTTAGCCAAAAAAAATCTCAATCTCAAACTCAAACAAAAATCTTATATTTATTTATTAATCTAATCAAGCTCAAACATTTCTCTACTCGGCTTGTGTAATGGGTGGGCACTTGTCTATTTATTCAAAAGTTCAAACTGTCAGGTAGTATTGCATACCCATCCATTTATACCCAATCACTTTTTCATTCGGATTCGATGTAAGACAAATGGCCCTTATTACATTCTCCCCTACCTAAACTCGCATTGCCCTTGTTGCGGCTCTGGCCACCTTGCCTTCCTAGGTTGGCTCACCAAGACACCTTTTGTGCCGGGAGTTTGGCGTGACACTGGATCAAGAATTGGGTTTGGCTTTGATCCAATTGTAACGAGTAGACATTTGCCTATTTACTCAAAATCTGAAATTATTGAGTAGTGTTGCATACTCATCTATTTATACACAATCACTTTTTTTATTAGATTGAGACAAATGACTTTGATTACAGCTTGTTTGTTGGGAGTCATTTTGAAATCGTGAAATTGATATATAAATGCAGTAAAATTTTAAGCATATGCTTACCCTATGTACACTAGGCTCATTAAATCATTTTATTAACATGTAAAATCCAGCCCAACCCAGCTAATATAATGTGTTTTTATCACTTTTAAAATAAGTGCTGAAGCCCATTTACCCAACTCCATTTTGTATTATATACAGTAGCCGTTTCAACGGTTTTGATGAAACCTTTGGGCTAGTTGGGCCTGCTTTTTTCCTTTTGGGCTTCTAATGGATTGCCCCTTTGTATTAGGGAAAATAAAAAATAAAAACCTCTTATTCTGATATTGGAGTCCAAAATCACCACCAACAAACATCCAACCTTCCTTGGGTTGTTTGGTTTGCAAAGTAGATCATACCATTTTCGTATGCGATCATATATAAGAGAAGTCCACTTGACTACTAACACCAGATTAACATTGCAAACCATAAACTTTCCAAATCCAAAATATTGCGCAAGGAATATTAATCAAGGCTGCTTATTATTTTATATACTATATATTAATATTTAAAGTAAGAGTAATGACAAAAAGTTTGACTATAAGACACATTTCACTTTATTTATGTGAGTAGGAGAGGTTATAAATTCGAACTCCAAACCATTGACTTTAAAGCAAAGGTCACACCCATATATATCTAAATACAGACATGGAAAACAACAACAGCGTGCAAAACCACCAAACCATAGTCGAGATCGGGAAAACAAACAACCCCTTACAACAGAGTCAGCAAGGCTAAACAAAGCCACCTAAGTTCCTCCCACATTAATACTAGCTTGGGAAACAAGATATTTCGTTGTATGGGGCACCGGTACTTGCTGAGTAAGCTTGGTGGTGGATATAATGTGCCATATTGGAATCGAGACAAATATATATATCTCATAAAGAAGGTAAGTCTTGGTGGACTGGCGGAATACGCATGAAACATAAGCCTGGGCTCCTCCCCCAATCCACTGGCTCACAGCGTTCTTGATCTCCGATCTCCTGTAACGGCTGTTGTCGGGAATTATATGGTAGGCTTGGAGAACCCGGAGAAGGTCGATTTTATCCTTTTGAGCAATGGCCGACTGGAAGTACTGTGAGGCGCTGAGAGTGGAGCTTGAACAAATACCATGTTTGTTCCACTCGTAAGTCCAGAAAGTAGTATTGCTCCCCTCTACGACTGAGAGTCGGCCAAACTCTTCCGAGATGATTGTAGTCCAATCTCCAAAACTGTGCAAAGTGAAGTTGTTTGACATATATATAGATATATTTATATATTATATCAATGCATAATAAATAGAATCAGACCAAAAACTAATGAACAGCGTACCACATTACTATTCAACCGCCCATACATCGTATTTGGAGGTATAGCCACTAGTTGACCGTTGGAAGCAGCTGGCCACATCCCATGCAATGTGAAGTTGTTTTGGGCATTTACACATTTGGCATTGTTTATCTGACAAAACGATTTGGGCCATGTCTGTACCATCACAAAATGATGGTACGAGGCTTGGTTGCAGAGGTTGGAGGCGGCTTTGTGATGGTAGGAGTCTTGGTCCGATAGGTTGGAGGCTTGGTAGCAGAAACCTAAGTTCGTAACGAGGAGAAAATAAATGATCTTCATTTTTTAGGAGTGAGGTGAGAAAGGTGTGGCTAAGCATAGTTATACCCATTATTATCAAGTATACTCAATGAGAGTTCTGGAGTTGGAGTACTGGAGTCCACACGGCTTCTGGTGGTGGTGTGTAGTTTATTTTTAATTGTAATGTTTGTTTGTTTTAAATAAAGACATCTTCTATGTAAAAATCCTAGTAATATATTCTTACTAAAGGGACTTAGTTTTGTTGAGTGTGCGTGCACTCTTTTATTCTTATTTTTATTTGTTGCAATGTGTTTTTTTTTTTTCCATTGATAAAGGAACTCAGGTGACCTATCTCTTTGGAGGGCTTGAAACCACCCCCGTCTTCCCCCAGCTTCTCCTTAATATAAAAGGTCAAAAAAGGTAACACTAGCTACACAATCTTTGATTAACTATCATAATATCACGAAATTTGGTGGTACTATCTAATCAATACAGAGACACAACTTAATTGTTTGATTGAATTATTTAAATTTGATAGTGAGTTCATGATTCGTTGTATCGGTCGATATACGCGAGATATTTTTTTCTTCAATGGTCCAATACTATTATCCATCTTCATGAACCAGTCGGTTTACACCGATTTTTGCCCGAATCTGTTACACCGGTTATTATGAGTATATATATTGTTTAATTTTCAACTTTTAAGTGTGAATGTGTGACAATTAAAAGGAAGAAGAAGAAGCTGAATACAGATTCGCCAACCTACCTCGTCTAGAATCTAGATGGACCTCTGGCAGGTGAGCCCAACGCTTCTCCAAAAAAAAAAAAAAATCATATTCCAAGGCATTCCTTAATTTATAGCTTGGGTTGCTATCCATCACAAGCTAAAAACCAGAGATAAATCATGCTTTTCTAATAGGAAATTTGACAGAACATGGTCTCTATGCAATAGGGATGATGAAAATCATGATCATTTGTTCTTCAATTGCTCATATTTCAGTAGAGTGTGGCAAATATTTTTTCAGCACAAATGTGGAATCTATATTGATGAATAGGGGATCTTGGCCATTGCGAATTGGATAGCAAACCTTTGGTGCTCGGTATCTAAGTCCCCCAAGGCCATGGTATATAAACTTTGTTTTGCTTGTGCTGCATGTGTATTTTCTATGCAGAGAAAGAAACAATAGAACATTTACTAGAAAAAGTCTTACAATGGAGCAACTTTGTAGGCAAATTGAAATACTATGTGTTAGAAGCAAGCTCTCCATTGTTCAACTTACGGATTGTACAACATCGAGGTCTGTTGCTGCTGATTGGAGCCATCCGATCAGCAGACATCACTACCATACCTCATTAGTTCTTTCCTCTAGGTCACTGTTCTCTTCCTTCCTCTTTCTATTCTCTGTTTTGTAGAAGGGTGGTAGTGGAGTCCCTTTTTTCTTTGCCCAGTTTTGGCTGGTGTTTCTCTTTGCCTTCTGGCCTGTATTTGGGCCCGGCCCTTTCCTTCTTTAGGTTCCTCCTAATAAACATTTCACTTACCCAAAAATTAATAATAATGCCAACAACATTAATAATATTATCACATATGTTAATATTTTTAGTTGGTACGTGTTACACGATAAATTCTATAGATACTCGATATAAATTATTAAATCACTTCTCTATTTTGTTCTTGTGTTTTGTTGAATTTTGTCAAGTTAAAATGGTCTATTTTTGTCTTAATAATTTCATTGAGATAATAATGACATATTTTTCTCAAAATGGAATCAAATTCGACATATTCTTCAATAATGTTTTTTTTTTTTTTTTTTTTTTTTTTCATAAGTACTTTTTTAGGTTCATTTTCCTCAATTTTAGAGCTGTGTATTTTTTTTCTCAATATATATAATAATAAGAATAATATAACATAAAAAGTTGTATTAAAATTAATTTATAAAATTTTCAGTTTTAAATTATATAATATTAGTTCAGCCCGAACTCTATAATGAGAGGAGTATCATGCACTACATTGACTCTTTTTTTTTTTTTTTGGACACCCCAAATTGTAATTCCTGACTCTGCCCCACTGTTGATTTGAACCTCTACTCTAGGATAGAGCGTTGAGTTGGTCTGCATACATACTTTAAGGTGATTTTGGAACATGACATGAACGGCAGATCAATGACTCTACTGTATATATTATGCTATGAAGAGAAATAGAGAAGACATGTGAGATAGAATAAAATGAGCACGTATACTCTTGCGGTACGTACAATTATTTCTCTTGCATCATCTCACTATATGCCTCTCATTTGTCTGTCTTGATCTTTTTTTTACTCTATAAGGAAGGCTCTCATTCCTCCATATTTAAATACACCTAGGAAGAAAAAAGAACCCATGCATTGAATTTGTCACTTTTAGCCATGTCACCTCTTGCAAGACGTAATTGTGGGTTTCGGTCTCTCATGCAAGAGGTGGAGAAGAGGCAGCTGTAACTAGAGTTTTTGAGCTTTTTAATTTGTTTTTCTAATTACATATGTGGCCTTTTAATTAAGAAGTAATCACTGCCAAGTCACTCTCAAACAAATTCAAGATACGAATCTTGAATTGTATTTATAATACGTATCACAACTCTTATTTAAATACTGATGGTGTAGGTGAACATGGAGTCCAAATTAAAGCTCGGCCTTGTTTGGTCAATTCACAAAGTCTGTCATATCATTTTGTAACACTGCATTAAAAGTTAAAACTGCATGCATGATCAACCCAACTCTTATAAATGCATGCATATATAAACAGGCTTTCGTATATAAGAGAAGTCACTTAAGCAACAACCAAACTCCAAAAAAATCCAGGATGCATGATACATCGAGCAGTACTATACTGTACGTGTAAACCAAAGCATAAGCTTAATTACCTGTAAACCAAACCAGAGTTGAACATTCCAATTAAACCAAAATATTGCACCAGGAGTAATTAGTTATTAAGGCTGCTGATCATAATTTTATATATTAATATATAAATTAAGCCAAGGCCACACACACATATATATAACAGCAGAACTATGTACATGGAAAACAAACAACACTAAACCAACCAGAGTCGAGACACAACAAACGTACACAACCTTACAACACAGTGATCGGCAAGCCAAAACAAAGCAACCTAGCTAACCCATCACAGACACTAGATCGATTAATACGGAGGAAAATTGATATTTGGATGTGTGGCGTCTGCAGGGCACTGCCTCCCATAATTGTATTGTGGACAGTTGATATAGTTTGTCATATGGTAATCGAGACAAATATATATCTCATAAAGAAGAGGGACGCTGTTGCGGAGTAATCCGCATGAAATGTAAGCCTGGGCTCCGATCCTTTGGCTCACGGCTTTCTCGATGTCTGATCTGCTGTAATTGATGTTAGGGCTGGGATTTATGTTGTACGGGGCAGCTCGGAGAGCCTGGAGAAGGTCGATGTTATCCTTTTGAGCAATGGCCGACTGGAAGTACTGTAAGGCGTTGAGAGTGGAGTTTGAACAAATCCCATATTTGTTCCACTCGTGAGTCCAGAAAGCAGCACTACTCCCCTTCCTCCAGAATGTAGGATTGAGGGTCGGCCAAACTTTTTCTAGACGACCATAGCCCAAGCTCCTAAACTGTGCATACATGTAATTAAAGTAAAGTTGTTTAATATATATATATATATATATATATATATATATATATTTCAATGCATAATGAATAGAATCAAAACAAAAACTAACGAAAAACTTGCCACATTATATATCGGAGGTACAGTGTTGGAATTCATCACTAGTTGCCCGTTGGAAGCAGCTGGCCACATCCCATGCAATGTGAAGTTGTTTTGGGCATTTACACATTTGGCATTGTTTATCTGACAAAACGATTTGGGCCATGTCTGTACCATCACAAAATGATGGTACGAGGCTTGGTTGCAGAGGTTGGAGGCGGCTTTGTGATGGTAGGAGTCTTGGTCCGAGAGGTTGGAGGCTTGGTAGCAAAACCCTAAGTTCGTAACGAGGAGAAAATAAATGATCTTCATTTTTTAGGAGTAAGGTGAGAAAGGTGTGGCTAAGCATATTTATACCAGTTATTATCAAGTATACTCAACGAGAGTACTGGAGTTGGAGTACTGGAGTCCACACGGCTTCTGGTACTGGTGGTGTGTAGTTTATTTTTAATTGTAATGTTTTTTTTTTTTCATAATTTATTGTAATGTTTGTTTGTTTGTTTTAAATAAAGACAATGTTCGTTAGTTATCACGCAATAAAGACATTAATTTTTTTAGTCCCAATCAACGCAACTTTGGATTCTCAACCCTGACTTTGGGATTTGAATGATCCAAAATTAACAGCCCACAGACTTATCAAAAAAAAAAAAAAATTAACAGCCCAACAGTACATATATATATATAATTTTATTTAAGCACGAGAAAATATGAAAAATATTTCTATCTGTTTTCATTGTCCCTCTACTATAATTATTAGGTTATTAGTGTGTTATAGAGTTGGATTGAGTGATTAGCTGAGACTCAAATATTACCGTCTTACTTTTCTTATCATTTTCTTTTGCAATCCTATTTTCTAAGATCATCAAACAAGTTTGCGCTGTTTGATTCTTTTTTCTTTTTTTTTTTTGGGCATACTCCAAGCAAAAACAACAAACACAAACTGCCGCAAGCCACCCTAATAGATCAAAGCGCGCAACTAGCGAAACAACTACTTTAAATTGCACAGAAAAGAGTGATCCCATAATGCTGATGAACAACTGGACTGCAGGAGGTGGAACAACTGAAAAAGAAATCATCATTAACAGAAGAGAAACTAACTGCACAACAAAGTAAATATATTCTTTGTCTAAAGCACACGCCTTGCAGCTCCCATTGATCAACACATTCAAGCCACATTTCTTCATTAGATCCATCCAAACTGCATAGCAATTGAGCAATTGAAAATTAGAAGATTGCTGGCATATTAATCATCACACAGTCACAAAACCCTGTTTGGTTTGCTATATATATAGAAGAGGGACAATGAAAACAGATAGAAATATTTTTCATATTTTTTCGTGCTTAAATAAAATTAAAAATATATATTTTTTTAAAAATGGTTGAAAATAAGGAAAGAAAAATAGAATTATAATGTCCCCGGCGGGCTAGCAGTGATGGTGGGGCTTGGGCCTAGCACACAGGAGGCCAGTGTTCGAGTCCTCTACTTAGCCTTCTAGTTTCGTCGATTAACCTGGTACTGTAGCTGTGGAACTGGTTGCAGTATCCCCAATTTGGTACCCTCGGGGTGAGTCCGAAGGGCCCTGCCTAAAGGAGTTTTGGATTATCAAAAATAAAAAAATAAAATTATAATTTTAAAAATTAAATATGAGACGAATTAAAAAGTGTACTAGATGGAAGAACCCAAGACTAGAGTACTAAGACGGGGGCAGAGGAAGGCCCAAACAAAGTCAAAGTTAGGAACATGAAAATACAAAATTGTAACGGGTGTTACTTCCCCATTTATTCAAAAGTTGTAACTTTCCCATTTACTCAAAAGTTTAAGTTTTTAGGTAATGTTGTATACTCACTAATTCATACCCAATCACTTTTCTATCCGAATCTAATATAGAACAAATGACCCTTGTTACACTTGGCATATGTGCACTAGGTTCATTAAATCATTTCATTAAGATGTAAAATCCAGCCCAGCCCAGCTAATATAATGTGTTTTTATTGCTTTTAAAATAAGTGCTGAAGCCCATTTTGTATTCTGATATTGGAGTCCAAAATTACCACCAACAAACATCCATCCATCCTTGGGTGGTTTGGTTTGCAAAATAGATCGTATCATTTTCGTATCCGATCATATATAAGAGAAGTCCGCTTGGCTACTGATACCAGATTATTATTGCAAACCATAAACTTTCCAAACCCAAAATATTGCACAAGGAATAGTAATTAAGGCTGCTGATTATTTTATATACTACATATTAATATTTAAAGCAAGAGTAATGACAAAGCAAAGGGCCACACGTATATATATATATATACACAGACATGGAAAACAACAGCAAAACCAACAAACCATGGTAGAGATCGATAAAATAAACAGCACCTAAGTTCCTACCACATTAATACTTGGGAAATATGATATTTCGTTGTATGGCGTTTGCAGGCTGGCACTGGTACTTCTTCAGTAAGCTTGGTCGTGGACAAGGGTGGATATAATGTGCCATATTGGAATCGAGACACATATATATATATATATATATATATATATATATATATATCATACAGAAGGTAAGTCAATTCTCAGCAATTTCGACCAGTTCTTTGAGAGTGCCATATAGTGTCTCAACAACATTCAGTAGGAACCCATCCGAACCATGCTTTGCCAACAAGGAAACGGCCACAGGAAGATTATCATACATCCCTAATGGTATGCTCACCTGTAGATTGAACAATTTTCAGAAGTGGCAAATTACTACTTTTATGGTAATCAAGTATGAAGTAGAGAAAGACAGAGAGCGGCAAATACTACTTCTATGGTAATCAAGTATGGAGAGAGAGAGAGAGAACCTGGCAAAATCCAGATACTCCAGCAATGGACAACAAGCTAAAAGCCCTGGCACCACATGTTTCCAGGGTAGTTGCCTCTGTTTGTAGTTTTGGCGGGGGACTAACAACTGTAGGTATTGCAAGGATGCCGAACTCCTATATGATTATATTCCGAAAAGCATACCAAGTGGGAAAATTTAGAACAAATGATTCATTAAGTTGTCTTACAACACTTCAAGCAAGTTGCAAGAGTATGTGGACATAGTCATATAAGAAAAAGGAAAAAAGAACAACTAATATGTTAGGAAAAGTAAAAAAGGACAAGTGCAGCAGCAGTTCCAAGAGGATTGTTCCTCCCTAAAATTAATCTGATGGGAATTTTCAAGGCTGAGACGATATGTTTGTCCAGCCATTCACATATACTTGAAAAATTTAGGGAAGAAAATCAATGGATCACAAATAAATCAAATCATCTTATTCAATTTTAAATCACAGAGAGTATTATAAACTGTACAAAGAGGACAAATATTTTTTCTGCAGAAGTTATAACCTACGATACGACAATCTCTACTTCTATGCATAAATCTAATCTTTAATAATCTCACGAAGGAGGTGTCTTCTATCGTAAGAGTGATCTGGTGTCTAGACACCATTGGCAGGTAGCTTGCATGTAACTCCTCCGCTGCCAAACCAAAGGTGGAACGTTGAAGTCCAGTTTGGGATGAAATGGGTTTTCTTGCACTGATTAAGTAAAAAAAAAAGCCACAAAGAAGAAAAGATATGGCGTTCAGATTAGCAGCATAGAATATAGATGCATAACAGGTGATTCTACATATATATATAGGTTGAAATTCTTTAGAAGACAATCAATTGGAAAATAAAAAGACGCTAGCAAGGAGCAATATAAGGAAAAGCCAAGCTCCTAAATATATTTTCACTACCTAAATGAATAGGAAATCTGTCTTCCTAATATTGATACTCTCTGCTGTAGAATGTTTAATATTAGCCACAGCATCCACAACTACATTGGCCTCTCGTTACCCATGATAAGCCCAAAACAACTTTAGATAATGCGTCCAGTAGAATGCGTATCAAAACTATATAAAAATTAAACCAGAATTCCTTCTTAAAATTTGAAATTACTTCAAGATTAAAGTTGCTATCTTCTGAGACATTGCCACAGAGAGAGAGAGAGAGAGAGAGAGAGAGAGAGAGAGAGAGAGTACCCCTAGGAGCTCAGCGAGAGCAGCATGAAATTCAGTCTTCACAGAGTAGCAGTCATCAATATGTGCATCTGTTGTCCTAACAGCTTCCCATATCCGTTCTGCTATTCCTGGTCCAAAATCAGGTTTTACCGTACTGACCCATTCACCATGATTCTTTTTGAATTCAATCCTACACTTGAAAAGGTAATTGATTTAGATGTTGACAAGAGAAGAAAAAGCATCTTTTCAGATGCTAAGACTGACTGATATAAAATAAAATTAAAAAAAAAAAAGGCATACAAGCCAAAAACTTAATCAGCACAACATTCAAACAAATTAAAATTTTTGTTCATGATCTGCACCTTTGAAGCAACCTCATCGCATTTGAAAGAGCTACCAGGGATGTTATATTATATTCTTGAGTTTCAATTCCTTCAAAATGCTTCAAACTTGGAACTTTGTCCTTAACATAATTCCCAAGATTTGCATATTTTACCATGTGACCTGTGTCACGAACGAAGTAAGGTAGATCCAAGAATATTGAATATGCATGTGAGATGAGTCTATATTATATAGCATGCTTCCAGGGGGGGAAAGGGGGGGAGGGGGGTTAACTTCTTCGCAATTGTTCTTTTTACAAATTCGAGTACTTTTTAAAGATTTCATTCTTACAGGTGGATTGGTGTGCTAACATGTAATGGAAATTGATATGAGATCATTGTTTCTCTCTGATGTGTAAACTCCACATATCAACTAGCAGAACTTGACTAATAGCAGTGTCATATAATCAACCCACTTACCCCCATATAACTTCTCTACTGATTGCACAAGAACTTTAGTCACACGATCAATTGGAATGCTTAGAAGCTTGAAACAATCTTCTGGAATAATAATATGACTAGGTTTCACAGGATCAAGGACAGGCAATTGTAATAGTACCCGTCCAACTCGATTCAAGATCACAGGATCCCTAGCAAACCACCCTGGAAAAGAACTCTGTGTTAAAAGAATGACTTGAAAATTAAGTTATGAAGCTTTATGTCATGACAGCTATGATATAAACAAATGTTAAGTGGAACCGTGTGGCCATAAGAACACATCATGAACCATCAAATGATTGTAGAGAGTGTGTTGCTGTGCAACGTGTGTGTGTGTGTGTGAGAGAGAGAGAGAGAGAGAGGTATTGCTGGATAGTGAGTGTTCTAAAGCATTCCTCAACATGATATTGTCTGATTTCAGTTAATCCAGTAAGCCTCCAGGCCCCCAAAATGTTTGAAAATTTATTCTTGTTCTTCCAGCTAGATTTAAAAGTAACACTTTTAAAAGAAATGCAGAACCCACCCACTCGACCAGTTATATTACAATTTTAACAAGAAAAATATCACTTTTTGGTTCCAATATAATTGAATATTTTTCAAACATTGCAGCTAAATGAACATTAATTGGCCCATATATTGCACTTAGGCTTTTTCGAGGCAGAGCTTCCCACTATATAACAATAATTGTAAAAACCATGCAGCTGATTATCATTTCATCATCCAGATGATTCCTCACCTACGGTATCAAAACTCTGTGCCATAGGAATAACTCCAGTAGTTGAAACAGCACCATGAGAAGGGCGAAACCCCAAAATCCCACAAAATGCCGCAGGAACTCTTACACTTCCTCCGGTGTCAGTACCTGCAATATACGGGACCCTTTTGTTCATATGCAGAAGGATCTACTAAAAACCACCAAAAGGTATCGAGGAATGAAAAAGCGCACCCAGGGAGAAATCTACAAGCATTGCACCAACTGCAACTGCAGATCCACTAGAAGATCCTCCAGGGATACGATCTGGTGCGCATGGATTGGTTGGTGTCCCGTAATGTTTGTGTTCTCCATCTATACTGCACAATGAAAATAAATTTTTTTATTCGACTTACAAGTATATGCAAGAAGAACTAGGTAAGGGCCTAAAGCACCACATAAGCTGCTGGAATCCCAATTTGAATGCACAAAAATCATTATTTGGAATGGATTAAGAAAACATTTCAGGTCACAACAAAGGAGAAAAGGAAAAGACAAAATCAAGTGATCCCTTTCCTAAGAATCATAAACGGCATTCAGTTTTACTAGATGCAATCTTGATAAATTGATCATTAGATGCTATAAATAAATAAAAAAGAAGATCCATTTAGATAACGAATAGGGAAAAAGACCAAGAGCAGAACAAATTGAAAATGGCACTGCTTCAATTTTATTGAAGATCCTCTGAATACCTCCCCGGTAAGTGGCATTATCTTCTTCTATCAGTGTCATTTTTTTTCCCCAAATTAAAACACCTTGCCGGTGGAGGTTTGTTGATGACCTGAATTAATTTATTAAAGAAAAGCACTAATTACAAGGCAGACAGGAACTATCCCATCTTCCCCAGATTAGACCTTGGAAGGGCACAAAAAAAAAAATGAGGAATTTTAAACAAGCAAAAACTATTTCTCAACTTCACTGTAACTCACTGTTCAACCCTTGCTTGAGTAGTTGAGCTTTCCACTACTTTCTTCCAATTCTTCTTGCAAACAACATGCTCAAAATTTTCAAAAAAAAAAAAATTCTTTTAGTCAACCATATTGGCAACTAATAGGTTATTAAGCCTGAAATTCAAAAGAACATTGATCCTGCTTGTGATTTATTTGGGCCGATCATGCTCTATAGCTTATGCTATCATTATCAGAACAGAGAGAACCTCAATTTTTGATCACTTATAGGTATGGAAGTTCTCATATTTTCTAATCTAACCTAAATCAACGCCTATGACTCATAGCCTTGTAAGATGTGAAAACGTGACCAGCATAATTAGGAATCACTACCTGATTCTCCAGCATCATTATTAAACATTTTCTCTTGATCAAATTTTCTCTCCTTTTGTGTTAGTCAACCACGAGTATGATCCCCATTTGGTTGGGCTTTGGGAAATTTCTCAAACTCAGGTACAATTTCTAACCCATAATCCTGTACACTGATTCTCCTCATTTTTATCATGATTATGATCTTCCGCGACCACAAAATTTAATTTAGATTAACTTTTAAAACAGTCCCCAACGTTATGTTCATTATTTTCTACTACTTCTACAAGCTTTTCTGGACCCATGTAGTTTAAGGCCTTTCCTCCCATGCCTCTTTGAATTACAAACAAACGCATCATGCACCACTCTTTTGGATGTAGACAGAAAAACATCCTGTACCAACCATACAATTTTTGAAATAGAGAATTTTAAATCTTTCCTGAAGAGAATATATATTTATGAATTTAACTATAGTAATGCAGCGTAGCCCTTTAAATTTTACCAACAATACAGCCAAGTCATCTGATTGACAAAAACATATTATAGTGACAGTCATTTCTCTAATACCATCAAAATAAAATACAATATATATATATATATATATATATAAACAAACACATTTCATTGCCAAGAAGTACCTGGTAAAATAAATAAATAAATGTTAACATGGATGCTCTCATTTTATATTTGACATGCTAGAAGCTAAAGCAATTTGACAGCTGTTAACAAATTTGACAAATTTGGGTTTAATTTATCTGGAATTTAGGATGTCCTACAATGAATTAGTTCATAATATTCATTTCTTTTCTCTGTTATAAAGGGTTAAATTGTAAAGCAAGTAACTACAAAAATTGAAACAACTTGGTGGGAGAAAAAAAAAAACTACAAATAAATTGAAATTTTAGTAATTCAATACATATGCAATTTTAGTGATTATCAGATCATCTCTCTTAAAAGGCCATCATCAAATTCGTGTTTCACCTTTGGAGGGGTGAATTGCATTCAAACCTAACCACCACCACTATTTAGCACAAAGTGATTGCTCAAACAGAATCCTGCCTACCATTGCAGCACGAGAATTTACCAATGTACTTGTCTCTCGTATGCTTTTTAAGGTGATTTTGAGAAGTCTAAAATCCATTCCTTAGCAATAAATTACGTGACCAGATTGTGTTCAACATATTGAACAGAATAATCAATAAAATTCAATTCGTGCCATTTTTTAAAGTTGTGAAATTTGTCATACTGGTGGATATCTCATATGTAAACACAAAGTTTAGAATGCCCAATAATGTTATCCAAATGCCCCATCAAACAAGATTAAATTCATAAGAAAATGGGTATGTAACACAATTGCGTCTTTGACTCTAACCTGTATGCCATTTCATCCATTACAGTTTTTCCCACACATGTGGCACCTCCCCTTAAGATGGCCAACACGGCCGGAGCTGTTGTTGTAGCAGCCACATGAGTCCGTGCCCAATCCGGATTTCCAAACCCAGTCACGTATCCATCCACATCAAATCTGCTTCCAAAGTTCAAATCAAAAGGGATAACAATTAACACACACATAAAACTAGAAAAGAATACTAAAACCAATGAATGAAATTGATTTATGAATTGGAAACAGACAAAAACTGGTTAACCCACTTCATATCTTTCACTAATTCCTAACAAGAACCAATAAAAAAAAAAAAAAAAAAAAAAAAATTGGAATTGATCAATAATCATGAAAATAGTGTAAGAAAATGAGTTCAATACGCTAACCAAGACGTTATAACATATATAGTTCACATATTAATTGAATCATATTTGCTAAGAACTTATGAGGGAAAAAAAATTATTATTCGCAAAAATTAAAGAGGGAAATTATGAGGGAAATCACAAAATTGAATTAATTGAATCATATTTGCTAAGAACTCACATGTCTTTTATGGCAAAGGTCAGGCCATTCAATGGAAGCTCCTGAGATGAAGTGCTTGGCTGTAGAATAAATTTTTCCATGAAAGCTCCATAATCAGAGTCCCTTGCCATCCCCCCTCCTCTCTCTCTCTCTCTCTCTCTCTCTCACTCTCTACGTTTTCCACTTGGCTCTAGCGTTGAACTGATGGAGTGATCATTACTAGAGTCTAGAGAAGCATCTATACGACTTCGTTTCATATTGCCTTGGCAACACCTTTTCGTTCGGATACACTGATTCACTCTATTGGCAATTTTGGCCCAATTGTAATCTGATTCAGCCAATCCTCGTCGTCTACGAAGGTAAGGATTGGATAAACAAATTGAATCACATCCAGAGAAAAAGAAATTGTAATAACAAAAAAAAAAAAAAAATTTGCATATGATCTATGACAAGCAACAATCTAGGAAACTGAGACAAATTATATTATATTATATATATATTTTTTCTTGTAGAATTCAAATCCAACAAGTTTGAAACACTTTTAAGGCCTTAATCGCCTGGTGGTAGGGCATCTCCCCATCCAATCGGTGCTTGGGAGTCAAGTTCGAGCCTTCTCATCTACTCCCTCGTCAAAAATAAAAAAATAAAAAATAAAATCTTTAAGGACAAAATTGAGTAGTTTTGTATTTTGTTAATAATCTTGTTGGAATAATGTGATTTTAATGTATTTTAAAACATATTATGATTAATTAAAAATATAATATAAAATTTAGAAATCAAACAACAAATATTTAATTCTAAATATTTGATATAACGAGTCAAATAAGTGAATTGATTTAATTCATGATAGTTACACATATAAATAGTAAATTGAAACCCAACGTAGATGCTGCATTTGATAAGTCTTCTAAGGAAGCTGGGGAAGGGGCTGCTTGTTCTTCAGGCACGCCTTTACCAGTTGCTATATATATATATATATATATATATATATATATATATGTCAAGTAAGATACCAAGTCCAGATGGTTGAAGTACAAATAGACTCCAAACTCGAAAAAGCCCGCAAGGATTGGTAGTTGCTGCATTTTTTATTGTTGGAACTTGAAACTGCTAGCTCTGAAAGTGAGACTCTCTCTTTTCAGAGAAGGGTTGAAACTGCTGGCTCTCGGAGTGGGGTTACATGATATGGTCTTAGAAGGCGATTGTAAGGCTATCGCGTACCTCCATTAAGACTCCCGAGTTCTCAGCTGGTGTGGTGTTACCGTGATATTCTATATATCTGCTTAGAGATGAGGACATGGAAAAATATTGCACCAGCTACTTATTAAGCTTGCAGATTATTTTATATATAAGTAATATTTAAAGCAAACGCCACACAACAGAAGTACATGGAAAAGAAACCACATAAACCAACCAGAGACTACACAAACAACAAAGCGTACTTCCTACATGGAAAAGTAAAAAAAAAAAAAAAAAAAACACCTAAACCAAACCAAAGACTACACAAGCAACACCTTACAACACTCTGCAAGCTGAAAACAAAGCCACCTAACCCAGCCCGGCCAACACATGATCAAAGAATTCCGATCAATTTGGCATTGCACCCCGCGAGTTGCTTCCTACACGAGATATAATTCTTCCCATTGGAATCCAGACAAATATATATCTCATAAAGAACATAAATCCCAGTGCTGCGATGGCGTCGGCACGAAACGTAAGCCCAGGCTCCTCTGATGGATAGGAGGCTCACCGCAAACTCAATGTCTGATCTGAGGTATAATCTGATGTTGCCAGGAAGTATGCGGGCCGGCACGACAGCTTGGAGAGCCGGGAGAAGGTTGATTCTCTCCTTTTGTTGAATGGCAAACCAGAAGTAGCCTAGGGGGTCGAAACTGGGGATTGAACAACTCCCATGTGTTCTCCACTCGTGAGTCCAGAAACAACGCCCGCCACACATAGCACTGATAGGCTGCCAAACTCTTTGGAGATGAGGGCCCAATGTTCGAAACTGTACATACATGCAAAGTGAAGTTATAAACTTATATATATATATATAGACTCATATATATATATATATATATATATTTATGAGTCATGATATATTTCAGGCATATGAGTTAGGTCTATTTGCCATAATTGTTTCTCGTTGACAAATAAATTAAATTAATAAGTCTGAATATCATTTTCCTATATATATATAATAATGCATATGATAGATAAAACGACGAAAAGCTTACCACATTGTTCAAATTCTGATCTCGAGGAGTGCAATTGATAAGAGTATTTCCGTTTGGATCAGCTGGCCACATCCCATGCAGTGTGGAGTTGTTTGGCAGTGGATCTACACATGTGACGTTATGTTGTCAAACAAAATGATCATAGTAGCAGAAACCAAAGTTTGCAAGGAGGAGAAAAGGAAGAAAATAGATGATCGTCATTTTTTTTATTCTTATGAGTAGTGATCTAGGTAATCAGGTGTGGATAACCGAAGTGTATGATCACAGTATTTGTAGTGGATCGATACCTATAGGGCTGGTCTGCAAAATGCTAATAATATAGAGCCTTTTGAGATATTAAATATCACCTGCATTTGATCATGTTATGAAGTTTGTCATTCTTTATTTCAAATTCTCAAACTGGTAATCTGAGTTGCTTCTACTGTCCATTTTGCAGAACGCCTACTTTTGTGAAAAATGGCAAACAGGCAATGGTGCCATCCAACAGTGGTGGACCCCTCCTATGAATGACTAAATCAGAGGACTTTAGTTCACAATCCTCTCTCATTGAGGTGGGAGTGAACAATCTTCAAATCTCTCGTTTCTACCAAATCTAAATATAAAGTACTTCCTTCGTCTCCATATAAATTGGGACGGAGGAAGTAGTAATTAAATAACAAGTAGCTTGAGTGATTAATACTTTGCACGGTTGATTTGTACTCCTAACTCATAACATTCAGCAACTTAAAACAGCCTATTAAATTTTATACTCAGACGTCATAAAATTCACCCTTTTAATTAATTTGATGAGAGAGGGTAGCAGCCCATCCAATACAATTGTTCTTGCTTCCCCATTTCAATCAGTTTTCTGTGTCTCATATATTAATTTCACATCACCATTTGGCAGTACTCTCTCACCTTCTTTCTTTCTCGGAATATGATTATGAGGTCGATTTCTGAAATCTATTTGTATAGCGTAAGGGTTCCTATCACAATATTATTTCTCTTGCATCATCTCACTATATGCACTCTAGCTCATTTTTCTGTGTCTTGATTTTTTTTTTTTTTTTTACTCTATAAGGAAGGCTCTCATAATTCCTCCCTCTATAAATACGACACACTCGTATTAAGAAAAAGGAACCCATGCATTGAAGCTGGCCAATATATAGACATTCTCCATTCTCAACAAAACTCCACACCACCTTTTGACAACGCAACTTTTTAGTTTTTATACAAGATGAGTGAATTGTCACTCTCTCTTAATTAAGCAAAACCAGGTTTAATTAATTAAGATAGTCGATTTAAGAAGAAAACACTACAATTATTGAGAAAGAATTGGTCACAGCTAGCCAAATGGAATTATGACTTAATATAGAGATAGTTGAGAAAGCATGAGAGGACCATCTTTGTCATGTTTTGTTGTTTGATTTAACTGACTCTTTCCCAAACTGGTAATCTGTCCACTGAACTTGTTGGCTCAAACTTAATCATGTTGAGTTGTTTTATGTAATTGTAAATATCTATCTTTTAAGTGTTAAATAGTAGTTTTACTGTAGTTAATATTGAATTTTTACTTTCTATGACATGTTGTGACCAAATGGTTCATTATATCTATGGTAAAACTTAATGATCAATTTAAAACTTATATTATGATTGCACAAATAAGGTGTCTTTGGTAATTTACATAGGTGATGGGTTTTTATCGCAATTATTTCTACATCATCTCATTACATCACTTTCATTTGTTTATCTCTATTGATTTTTTTTACTCTTTGAGAAAGGCTTTCATTCGTAAATGTCTTCGTAGCCCAATGGTTGGATTGCTCCTCGTTGTGATTGGGAGTCCGGCTTCGAGCTTTCGCACCCTAAGTTACACAATCCTTTTCAAAAAGTACTGCTTTCGCGCTCCCGCTCTCGAAATACTGAAGATTTATGCACAATTTTGAAAATATAAGAAGATTTTGTGATTTTATTAACATGTAAAACAAGCCCAATCCAGCTAATATAATGTGTGTTTATTTCTTTTAAAATAAGATTCCAAATCCATTTTATATTCTATATATTTTGTTTGCAAAACCCTAGTCCACTCATACAATTCTTACCATTCAGTAAAAAATGGAGTGAACCACCACCACACAAGCCCGACATCACACAGGAACCATCAATGCCAGCGACCGCAGCCCACACTTATTTCACTCCCTGGACTTATTGACGAAATGTAGAGTGTCAAAACTATGGGTTTTGTATATATCTTGACGGTGAAGATCCAGTGATGTTCCACAATGATTGCTTCCGGAGAAGGTCGCTCGATTTTATCCTTTTGAACAATGGCCGACTGGAAGTACTGTGAGAGGTTCAAGATTGAACAAAGTCCATGTTTGTTCCACTCGATTTTATTCTTTCGAACAATGGCCGACACTATGTGGAGTGGATCTTGTGTCAGAACCGATGCACCAAATGTCACGTTTTGTGCGAGTTGGCTGAGCTGATGCAGAGCACGATGGTGTCAGTGCATTGGGCTCTGCATCGGCTCACCCAAATGGCACCAAAATAGTGTTGTTTGGTGCACCAATTCTGGCACAAGGCCTTTGTGTCTCCCCATTGAGCTCCGCGCTGGCTCACCCAAAGGCAACAAAACTTAGGTTATGAGATTGCCATTTGATGCGATGACCAAAACTTAGCATTCATGAATGAAATAGCATTACAGAAATTCAGAACTCACAACCTTAACAAGTTTAAAATCAATGCATGACAAAGCTACTGAAAGATGTTATTTTCAATTTGTTCATGCATAAAACGTAGCTTTGTGTGTGCGCGCACGAACAATTCCAAGACACAGATAAGATACGGTTGATGCAACCATTTGTAATTGCAAAATCGAACTTTCCACGTAGAAAATCACTTGCTTACACCATATATATAGATATCCATCCTGTAGTATACTATCACTATTTTCCAAATACCATCACAAAATGTTTTCTCAGTGTCTTACAGAATCTCAATTAAAGAATCTCTTCACGTGACAACATTTCAATCAAGAAAAATGCACAAGAGAAGTAGATACTTCAAATTTAATTTCAGATCAAATTTATTTCTAACTTCTCTCATACAAACATATATATCAAAGAAAATTCTCTTCGATTCCTCTCTCATTTATTGTTATATTGTTCCGCCTTTCCCTCTCTTTCTATCCAGACAAAAAAATGACAACTGAGTGCTACTACCACTTGGACGAAGCGAAACAAACATAAAAATGAAAAAAAAGTACAATTCCACCATTTTCAAAAAATGCTCAATCAATTTCATCAGACTCCTCATCTAAGAAATACAGGAATGGAGCTGAAGGCGTGTGTTCACGAAATTCTCCTTCCTCGTCGTCACTGGTTACCCCTGGAACTTTCCAACCCAAATGTTGCATATAAACTTTGTCATAGGCTTCAATATTTAATCCTGAAGCTACAAACAGTTCTACCTCATTCACAAATCGATCTGTTCTTCCTGTTAAGAAAGGTCTTGCCAATTGAGACACCAAGGCCTTGAAATCTTCTTGTTCCATTTCAGGTGTACTTCTCGGATTTTTTTGCTCTTTGCTGGAAAATATTAGGTTTGGGTGTAAATTCATATAATACAAGAAAGAACAACATGGCAATTACCATATATTCTGATCACCTCATCTTTGGGAAGAAATAAAAGATGACTTTTGAGTTTTGACTTCAATTAAAATAGAGAGCTGAAAATAATATGAAAAAGATTTGAGTGGTTACATTTATTAGCTTTAGTCAAATGGTCAACTATAAATTTGTCAATTGCATGCAATATAACAATGAACATTAGTAATTACCTTCTCAACGAGTCTATTGCACCGAGTATGTGATACACGATAATGTCAACATCTTCCTCCTACATAAGAATTAGTGAAGGAAGCGTGTTAGGAATTTGTAACACCATAGAGTTCAGATGATAAAGGGATCCAGGTTAAACTTTGTAAGTCACCATCATAGCGGTCTAGAGAAATAGTATGACTTTGGCATCAGCATAAAATACTAATATTCAGTTGGACAATTGCAGAATTTTCACTTCTTCTAAAATGGGATATAATTGGTGAAACATTTCAAACAATCCAAACTAAAAGAAATCTAGGGAACTTCATAACATATAACATTCCTTCTATTCACTGGCAAACAGGACACAACTTAGAAGGGGGAAATGATTTGTTCGGATTTGTTCAATGAGGCATATGCCATTAACATTGTGATGTCAGCACAATAACATAATGAGTTAGTAGATTCAATGTACAATATGATATAGAGGGGATAACAATACTGTGCAGCAAACAAAATAAAGGCATGACAACCTAAAATCATTTCCATAGCACCCTCGTTGTATATTAGGAGTACAAATTGATGCAATGGATATAAAACACAGCGTACATAAATTTCCCAGAAAAACACTTGTGTTGCATTTGGAAGCATGGAATCGGCGCCTCGGAATTGTCGGAATTGGAGTTACCTTTGAAGTTTGGAGTTTCTCTTGTCTGAATTATAATGCACCAATTCCATGTTCCCAAACACAATTTTAGTGTCTTTGATCTCACTTCCCCAATATAATATTAAGCACATCAAATTCTTTTCTTCAAAGAAAAATCAGTGGACCAATGTAAACTAAGTCTATTCATAAGAGAGAATATACAATTGCCCTTTCCTTAAAACTGATTTTGCTAACTGGTCTAAGTAATTGTGGGTATATATATGCCTAGCTAGATATGCTCCTTTCTACAAAGAATTAACAAAGGTGTGCTTGCAAATTTATGGCTCTTAGATAGGAATTGAAGGTTCAGTTACATTCACTGGAGACACAAGATGGAGCCAACACCATAAAAATGGTAAAGACAACTAAAACAGGGTACTTCATGTAATCCAGCTATTGATCCAAACACTGTGTACAATGTACTAGATAATTCTAACCACAAGAAAGGAAATGCACCGGAAAAAAAAATATAAATAAATAAGAAACTGGTGAATATGAACCTGAATTAAAGCTTGAATTTCCCTTCTCAACCAGCTCTGCAGCCACTTATTTGGCTGAAGATGCCTGCGGCACTTCCAATACCGTGATACATTGAATTTCTCACTAATGGTACCTGTTAAACACATAATTTAACAGAGAAAGATACACATAGTATTGGATTATCAGGAAAGAACACAACAAACAGCCAACAGAATAAAAAGTATTATGAACTAAAAAGATGAGCAGAAGATACCTGGTTCAATGTAGTAGCATTGTAGTCTATACTTGTGAACTTTTGAAAAGAAAGCACTGCAGGCGTCATGCAAGAAGTAGAGCAAATTATAACATTTTCAAAAATGGAAGTCAAGACAGAGAAAAGAGATCAACGGATCACTTACCTATTTCCAGAATGCTGATTAACATAATGCCGTAGAAAAAAAGTTCCATCGTATCCATGTATAATAGAGAAATTTTCTGTCTGCTCAGTAGACATTTACAGTGTTAATTTGACTGAAATTCTAATACATAGATTTAAAATAGGCACTAATACATGAGGGGAAACATAGCCCCTCTATAATGTTCTAAACTTGTACATGTTCATAAGAAATCAAGAAATGCAAGAGGAGGACTTTAAATGCATCTTTAATGACATTTGATATCGATACCACATTCTCAAGCAGAATAATTAATAAAAATCACTTGCACCAAGTTAGTAAAGAAGTAGAAGAATAGTAAAGGTAAAATTTAGAACAAACCTTGCATAAAGGACACTTTACAGAAGAAGGTGGGTGAGAATGCTTGCTAGCAACCACTTTTGTCCAACGTACGATGCAGTTGTAGCAAAACTTATCTGCAACAAATAATCGCAAAATCACGGCTTAAGAAACACTATAGCTAAAAGGGTTTGCAACTTTAATTATATTCAACCCATACATTCAAGTATTCAACTGTTCAATTGAACATTAACTGTGTCCATATTACAGTATCCCCTGACATGGGTTTCCAAGATCTTTACTTTCTCTAATTCAATATCATCTTAGAGTAGTGAATAAGTATAAATCTATCAGCTCACTCCATGATTTATATATGCTTCTTACAATTGGCAACATAAAAATTGAAGTGTAATAGCAAAATTCGCGGCTTAAGAGGCATTATAGCTAAAGGGGTTCTCAAAAACAAATATGGAACTTTAATTATATTCAACCCAAACATTATACTGTCCAGTTGAAACATAACAAGTCAATATGTGTGTATGTGTAGACAGAGAAATTAAACTGTGTCATATATATAACAATATATAACCTGTCAATGTCACGGATTCCCAAGATCTTACTTTTTCTAATTCAATGATCAATCATGGAGTAGTGCATAAAAATTGAGCTGTAATTGATTTTTTTTTTTTTTCTTCTAAATTAAAGAAAACTTCATGCACAATTATATGATTAAATGCAAAAGAATGAATAATTCAAGGGTTTGGCAGCATGAAATTATAGAGAGAGAAAGACGAACATACGGAAACATTGATCGAGATAGGCGTCTTCAACTACAGGGCCGAGGCAAATAGGGCAAGGGTTTGAATCGGACGAAGAAGAGCTGCTGCTGCTCTTGTTCTGCTCCTCCGTCATGTATCTTTCCTTCGTTTCCGGCTACTATCCGGTGATTCGACCTCTATAGACCAAACTCCGACAATATAGAGAGAGAGACCTTTGCGATTTTTCACTGCGTTCGCTCTTTTGAGGGTAAATCTGTTATGGCACTATTTGGAAAAACCAAACAGGAGTGCAAGAATAAAAAATAAAAGGTGAATTTCACAAATTATTAATAACATGTATACATTATATTTGCACTCTTTTTTCTTTTCTTTTTTTGTCTGTTTATTACTCCAATTTTTTTTTTTTTTGTTCATATATATATTTGTTAAAAATTAAATGAATTTTGAATTGAGAAAAATAGTGTGAATATTAATTATATCATGTCCTTTATATATATATATATATATATATATATAAAGGACATGATATAATTAATATTCACACTATTTTTCTCAATTCAAAATTCATTTAATTTTTAACAAATAAAATTTTGATAAAATTACTCCTCACAAGTAGTGTGTGTAAAAAATTTAATTTTTGAAATAATTATAGAGTGTAAATATATATATATATATAAAGGACATGATATAATTAATATTCACACTATTTTTCTCAATTCAAAATTCATTTAATTTTTAACAAATAAAATTTTGATAAAATTACTCCTCACAAGTAGTGTGTGTAAAAAATTTAATTTTTGAAATAATTATAGAGTGTAAATATATATTTCAGATTAACTATGCCATTTTTATTTGTTAAAAAATATTGTGGAGAAAACTTTTAAAAATTTGTAACACTTTTTATTAAAAAATCAAGTAGCTGCCCAAGTGTAATTATCACAATGTGCAAGTATCACAATGTCTGGACAGTTGAAAGGGCTCTCTCTTTTCTTCTTCATTGTCAACAAGAATGCATCAACAAAGCTGTCCTTCCATACATGAACTCATTTATGTCTTTCTCCACCTCTGCTCTAAAATTCAGCTTTAGTGGGCCTCCCAAGATGACACTAAAGGTCTACTTAGAAGACTCCGGATCCCCTCTACAGGAGGGGATCTAGTGCCGGTGCGACACATTACATCATTGTGCTACATACACATGAAAATTTTGTTATTGTTGCATAAACGATGTAATGACACAGCACATAGTGAAATGGCACAAGAGAGGATCCGAGTTCCTACTTAGAATGCTTTTTGGAATGAAAACCTTCATTTCGGACTGCATTAGGGTGCTGATATTAATTGTGATTTGGGAGCCTAGAATCAATAGAACAAGTACAAGGATTGCAAATATGAATTAGTTGTTGAGCTCCAATGCCTTCCCTTAAGGTTTTCTATCAGTATATGTGAATATGAACTCTTATTTTCACACTTCAAGGTGGTGTATGAGGTTCTTAATAACAATTTGCGTACACCCTTAAAACGAAATTCAAATAATGAAAACCAAATAGTACACATTTCTCAGAAAGCCACGTATTCCCTCTCTAAATGATGCCTCTCTTCATTTGCCTTTGCAACTCCATTCTGCAGAACTGCAACTCATTGAGTTGCACCTTCATTGTCTCCACATCTTTTATCATCATCTTTACCTCCTTGTGGGAATTCATCACCAATGCCTTCCCTAAGCCTCTACTCACCCTCATAATTGCCTGTGACTTTGTTCTCTGGTAATTCGATCCAGTGGCTGTCATCGACTTTGTCATATCAACTTGTTCAAGAAGGATAAACCGCGTAGTGACATTCAATGGCAACCTGTCAGTCTTCATTGCGTGCTTGCGTGCCTCCTGTGATAGTTTATGGTATTCCATGGCTCTACATATGCTGCTTCTTTCTTCTTCTGTTAGGCTAGGGTGTGCCTGCAAAGTTGATCAAGGAAAAAAAGATTGCACAGAGTTAAAGAAAATTGTTTCCATACCAAAGGGGGAGATTGAGAGTTCCGAGTCACACTAGGGACATACTGTGGATAATGAGCGTGTGTGTGGATGTGTGTTTTGCTTTAACTTCCAAAAAAAAAAAATGTTTTCATGTTATTCACATGCTTTTGAGGTCCAATAGACTGACATAATAAAATTTCTTGATCTAAAAGAACAATATGTGACAAAACATCTTGAGTTCTTAGTAACTCAAAATTGATACGACAGTGCAGGGCTTATCAGCTCAATTTTCAGCTTTTTTTAACCAGAAGTTTGAGAGGAAAAATGTCGCAGACCTTGAGGGACATGTCTATGGCTCTATAGAGGTTGTCATCACAATACCGCGCATTTCTTGGCAATGCTTCAACCAGCAACTGAAAATCTTTGGCTGGAAGATTAGTACTTCGTGCCACCAGCGTAAGATACTCGTCCACCAACCTTCCAATAGCAAGAATTCTTGATCCGGGATTATCTGAAACAGAAGAAACATAAGCTACCACCACTTTAGCAACAATGGCCATATCATATGCCTCATCAATCTGACCATAGCTTTTAACCAAGAGATCTTTGGCACGACAACTCTCCAACATGAAGGCTGTTCTTCCTTCTAGCCTATTTAGTAATTCAGAATCAATCTTCAAAAACATACCAATCTTGAGAAGGTGAAGTAGAAAATTGCAGGAAACTGATTTTTCCTCTATAGGAAGTACCCTTGTCAAACTTTCAATGGCAACTCTTTGCATCTGGAAGGTCATATCTTTGCAAGTCAGATTGTCAAGTCCAAACTTGACTCGCGAAAGCCACTTCACAGTCCAATGAGCTATACATGATCCGACAAGCTCAGGTCTCATTCCTCTCCTTTTAATCGATACAATCACTTCAATGAAATGATCAATTCGAAGGAATGAAATGTCTTGAAACCACCGTGAACTAGTCTCTGTGTGCTTGAGTTATTTGCATCCTCTTGTGAAACATTCAAGCATTCTACTTCATTGTAATGGAAACAAATTGCTTTGGGGTCAGTGCAGGCCTTCCAAGCAATGGCTTCTGAGCATCTTTTCATGATTTGTAACTCTCTGGCCCATGAGGTGATTGATTCACAACTCCTCAAAATTTGAAATGTGTCTTTCCATGAAGAAAAAATCACGAAACTTAGAAAATCTTCAGTCTTTGGAATGAGATTTCCTAGTTCAAGATCATCACTCATTTCCAAGAAATGTGCAGCACAGTACAGTGGAGCGATGTTGGTTGCCGTTAGATTGATCTTCCATCCATAGCAGAATTTCACCACTAATACAAAAGTTCTACATCCACCCGGTAAATTGTCAATCTGGATATGAGGATTGGTGTCTCCATTGCTTCTCCTTTGAAATACCAATCTATTTAAGTAGCCACTTCTTGAGACCATTGGAAGCTGAATAATAAATAAATAAAAGATAAAAAAATAAAAATAAAAAGATGAATTTTAAAATTACTAACTAAGAAATCTGCAGGATTTGCAAATCCAAGTGTTAGAGCAAATCTTAAAAAAAAATAATAACAACATGGTATTGCATATGATATATCTACTAAATTTTGAAATTTCTATTTGAAATGATATTTAAGAAACATCAACTATAAAAGCATTTCCTAAAGAGCTTAGCATAAAGCAATAGCCAAGTTTTCAAATAAAATTCAAGAGGAACGACATATTTTGCTCCCTGCTTTGCCGATCAAATGCAATGAAAATAGAAGAAGATCTGAAATCCCACAAATCTTTTAAGTTGCAATTGCTGCAATGTCTTCTTTTCTTCTGTTTCTCCTTTTCAGCAATCAAATGGAGCTTTAATATGTAATCCCAAGCCATTTAGAAAATTCTAATTCACCAAATGATTGGTGGGCTTAAGTGTACAAGTATAACCTAAGAATAGAACTTCTTGAAGTTCAAGTACATCAGCTTACAAAAATTAAGTAAAAATGTTGTTCTGACCATGAATTTTCTCTAATTAATCATGTCATTTGCAGCATTAGTATTGGAGATTTTTATTATTGTGCGAGTGTTGAATATGAAAAATCAATCCATGAAAAGCAACTTCATTGATATAGCCAAGGGCATTATAGCTACTCTAATGAAATTCTCCAACATTTAGTTTCGATTAGCTAATGTGAACATTGTGCATAAGCTTTCATAGGCCAACCTCATATGGAAACAAAGATACTGAAGTGCATTCATCGAAATAGAGGAAAAAATAAGTAAAGCTACTGGGATATACCTTATGCAAGTGAAAGATGTTTTCTTTTATTTGTATGACCAAATCACTAGCAACTTTAGTCTGGACAAACCTGCATAGGACGGATGATAGTAAATGCCAAATGCTATCTATATTGACCACACACACACACATGCATACATATGGAGTGCTTACCAGCTTTTGTTTCTTCTTTCTACAGATTCTGCAACCATAATGCGTTGGCTGGAAAAATGGCACAACGATTATGCTTCCCGCCAAAAACTGAGCCACGAGTGGGATTTTCCCTTTCAAGAGACTCGGCATCCATGGTAGCCTTCTCATGCTTAGGAATGACAGAACTGAACTTCATTTTTTTTTCAAAATTTTGCCAGACATACTTGGATGGTCCATATGTAGATTTATATAGAGCAAGAGGCAGAGCTCAGATGATAATTGGTCACTATCATATTATTCCAAGAAAAATGTAGCTGGAGAGAAATAAATTAGCAAGTGGTTTGCATTATTCAGTCCCCTGGTAACTATACAATTTTCACTTACTAACAAAATCACATTTTATCTGCGACGTCTCACATCGCCTAGGGGAAAAGTTCCTAGCACTTTAAGAGAGATGCCTCCTACCATGTAGACGTGTTTTGAAGACTCTGGGCACGAAGATGGTGCAAAGTGGACAGTATCCCCACATAAAAAGGTATTAATGGCATTACATTGGTAAAAAAAACTAGTATTAATAGCATGATGAATCCCATGAAGCATTAGATGAGTGAAGAATTAATCTGTTAACAATTTTAAAGATCCATGATCATTGTTGGTACCAATCAATATCCACCACCTCTCCCTCTCTCTCTCTCTCTCTCACACACACACACACACACACTCTCAATCTACAGAGAGAGGTGGCACTAATGGGGAAAGGTGTAGGACAATGTCCCTATGTAAATGGATGACATCTATACAGAACATACATTATCCATATGGGGGCTCCCAAAAGTCCATATGCATGTCAGCATGTGCTTTTGGTGATGGTTGGATAACAAAAGGCAACTAACCCTATTAATGCCCTAACTGCTTCTACAAAGAATTATTCCACAAGTTCGAGTGTGCAATAAAGCAGTTGTGTATCAAACATTCAAATGATAATATGCCTAACATTTTATATCAAATAATAACTATATTAGTGAGATGCAGAGAAGTCAAGAGACAGAGTACACATCATACTAAATTATCCATAATTCAGCCCCATTAAAAAAACTCACAAATTAAGGTCGAGCTGGTTCTCATCCTTTAGCACTGAATCATAACAAGGCAATATGAAATGTAGCTAATCCCAGATTACAAAGAGAATTTTAATTAAAATCAAATGCATGTATGAAACAAGAGAGGTTTCAGAATTTAGACATGAAAGTGAATACTTTTGATAAATTCAAGTTCATGTGCAGGCACAAATGTACTGTGGACTTAGTGGGGGCATCCGCTCCCACTGAATTTTTTTATAATTGCATTTTACACCTCTAAATCTGTACTTTTTTGCATTTATATTTATAATATTTTGAAATTGCCCCCAAAAATTATGAAAAAACCCTCTATATAAATTTGTCCCCCTTTCGAGATCCGTCCCAATTCATGTGTATCACTTCAAACATTCAAAAATCCAACAAATCCCAAAGAAGAATCCTCAGAAAAAGTAGAAGGTTGTTCCACAACTCCAAAGCCATTGAAGCTTCCATCCAATGTGGTTCAACGACTTGTAGAAAACTCTACCAATTTTCTTTTCCCTTCTTTTCAGAACCCCATGGTGAAAACAAGGAAATCGTTGCAAAGTAATTGCAAGTTTTCCTTGGAAAAGATTCACAAATTCTATTTGGTTCTCAATTCTCAAACCCATCAAACTGTGGATTCCAATTTATGTACTCTACAGGGTCAAGAACAAGATTAGTTGGTGAATGAATGATCTCAAGAAGGCACTTTCTTTTCTTCTGTTTTGGAAAAAGAAAAAAATAAATAATAACATAATTATAACAAGTCGGACTATACTCATCAATTTAAACTGATGAACTTTTTAATTTGGATCTAATATAGTTCTCCCGGTCTCAATTCAAACACCAATTGTAAACATGCATTGGAGTTTGGTGTGAGATCGGATAACTTTAAAATCACTAATAACAACTGAACCCTTGCATTCTACTTTAAAATTAGAAATCTATTTGATTTATAATTTTAAAAATAATTATCAAGAATTCTAAAAATAAAAAATTATTTTCAAATAATTATAAATAACTGTTATATGCTCATCAGTCGACAGTCATCAAACATTCTTTCATCATTTTATGGCCCGCATTTAAAGCTTTACATCTCATAAAACCCTAACCTCATAAAATAAAAAATAAAAAGCTTTCTTCTTTTCTTTTTTTTTTCTTCCTAAAAGCTTATTCCAAACTTCATAACTAAATCCTCTTCGCAACGGTCTCTTTATTCCAAAATTTCAAATAACAAATCTCGTATTCTACTGTGAAGAACCATAGAAACTGAGAGAGCAAAATGCAGAAGACCCTTCAATTCAAACCCCAACTTCTCATCTCAGAAGCATCCGTTTTTTTCGATTCAAATAGCAAGATCGAGATTTCTACGGATAACTGCTTCTCTGTAACCAGATCCCCTTTAGTCTTCAGACCCTCCAATCTCCTCTTTCCCAATCAATTCTCTTCTCATTTGCTTTCACTTTCGAATCAATCCCACACACAAAATCAAATTATATGCGCAAGAAGTAGCAAAAGGCGATTTGGGTCACAAAGATCGAGAAAATTCATACTTGAATTGGTCGGTTTCGTTGCGTCAAATCTCAATATCTTGCCAGAGCCATTGGGTTTGGTTATCAGAGAATTCGGAGGTGGAAATGGTGGGGGATTAGGGTTTCCTAAGGGTTTTGGAGGGGGAGGCTTTGATGGGTGGAGGGGGAAGAGGAAGAAGAACTTGGGGTTTTTAGGGTTTCTCATGGTGTTTGGTTTGGGGTTATGGTTGCTATTGGGGAAAGAAATGGATAAGGATGTGTTTTGGGGAGGTTCGGGTTTGGCTCTGTTTGGGGTTTTGATTACTGCGTGGAAGAGAGGGGCTAAAGATTGGATTTTAGGGTTTTGTTTTGGTGCTGTGTTGATGGGTGTGGGGTTGAAGAGAGAAGAGTTGCAGAAATGGGCTAAGGGTTGTAGGGCAATGGAGATTGTTAGGAGAAGGAAAAGAAGAAGAGCAATTTAAGAGAAAAGTAACTTCTTGTAGTTGAGGTTTGTTTTTATTCTTTTTTCTTTTTATTCATGTCTTTGTTCATTTTGGGCACTCAGATTCTTTACTATTTGAATTGAGGAAAACCTAGATTTGAGAATTCCTGAATAGAATAGACTGAAATTGATTCCAACATTGTATTGATTACAGTTGAATTTACATACGTGAGCGTAAACTTCGATATCTGGAAACATAGCATTGGTGCTTAATCCTTTTTAATGTATCGTCTTGATCCTGCATAAGCCTTATCAACTTGTTTTCTCACTCAACATGCATACACACTTCTCCAATAACGTAGTTGTTGCATTCATGATCACATGTAAAAAAAAAGATTTCAAATGGATGTTTGTCGTCATCATCATCCTTGCCTTTATCACAAACGAATGGGATTGGCCAATTGGATGTTTATGCTAATACTTATTTACTACATATTACCTATATATGTATCTGGTGCAACTATGAGTGTAGGATTATGTGTATCTGATGTCATTCTCAAGTGGAATTTGGTGGCTTTGACTAGCTGCATTGCAAATCATGTCAACAGAAAATGGCCTGGTAAAGCTTATGAGAGGTTTCAAGGACACAGATCTCAGGAAACTGAAGCTCAATGATACCACCATGGGCTGTGTGCGAAATAGGAGTATAGATGGTGGAACATGGGCTCATATTTGTGTTCTAAATAGGGATGATCCTTTTCAATCAAAGTCAAATTTCAATGTGATTATTTTGCCCAACCTTTTGGACTTATATGAAATATGGCAGCTCAAATGCCGTAAGGGAATTAGAACGCCTCGGAGATAATTGGTTGCCTGTAATTTCCAGGTTGGTGCTTATAGTCAGTGTGAGAGAGCCCATGAAGCAATCTCTAATTTTTTATATGGAAATTCTAGGGTTTAATCCTGAAAAAACTGCCCCTTAGAGTTTGATAGGTGTTATCTGTCACCCATGCAAGACTGTCCAACAGGACACTTGTGTCAAACAAGGGACTAGTAAGTGCGCAATCATTGTTTTGCATTTTGCAAAAAGAAAAGAAAGATTGCTGCAGCATGGAACATTATTGTAGGCTTACTATGCATGATCATGGTGAGGAAGTCCTAAGTACATCTATGCGATTTTCAGAAGGACGTGACGCAGATGAGGTGCCTCAAGTTTACATCAAAACAATGTATGATGGCATTATCAAACCAGAGCAACAAGATGAAATGATAAATTGTTGGCCACTTTTTGATGTTAATGTCCTGGAAAGCGATCATAGCCCATTTTTCTCAGCGCCTTTTTTGCTTTCCGACTTGCTTGTGAAGGCTGCAATGGACTTCCAGTAAATGTAACTAGGAGCTAGCCTGCAATGGACGTCCAGTAAATGTTACTAGGAGCTAGCTTGTTGGCGCTCGTCTCATTACTCACCATTTGAAATCTTATTTTTCTAAAGAATGCATCGGATTTTGCTGTTTGTTCTTGAATAGACCTATGGCATCTTGTAGAGTCTAGGGAGGGCTTTTTTTTTTTAGATGGGAAAAATTATGCAATACAATGTTTAGTGGGAGGTGTTTGAACCATTCATTACCATTTCTCTATCATGGTGTAGCATGGGATTTTAGTTTTTTCTTCTTTTTGGGCAAGTCGTGGATTCTAGTTATGGCTGATTGTTGAACTATTATTATATATGTTGTATAAATATGTATTATTGTGACTGGTTTATAGGTGATGTTTGTTCTATTGGGGGCTGTGATGTGTAATAATACTTGTGTAAAATTTAGTTTTTTACGAAGCCCATTTGAGAACTCCAGCGCCAAGGCAAGGCATCCGCCACCCATGCAAGACTGTCCAGCAGGACACTCATGTCAAATAAGGGACTACTAAGCGCTCAATCATTGTTTTTGCATTTTTGCAAAAAGAAAAGGAAGATTGCTGCAGCATGGATCACTATTGTTGGCTTACTACTGCATGGTCATGGTGAGGAAGTCCTAGGTACATCTTTAACTATTATGAAATCACAACATTTGAGTTTTAAGTACAAGTGGACATGTTGTATGGTGGAAGAGGGTCAAAGACAATTTTACATCAATGAGAGGTCTTTTTTGGTACAATGCCGAAGATAGATGGCAATCTATTCCACTATTGTCATCTGGAACACATTTTCAAATAACTGTAAGATACATGAGAATTTTGATGTCGCCGACCAACTAAGTATAAAGCAATTAAAGATTTTGTGTTTCATTCTGAGATATATATGTATATGTTGGGGTGTCTGGCAAGAAGTCAAGATAGCTGGAGAGTCAGTGATGCGTGAAAAGCTTGCGGGATTGCTTCAGTTTAAATAAAATGTTTTGTTTATGGTTTTGTATAAAGGGATTTTATACCTTTGCAAATTGCAGAGGAATGTATTAGAATGTATTCCATTTTTGGTTTTCAGCATTGTATCATGTATCGAGTCTATCGACACATAGGAGCTACATGTACTGTACACATATATACATTTGTGGAGGAAATTCAATTTGATCATGTGCTCAGCTGTGCCTTAATATAGATTATATATATATATGCTATACATTCAGGAAAAATATAATTGTCATACATTTCGCATCGCTCTCCGTGTCTGCAATATGCATGCTAAATTATTATTTGATATTGTGGATACTGATTACAGAGGAACCCTTTGTTTTTGTAGGTTGGTCTCCATTACTCTTTAACTTAAACAGCCCTACATGAGTCTGCAATTAAATTAATTACTATGCATCATAACACACACACATATGCATTTCTTTGTATTAGACCAGGGCCAAAGTTATTGAACACCAATGTAACTTCATATCTTGGTCCAGAGTACAAGTATCCTCATTTCCAGGAACAACACTACCACAAGTTAGATATTTTACACAATGTTGATTAAAAATATTTTTTAATGGTTCATAATATTATGGGAATCTTTTTGCCTTGAAGATGGGAAAGCTTTTCCCATATATATGGCCGAGCATCAATATTGATTTATTCGTGTTGCAGTGATGTCCCATGAGTGTACATGATCAATATGGAGGGTACATATGGCCACAACATCTCATTTTCAAAGATCACAAGCTGAGAGTTTTGCCTTGCATTCATTTATCACCATGCAGGGAGTTCATCAATTTTCCGGCAAAAGTTGCATTCCAATACTTTGAAAATTGAAGGTTAAAATTTCTGTACGCACAAGGTAAGTGTGTGAGTTTCTTATCGGGATTTAAAATTTAAAAAATAAATGAAGTTCATCAATTTCAGATGGTGATCGGTTCAAAGGCTTTATATTGTCCATCCTTTGATGAGATTGCATGTCCAATCACGCACTGATCAATATCAAATGATCATAATTTTGGGAAGCACATGTGATTATATTATTAAAGGATAAAATGGCACCATTTGGGACATATATGCAACACAAATTCTGAGTGTGATGGAATCGTGTGTGTGATTGTGTGAAACAAGAGAAAACCATCAAGAAGTGAAGAGTGAGTTTGTTTATTTTATCATGCAGGGGAATTAAATTGACTTTTTAACCCGAGGCCTTTAGCTTTCCAAGACATCAACATTATTTTTCTCTATAAGAGAAAAAAAGTGAATCAATCATATTAAAATTGAAAAAAAGGAGCATTCTTTTTATCTTCTAAAGTGGGAACGGTACATACCTCTTTTACTTTCTTATACACTTTCCCAAAAATATAAAATGAGAAAAATGTAATCTAAATAAAGATGGAAAAATTAATTTGAGAAAAAAAAATATATATATACATAAAGAAGACTTAAGTTATGAGTGGAAAATAAAATTAAAAATTGTATTAAGCTACCATCACATGTTGTAGCTTATTAGGTTTTTTATTTTATTTTATTTGTTTATTATTATTTTTTTTCTAGTTATTGTTAGAAATTGAGGCAGCACTTCATGTTGTCATATTTTTAGCCAACACCATGACTCCAAAAGAATAGTATAATGATAAAAGGCTCTTATCTTAAATCTATACACTTTTCTAATATAATTTTTATTTTTTATTTTAACACCACATGTTGTATTAAGCAATTTTCTACTGCCCATATATCTTTTTTAAACAATTAAACAATGGATAATGTGGAAAACAAATTTAATAGATGAAAAAAAAAAAAAATGAAATTCATAGAATTTATAAGAAAAATTACGTAAAATGAGAGAATGATCACGCGTAGCTCGTGTGCAACTCTAATCTAAAAATAGAAAATAAAAAATTCCCAATTGCCACTACAACATTGCATGGTGACTTGTCACTTGAGTCCTATGCTCTCTCTCTCTCTCTCTCTCTCTCTCTCTCTCTCAAATTCGGTTCTAAACTCTCTTTTGGTCTCAACTCTGATTCAGAAGACGACTCCAAAACCCATTCTTTTGTTGCTTCAACAAAATTCGCAAGAGCCTTCCTTCTCACTGGTGAGCTCCTCTGCTTCTTCTTATTAATAAATCATAGGTATCCTTGTTCTCTCTCTAAAATTTTTTTTTCTCTCTCTATAATGGATTATACATGACAAATGTGATATTTTGAACCGTAAATTTGACATGCATTGGAAGATTCTTGCACCCATCAATTTATTCTTCTGATTCTGTGTTGTTTACCTCAATATTCTTCCACTGAAGTGGATTGTTAATTTGTTATGTTATATATATATATATATATATATATATATATATATATTTGTTACCTCTAAATCGAATCAATTTTATTGGGTTTATAAAAAAAGGGTTTTTTTTTTTTTTTTTTTTTTTTTTTTTTTTTTTTTTTTTTTTCTTCTTCTGTAGAATTCTCATGAATTTATATGCTTGATATTAATGACCTAATTTTTACTTTGATATGTTGACCAAGTTTCTGTATCTGCATTATTGTGTTGCCAAAACCAAATGCTGCTGATATTAGTTCTGATCTGAATTAATTCCACCTATTTTATGCTTTTGTCTATTTATAAATTTTCTACCCAAAACTATAATGTGTTTTTTAGTCCATGTTTACCATGAATTCTACATTTTCTGAATTATCAAATTTCATATTTTTCCAAATTTGACCATCTGGTTGACCAAGTTTTGAGAACATTTAATTTTCAGTTTTTTGAGAGTATTACCAAACTTTGACAAAGCTCTTGTTAAAAGTCTTATAAAATTTCAAATTTTTGTTTCACTGATTATGATATTACATTGTTGTTTATTATTATTATTATTTTTTTATTTTTTTGGTTGCAAAATCTTATGTATCAAAAAGTACCACTTGAGATCAGCTTGTGTATGTTTTCTTCATTTGTCATCTTTCGATCGATAGAAATTAAGTTGGCAAATTTTGTATAATTTATGTTTTCAAAAAGTTAGTTGAATTTTCTCTGTTCAAGGGAAAAACAGTGAACTCGAAGCTTCAACAATGTTAAAAAAGTAACTACAACTCTTAAAATTACGTACTCACCAAGTTAGTTCATTTAATTCATGCATTCATATGATTAAACATATTAGGCTTTTTAATTTGCATAATTTGATCTTTATTTTTTTGTATTTAAAACTGCATTAAACTGTTTCCGGAATAGAATTCCTAATTGAGTTAGGATAGGGGAGTTCAATTGATCAAAAGATCACTCAAAACTCGCTGGAATAGGTCCAATCGGAATACATGGGAAGACAATCTCCAGAAAAGTTCTATAGGAAGACCATAAGTTTTCAGAAAAACTATGCAAATAGAGTTTGAGCATCATATGGCATTGAAAGGCACATTTGAGCGCATGCTAGCAATTTTATTGCTAGTATTTTACTTGTTTTCATCCATCATCCATTCATATAGATAGTGAATGACTTTTGAGTGTTGAACATACAATCCTAGAGTGTTTAAGGACTTCGCAAAATCCACACATTAATCGAAGATTGGACGACTAGTCATGGAGATCAAAGCACAAATTGAAGAGCAGATCACTTGAGCAGCAACAGCGTTTGAAAAGAACTTCTGGCAAGACTCTGGTCGGATGTAACAAGGTGACTAGGATTAAAACTTGAGACCTAGGTTTATGAACCTTTCTTCCAATAATGGATTTGATCTACTTGGATTACGCCCTGTCGATGGTGGTTTCCTCTTAAAAATTTGGTTTCATGTTTTTTATGCTTTATATTCAACACAGTACATATTTTTAAATAATTAACTTTTAGTCAAATTTTAAAATTCAGTTGAAGTTGGTTTAATTTTAAATTTCTGTTAAAAGAAGTTAATTTAATATCAAAAGCTGTTCATTCCTCTTCTAGATTTCGGGCCTTTGCGTACTGTCACTACCGAAGCCTTGGGTGAAAGTCCTATCACTCAATTGTTACAGTGCCAACGTTGACTTCTTGTGTCAAAGTGGTGTCTGTTGGAGTTGTGATGGTTGCATTTCTATTTTTCCATTTTCTAAGTGGATTGTGATTATAGCTTATATTGAATATGATTATTGCTTTGCTGGTATATCTATTTTTATGTCTTAATTTTCGGTTTTCTTGTTTACTCTGACCTTTCTTCATATGGTTAAACATCATTTATTGCTTCTTTTAAAAATTTAAATCCTCATCCCATCATATTGGAGCTAAATATTACCAGTTCTGGACAAGATAAGTTGAAGATCATTCCCATTAGTTGCAGCATCTTATGTGGTGGGTAAAAAATGTGTGCTCTGAAACTGTAGTTTGCTATTCCTACTCAAGCCATGTGAGATCCATGATTTCCTTGTTAGTGACTCCTGAGTTCTTCATGACAGATTCTTGAACTAACTTGAGTTAAGTTTGATATAATTCTACCTCTTCAATATGAACACACAAAGCAATGGCAATATATATATATATATATATATATATATGCATATATATAAGTGGTTTTTTGCAATTTACTATTTGTGTGTGTGGAGACATAACATTTCTCATTTAATTGTCCATATCTACATGTCTGAAGTACGACAACCACTTGGAGCATATGGGGCTCATTAAGAGATACAACTTGTATCTTCCTTCTATTCTTGCAAGCAATTTAGGTCAGAGAAGCTCAATAGAATCAACACTCAAAGTTCAAAGCATATGGCCTTTTATGGCTTTAAGTGGACATGGTATACAGTCGTCGTAAAAATGCTAAAAATATGTGCTTAGGAAGATGTAATCAAGGTTTTTTCTTGTGCAATCCTTGTATTTGTGCAGTGAAATTTTTTTCTGTATGTGGAAGTAGATTAAAAATTATCTCATGTCCTATTAGTTACTAAATTTTGTGGCATCTATCGTTAGTGGAGGGTGAACTGTATTATAACTGTTCCATTTTGAAACTTTAGTTCTGCCTTGCATCAAAATCATTCCCATTTATGGTAATAGAAACATATGTCTACGAGTACATCTTTATTTCCCCAATGTGAGACACTTCACGCATAATTCTTTGCCTCATATTGTGCGGGAATGATATTTCCTACTGATCTATGCCATTCTTCGTAGTATACCTGACAATTTGGGAGGTGTAGCCGCAATAACACCAGTTTCTATATGTCTGTTGGCTAACATTTTTACTGGTGAATTATTTAATCTAATCTGTTATCGCTGTGCTTCCTGCCAAATAGTTAGCATTTATGGCATTATTAAATTGTAGGTTCATTGTGTTTTTTTAAGCAAAAAATCCTTCTTTACATGATGTTTTATTGTCTTAGGACTGCTGCTGCTACTTGCAGATTTCGATCTACTGTCTCAATAAATGAAATGGATGGCTCACCTCAGGCCACAGAATCTCTCTTCGCTGTCGCGACTAAATCAGACATTGCATCAACTGGTTTGGTGCCGAGTGGTTTGGTGCCGAGTGACGATCAGTGTTTCCTCCTATATTTCATCATGGGTATCTACTTTGGGCCTGATCTCAAAGGAGAAAGCCCTCAAAAGTCTGTCCTGCAAAGACTTGCCGAGGGTCTTCCACCGTATACTTCTGAGCAACTTACTGGTTCCCACATGAAAACATTAGAAGTAGAGAGGATATACCACTATGTACTAAGAAAGGCAGATCAATCTTTAATAGTGAAACTACCTTGGCTGAACCAGTTCTTTCATGGGAATCTCCCTACCCTCGCACAAGACTCCAGTTTTGCGTACCCTCAGTTTCCTGATCTGTTTCCTCCCGCACTTCATCCCCATTCAATGTTCAAAAACCGGTATAAAATTATCCAAAACATCGTATTCATTAACAACCCTGAAATCTTTTACATTAAGCCTGAGAATGTTGAAAAGTTTAAGAGGCTAACCGGGCTAGAAGATTTCCTTTTGGATAGAGATGGTGCAATGCTGCACAATCTTGTGAAGGGTGACATGTTATACGACGTGGCAATTCAGGAGGTTGAATCTAATGGAGAGATGCCTAACCCAATGCCTGGTCATGGTCCTAATAGAACAGATCACATAAATGACATTCCTGAGCCCAAAGATGGTCTGCAAGATGTACATGCTGTGAAACCTATCAGTGGACTACATTGTAATGGGTTACCTATGACATGCAGTTATATGGCTCCATTGCCGACTGAAGTAGACACTACGCTTGTGGAGAGACTCGAGCCGCGTATGATATTTCTTCCTTCTCAACCAACCATGGAAGAATGGGAAGACATTCTATCTGCAACTAAAAGTGGATCTGCACTTACAGGGAGTGCAGCAATGGGGCAGATTGGACCAGTTATTGGACTTATTGACATTGGGGAAAGTGAGGATTCCTACCTGTTCCGCGTGTCTCTTCCTGGGGTGAAGAGGGATGAAAGTAAGTTTTCTTCCAGATAAAAGATTTTACCAATCACTGAATATCATTGCCTTGCATGGGTTTTTTTTTTTTTCGAAAGTTCAAGCAAACACACACACCCAATGTATTTTCTCCCTACCGAGGCTTCAACACTCAACCTCCCCTTCTAAGAGAGCTTATACCATCTAGGCTAGTGCCCATTGGTAAAATGTGATGGATAAGGGTATAGCTTTACATGGTAATTGTTAATGCATAGTTATCTATTTTTGTCAAAGTAATTTATTTTCAGGACTTTTTTTATATCGTGCATACTTGAACTATATTTATTTGAATAACATCAGTAAGAGAGATTATAAGCAGATGTCATTTCGGTTTTAGAAGTCCCTGCTTATTACAATGTGCCATTATTTTCACGAAAATGAAACCCGTATTTCTGCCATGCACTATCGCTTTTGTGGCCTTTGATCGTTTTGTCCCTTCATTTAAAATCTCAAAATTGACTATTATAAACTTCATTATGTTATTGATCTCAGTTCTATATTTTTTCCTTCCTGGTTTTCACTACCATTGATAGACACTGCAATATGGTTATTACTTTCGTGATTGCAGGAGAATTTTGTTGTGAAGTTGAAAACGATGGCAAAGTACTGATAAGGGGAGTGACAACCACAGGTGAAAAAACAGTTTGCCGGTACTCCCAAATGTTTGAAATGCAATCTCAGAACCTCTGTCCGCCGGGCCACTTCTCCATCTCTTTTAGGCTGCCAGGTCCCGTAGATCCTCAAAATTTTTCTGGTAATTTTGGTACTGATGGAATTCTTGAAGGAATTGTGATGAAGGGTCAACAATGAAGCGCTAGTAATTAAGCTCGTGTTATGGTCCTGAAACCTTTTTCCTTAAGCATCTAGTGATGTATATTCAATTAGAATTGCTGGTTTGTAAAGTTCCTGTATTTTTTTTTTTTTTTTATCTTCATCGATGTTCTTGGGGATACTTGAACCCTATACCTTTCACGTTGAAAGGAGAGGATACCACTAGGCTACAGGCCTTGGTGGTGGTTTGCAATGACCAAATTAAAGTATTAAAGTTCTGCAGCATCTCCCTCTACACCCAGTCACACACACACACACATGTTATGTACAGGCCTTGGTGGTGGTTTGCAATGACCAAATTAAAGTATTAAAGTTCTGCAGCATCTCCCTCTACACACAGTCACACACACACACACACACACACTGATGTTATGTGCTTTATGTACCCATAACCCGTTTGAGTTGTGAACCTGAATGGCATTGCTGTGGTGCAAAACTGAACCTTCAGAACAATGGTCCAGAATAATTTTGTGGGTGGTCAACTCCTTATCGATATGAATCAGGGGCGGCTCGAGCCTTAGGCGAGTTAGGCGGTCGCCTAAGGCCCCAATCAATAAAAAGGCCCAAAATATTATAGTTGTCTTATATATAATATATTGTAATTGTTTTCTAATTGAACACTAATTCTAAAAAATTTATCTCCTAAATTTCTCTCTCCTTATCCATTCACGCCTTTTCATTCAAGAGAAAAATTATTTATCTCCCAAAATATCTCATTTTTTTTTTCATAATTTCTCTCCTACTCATTCACGGTTTCTAAGTAAACCAAACCCTAATTATTACATACACTTAATATGGGCCAAATATTTATATTCTTAAATAATATATTTTTTCTCTGTCTATATTATACATTTTTTTTTATACATGTTAATTTTTACACCAACACTATATATATATTTTTTTTGGGTAAGTTGCACCACAGTAAATATTTAGCACTTATATTGGGAAGTGAGGAAACTTTTCAGATTCTCTTTTTTTAGATTTTATTTTTCGCAATCCTCACGTTTATTCTCTCCTCTCTCAGCAAACTCAACAAATTACAAGTCATCTCCTTTCTCAGTCCTCTTCCATTACAACTTTATAATTTTATTTCTTTCCAACTCAATATTCATTAGTCTCAAATCTCCATTTCAACGCACTTCTCGACCCAATATTCATTAGTCTCAAATCTCAATTTGAACGTACTTTTCTTTTATTGAAGAATTTTCAAATCTCTAAATATTTAATTATTTTTTAGTTTTACTAACTTTTGTTATTATAAATTTGTATATATCTATATTTTTCATATATTTATATATTTGTTTGTGAGTTACGAGTCTTGTAAGTATTTTTATTCATATTTTTTTAAAGCAATGATGATTTTTAGATAATTATTATTTAATAATTAATATATCACATCTTATGATATGAAAAGGCCATTTTTTTTTTTTTTTTTCGCCTAAGGCCCCGAGTTACTTCAAGCCACCCCTAATATGAATTGAAGATAAAAAGTTATCATATCCTAGGCTAATGCCCATATAATTCACTAGTTTTAGCTGAATGAAAATTCCTAACTGTCAAGGAATATTATATATATATATATATATATATATTGTTCAGTTTGTGAATCCCAACTGCACATAACTAGGTTTTGCTTGTATCTAAAATCTAGTGTTCACAACCGTTGAACTCTAGGACTGCTCAACCTATAATAGCCTCATTAGGGTCTCTCTCTCTCTCTCTCTCTATATATATATATCAACAAAGGATCTGTGCCGTATTCCATGACACGCTCACTGTTACTACCCACTTGTCTGTAAAATATGTGAAAAGCGTGGACACGATGCCTTGCAGTGTGGGCATAATATTCTACACACACGAACACATAAATCTGTGTGTCTATCCATTGATCCATCTACTATCTGTTTCTTTCTATGTGTATATATATATATATATCCATAAACTTTTTATCTATTTATTTATATAAGAATATGATTAAACTCCACGACAAATAGATGCATACACCAGTATAGTCAAAACTTCGGATCCAAACAAAACTATATCCAATAAACACCTAATGAGACTGCTGAAAACACAGGCTTATATTGCAAACCATACTGAGGGAGCTAAAAACATTTTAGGTTTTAGAATACAAACCCACTAACTCATGATAGGGTTATGGAAGTTGTACCCTATCAGTTTATGATGGTACCGCTCAAAAAGTACTCTCTTTTGAACCAGTTCATAAATGTCTGCAGATCCCAAATATTTGAGATCATTAAAATTTAGTCCTGAACAGAGGACAACTTCACATATATGATTAGAAATAATTGTACAACCCCTAGTTGTTCGTTCAACGAGGTGAAAATGACTATGTTCTCTTTATGAAAACCAGTCAAGGAGATTTACACAAAATAACAATCACTTGTCCTGCTCATTTTTCAGTTCATATTTTTTCACGGTTAAATTTTAGCAAGTATTTGTAAAAGAACATGGCTTCAAATGTGAGGATATTATAGTAACAAATGTTCGCGTTAAAGGATAAAGAGGTTAAATCTAAATCTGATCCACCCCCCTCATCACCCTCAATCAACTAGAGAACACGGCTGATTAAAAGCCTTTACCTTCCCAGTTGTTGGGCATGAAAAGATGCAGTTATACGACTGGTGAAAAAGCACACGATCAAGAAAATCAGCGAAGAGCCCATACGATATGCTTCCTCTCAACACAAACATAAAAGCTTGCTCTCCATATGCTGTTCCTAATATCGGGCATTTGGTTCAAGCAACATCCAATTCACACAATCACAGTAACAACTAAACAGTTTAAAAGAAAACCACGTGTAGTAAACAAGGGGGCTATTTCTGCAGCCTAAAAGGCTGCAGTAATATTAATTTCCTACGCAACAGTTGCAATCAGTTTTTGGCATTTTATATAAGAAAAATCATTACCATGAGGTAGCATTTCTATATAGCTATTTCAGACAACATTTTCCCTTACTGACAGGATATGAAGAGCAAACAACCAATGAAAGACATATTAATGATAACTATGCTACGTGAGCGTATTCTTTACCAAAGGCTCCTTTCTTTCAGCTGGCATCTTGGGTGTATCATTCCGTACTGAAGCTCTCTCCTTCCGCTCTGTCAAAATTCACATGTTACCATTAACAATAAGAACAGCATCCATAAAATTCAACACAATAAGAACACAACGTAAACTATTTTCACATGTAAATTCTGAATAGAATGGAAAACGATATTTACATGGTTAGGGCTTTGAGAAGAGGATAGAGGGGGATGTTGCGCAGAAATGTACACAAATTGGCTTTGAACTTCAAATAAATTGAAAAGGGTAAATTGTATTTAATGAAAATTAAGAATGTGGAACGTGGTTACATGCTATAGTTGAAGATGTTCAAAAAAAAAAAAAAAATTTACCAGGCGTATCTAGTTTGATCTTCATTTACAATGCAAATTGCATAAACCTTTCTATAATCGGAAATGTCAAAATGGATGCAAGAATTCATCAGCAATATAACAATAAGAATTACAACTACGCCCGAGCAAGTTGCAGTTATCATCAGAAAATGGACGGAGGCACGGAGATTCATCTGCACTGAAAGTGTAATTGAACCCACATTTTAAAGCTTTTGTCATACCCTAATGTTGGCCTCATCATTTCAAGGTGGTAAGAGAGATGGGATAAAGGTAGACCTAACATTTGACATTATTTGCGCAAGGTGGTTGTTCTTGACTTGACAGCCCGAGCTTTTTACATTGCATCAAAGCAATGGCTCCCTTAAACAAAATATCTATTTGCTTACCAAAAATAAGAGACCAGTATTTAATCATATATTCATGAGGGAAAGTAATAAATAATTATAAAATTTGATTTATATAAACAATTACCATTAGGTCTGTGATGCCCTTGGACTCCGCAGTGGCAGGAGCCTCACACACTGGGCTAGCCTTTTATTTTTATTTTACAGAAAAGAATCTTTCAAGATAAAGATACCAAATTCAGAAGGGAGGACAAAGAAGTGCAAGCACAACAGTAGTTATCTGAAACATATAATTTGCTATGATATTCGGAGTTTAGTAGAAACTAATCATATTAAAGAACAGCACTCACCTTTTGAAATTTGTGCGCTTCAATTCCTAAGAATCTGATGGCGACTGTGGTTGCTGTGGTGCCTGTGGCCACATTTGTTGAGCCATGTAGGGATAAGGCTGCTGAGCGTACAAAGCAGGATCCATCACAGGCTTGCCCATCATCATCCCGGGAGTTCCAGCCTGAGGTGAATGCTGGGCTGGCATATAATAGCAGGGAAGTGAATCAGCAGGCCCTCCAACGGGCATTGCTCCTCTTGGCATTGAAGCAAGTGCTTCATCTCTCGGATCCTCCCTTGGCACAATGTCGACCAAAAAGTCAAAGATATCAGTTCTTGTTATTGCTGCTGCGATGTCATTCTTTTGGAGTGTCCTCCTCTTATTTTCCTCGGTGTGATTCCAAGAGCGCAAAGTCAATTCTAAAATGAACATCTCACATGCTCTGGCAAATACAATTGGTGCCTCGGCTGAAATCATTCTAACATCCTCATCAGCCTTCATGATCTTCTTGATTCTTGCCAAGGGAAGGCTATGGTTCTTGAAGTCAGTAACTTTCTCAATTTCTTGGTATTGGCCGGCCCAAAAAGACTGGAGTTGTTGTTGCAACTGCTGTTGTTGCTGCTGGTGGATATGCTGATAGGCAAGATGGTGCTGTGCAAGTTGAGCTCCAGCTGGCTGACCAGCAGACTGCATGTTCCCAACAGATGCAAGAACTGATCCTCGGCCGGGTGTCCCAGTCATTTGGTTTTGTTCATACGAGTTTGCACTATAAGGCAGAGCTGCAGTACTGACAACACCAGTGACCTGCTGATGTCCATGCCCCTGCTGATCCATTCTGTCTTTTGTATTTTCATAAAAAGAAAAAGAAATAGTAATAATAGAGGCCAAAGTTATTCTATGGTTAATAACAGGACAAAATTGAACATGTAATTAAGTAGTAGAAGTGGAATGATATAGCATTTAAACACAAATGTGTTAGCAATATCATTGCTGCAAAAATCTGAATTTAAACTCTCCTCAACAAAGTATTTTTCCAACTATTTGGGCTGGCTACTGGCTGTATGAATCTTGTTTCGCTATTCACAGTAAAATGTTAATCTCAGTTAATCACATGCTATCATATCTTTCTTTACAATCTCAACTCATTAATTTTAGAACCCCTTCCCTAACATTACCCTTAACAAAAACCACCTCATTATTCCTAATCAGTGCACTTATAGGCCATTGTTGCATATGGCCGACCATCTCAGTCAATTTTCTCTCATTTACCTCCAATTAGCACTACTACATCAACCATCTCACAAAACGTTTGCAATCCTGTCACTCTCATTTTAAGAACATGTTTTTGTCCGTCCAACATTCTGTCCTACAAGTGTGGCTAGTGTAATAGTTGAACTATAAAAGTAGCCTTCCAATTTTAGAGGTATACGGAAATCACAAAAAAATACAGAATTACTCCTCCATTTCACCCATCCTGCTTTAAATCCATGATTAGCGCCGTCTCCAATTTCTCCATCTCTATGCATAATCGAACCTAGATAACAAAAATGTTCGTTTTTTGGTGTTTCTTGACAATTGATCTATACTACATCCCTACTTGCATATCTAATTTTACAAAAACATACATATACATATACATATTCAGGTTTAGTCTTACCTTTTTTACTCTATAGTTCCTCTTCAAACTTCTAGTTTGCACTTATCACTACTCTAGTTTCCTGGTTTCATCAATCAAAATGATATCATAGCATATCATACATGATACATCATGAAACCTCAGTATTTATGTTACTACTGCATCCATAGCTAGGAAAAAAAGATATAGATCCTTTATGTAAACCTATAGTAATTGAGAATCACTTGTTTATCCCGCATTTCTTCTTAGCACAACCATCGTCTCATCATGCATGCCCTTCAGCAGCCCAACAAATCTCTAAGGTAACTTTTTTCATATCTAAAACCCATTATATCATACCTCTAGGAACCATATCTTAGGCTTTGCCAAATCTATAAATATTATATGGAAGTTTTTCTTTTTCTCTAATAATATCCACCACAAACACATTTTGTAGAATAGAAAAAACTCAAAATGCATATATTTATAAAAGAACAAAATTTAACTCGACATCCTATAATACAGAAAGACCACTTCAAAAATTATCAGAAACCCTTCTAAGTTCAACATTTTTTGTTCTTATGTCAATAGAAAAAGCTTTATACTTATTCCTCAATAGATGAAAATATCAATAGCTAACTATCCAGTTTATTTGCAGCTCCGATTATAAGTTTTTGTTGACCACAACCTGTAGGAACCAGGCTATCTATACAACTGAGATTCTATGCTAAGGATAAAAGACTTTGGGGATATAGAGAAGCTTGTCAGACTATACCAAATTAGGTGTTAGTGAATTCGGATAATTGCTATTTCTTCCCTGTATAAAAATAGATCTCTACCCTTAATAGATAATTTAAATGGGTTTAAACGAAAATTTTATACACTATCAACAATTGAATTTATATATAAAATAAAATAAAATAAAATAAAACCCTAAACAATGATCAGTAGTTTGAACTCTCCAAAAAAATTCTCTCTCATTTTACCTGTGCCAAACATCTAAAGTTTGAAGAAGACAGATGCTGCAAAATTTAAGTTGCTAGTGAAGGCAAAAAATTCACCAAGAGGTCATGCAGTCTTTTTCCTCTTTGCACATGGAAGAAAAATTCAATCTTAATACTGATGCCAAAAGATACCACCCAAAAAAAAAATGTTCCTATCCACAGAAAAATAAAAAATAAAAAATAAAAAATAAAGACGAACAAGACAAAACACTCTTCTGCTATAGAGGATCACCTTAGCTTCATAAGTCTTCTTAATTTACTTTCTTTCAAATGTCACCAAAATAGTGAGACAAAGCTAAAATTTTGCCTTCATAAGTTCTCACAAGAACTACCCTCAATGTAGAAGAAACCTTTTTCTCACCATAAAGTGGGAGGTAAAAGAATTGAATCCTTTGTATAACTGCTCAAAATTAACATCTCAAATTGCATCATTTTTATGACATTTTTCCAGTCAATCAAATAAATCTCACTCAGCTGAGCTGCAAGTTATTCTATTGGAACAAGACTTCCCAAAACTTCATCAATCGTTTAACATCAGAAGGAGGATTACTAATGAACAAGTCTTGCCATTTAGATTGCAAGTAGTCCTACGGAACCAGGATGTGAATTATCTTCCTAACCCTTATAACTTACCTTCCTTGATTTTATTTTATATGTTCCTACAGCATGTAAACACCAACAAGCTGCTCAATTGGTTTCAACCTCTTCTGAAGCATTATCTTCTAGGAGACTCATCCGATGAGCCAAAACAAGAATAAAAATGCAAATGCGGTAAGTACACAATTGTTAGTAGAATAGGAAGCAGAACCAAGAAGAGACAAGACAATGAAAAGAACGCCCACTTGGAAGCAAAAAAAAAGGAAGGAGTTTGAAACTGAACGAGGCACTCACTGGGAACCTAAAAGGCAACTGTATCAGAGGATACAAATAAGACCTAGGTTACATGATAGAAAAAGAAGTTGATAACTAAAATAAGATACAAATAAGACCTAGGTTACATGATAGAAAAAGAAGTTGATAACTAAAATAAGAATATGAACAATTATATGATGGGCTTGATGACATCTAAAGAGTATATGAACGAATGAAATTTATTATGGAACACATATTCCCCAAGAGTTTGGAACACTCAATTTAATAACTGCAAAACTTTCAATACTTTTTCTTCCTTTTCATTCTTACTTAAAATGAGGGTGGGCCTTGGCATAACAGTAAGGTTGATCCATTGCGACTTGGAGCGTGGAGGTCTTAGTTTCGAAACCAAAAACAACCTGTCTATAGACTCTATACAGAGGTAAGGCAACATACATCTGACTCTCCCAACCCAGCAATAGCGAGAGCCTCATGCACTAGACTAGTGTTAGGAAGAGCTTGTCCCACATCAGATCCGGATGGGAAATGACTTGGAAATATGTAAGACCGTAGGTGAGTATGCAAGACTACCTAATAGCTTAAACTTTTTGCTCAGAGGACAAAAGCCTGGCCAGCTAGCCAGTGTCTTAAAATGCTTCTTAGGCATTTCCAAAATGCTTTGAAAAAGTATTCTTTTGTTTAGGAAATGTAAAAATTATCTCCCACCCTAGATGAAGCTAAATCATTATATGATAAAAACAAAAAATATATATAAGAATATCATATCGTGTAACATCTTTAGATTCTGAAATTTTCCAAGGACCCTAAAAAAACATTTAGATTATGAAAAGTCCCACATCTTTTTCCAATCCAATGCGTCCCATGTGTCTCAAAAAACTTGTCACGCAACTCCATACATTTCAAACGTAATATAAGGTTATCACTAAAATTTAATGAATCCATAAATGATTTGGATGGTTTGATTATTCAACTCATAAAGATGATCTTACTAGAAGTATCATACAAATTGGCTCATTAAATGTAAACTTGGATCCTCTCGTCACCGTTACTCTTCATCATTAATTCCTTAAGAGTCTAACTTTAGAGATTTCTATCAGCTTGGGAAAAGGAAAAAAAGGCATCGAACACATAATTTCCTAATTTCGATCTTTCTTACTGAGGACCAAACATCCAATGTTGCTTTTGATGAGAGGAGGCTACAGAGTAAACACACAAACACATAAAAAATAAAGATAAAATAAAAAACTCTTTAAAAGCAGATAAAATAGACCTGTCTTAGCAAATTAAGGGACCATAAAGTAAACATTTTTCCCATATATAAGTTCTTTTAAATATTGATTAATTAGAAGGAAATATAAAAAATATAAATTATTCCGAATACATGTTTGTGGCATTTACGTATATATATATATATATATTCCTAAAAATTATTAAATATATAATATAGAGAGAAAGAGGGTACCTCTTAAATTCGAATCTATGCTGCTCTCCTCACAAAGATTGATCACCTGAAAAAGGAAGTTAATTTTATCAGATTAAAACATCGGAAACTACGAAAATTAAGAACAGATGCCAAAAGGAAAAAAATAAATAAATAAAAGACAAAATCGAAGAACTTTGACCAATAATTGATAAATGGAACCCAAATTTCTTTGAGGTTATTTAACGATATAGACCTTAGTTAGGGTTTGAGAAACGTAAGTACCGTAACTATGATTGTTTTTGTTTGATCGACGGACTTAACGAAACCGAGAAAGCGAGACTTTCGATTCTGACTCTGTTTGTCGAAAGTCGCCGCTTTTGTCGGGTATACTATGCTGTTTTTTTTTTGTAAAATGACGTTTTTAGCCTTCTTTCTGATGTTATCTTCGAACCAGCGATGCTCACGTCCTGGTGAACTGTATGAATTATCACGTGCCATTGGGCTCTGAAAAGCCAATTAAATGTTTTTTTTTTTTTTTTTTTTTTTAATAAAGTACAGTCACACCTGTAGTTTGACAAAAGAATATTAAACTTATTTTTTGGATAAAGACATTCTTTAAAAATTTAAAAATAAATAAAGATACCCATTTACATGAAAAATTGACCAAATTATCGTTTAACAGTTTATGAGACTTTTTTAACTTTACAATTTAATAAATTAAACTAATCTACCCTCATGAACAATTTATACATTAAAAAAAAAAAAAAACTTTATATTGTTTACTTTTTTTTCTTTGTTATTTACTTTATAAATATCCTAACTTCTTAAAAATGTAAACGTCTAAAATAATTTTTTATCCAATACATATATTTCAAATAAATTATATTTTGTTATTACTTTTTTTTTCTTTTTAAATTAAGATATTTAATTCTTTCATTTTAAAAATTAAACCAATTTCTTTTTCTTAAAAATAAAAAAAATGGTACCAGTATATCTTTATGTATTTTAAATTTAAATTATATATAAAATATTATGCATTTCTCAACATAAAATAAAATACTACATCTCTTCTTATCTCAAATGCATTCTCCTGATTAAAATTATAAATTTTTCCTCACTTATGATTTTGATGCTTTGATCCATGTCCAAAAACTTACAAATAATTAACTTTCACATATCAATTTTTTTCTATCCCCAGTAAAAAAGAAAATATATATATATCATTTTAGATGTCTACATTTTTAAGAAGTTAACACACACACACACACACATATATATATATATATATATATATATATATATATTTTACTTTTTTTTTTGTATGCATAAATTATTCATAAGGGTAGATTAATCCAATTTATTAAATTATAAATTTAAAAAAAATCTCCTAAACGGTTAAAAGGTAATTTGATCAATTTCTCATGTTAGGTTCATTTTTGAACCTTCAAGGTTATCTTTGTCCAAAAAAATAGATAAATTTTTTCTGAATATCTTTTTGTCAAGCCTCAACTTTAAACTCTTTTTTTTTTTTTTTTTTTTTTTGAACCTCCCAATTATATATATGTTTTTTTTTTTTTTTTTTTGCCCTATAGCATGTATTTACCCAATAAAATATTTTTATTTTTTATTTTTTCTCACTATTCCTCTTTCTACTCTCTCTTGACCAACCATCATCGGTACCATCCACACCACCACCCTCTAGCCATAAAAACATATATATATATATATACACACACACAATTAAGTCTTCAGTGAAGCACATGTCAGTGCACGTTACTGAGATTTCCGGTGAAGACTGAAATTTCTAGGTTCTTATTCACCGAATTTCTTGTCGTTGAAGCTTAAGGCTCTCGGTTGGTCTTCACATTGCTGAAATTCTCAGCATGGGTATTGATTGAACCAGCAAGCAACTCTCTGCATGAGTCTTCAATGGATCTCTGACTGTGCGTGGGGTCGCCGGAGTTATTGGGTCTTCAATAGCGTGGTTTCAGTTGGGTCACATCAAACAGTTTTGTTGTGCCTGTGTCATATTTCTATAGGAGATTGATGTGATGGAAGAGGAGTTGAATATCACGACAGAGCTTATCAAGAAGCAAGAAAGACTGATTCAACGATGGAGAAAAGAGTCACCAAAATAATAAATACAAAAATAAATAAAAATATCAAAAAACACTCACAAAAATAGTGACCACCTGGCCACATGACACGTAGAAACGCAAATACCCAACACAACCCAAGGGTGCACAAAATCGAAGTCAACACTCAGAATTGTCCGCACACACATAGATGAAGTATAATCAAAACAGCAATGATTCCGGCCAAGATTTTACAAGGAAAATTCCTCTCAATAAGAATCAAAAAAGTTAGTTCTTGGAGGATTCGAATCATTAACATTTCTTTTAAAGACAAAAGAGATATTACTAGACAATAATCTTTGATGTGAGATAATAACTTAAACATATAAAAACATGCATATTCACGTTTACAAGAGGGTAAATTAAACGCTTTAATATACAAATATTTCTCAACTGAAAAATAAAAAATATTATTCAAAAAAGAAAGAAATAAATAAATAAACATATAACATCATTCAAAATCTAAAAAATAATTTAATTTTTTTTCTTAAAAGTAAACATTTCTACAGCATATGGTATTCTTTGTGAGATGATCAAAAGACGCATCCACGTTAAATTTGAGCACATCCCTAGCTAGGAGGAGGAGTCCAAAAAGAAGAGATGGAAGATGGGGCACTAGAAACGGCCATAGTAGGAATATTGTATGTCATCTCCAAGTCCCAAAATTCTTCAAAGCTGGCCACACCAGGGTGGATAAGGCATCCCTTTTGCAATTTTCAAAGTGCCGAGAGTTTTCAGTTAACTTTATCAAACTGTATATTGTTAAAAAAAAAAAGAGACAAACTTTCATTTGACTGTAAATAAAATAAACTTTAATGAGGGTGAGTGTAATTAAAATTTATTAATTTATTAGAGTGGTTTCCTTATGTTTTTGTAACTTTAACATGAATATTGGTAGGAACGTACCAAAAACCATGTGGACCAAAAATTAAATATAGTGTACCTAAGCATAATTTTAATTTGTTAACAAAAACCTCCTGTTACCTAAAAACTAGAAACTAATGTGGATCCGTTAAAGGTACAATCTTGCTTCTACGTTCTAATCTACTACGCGTTCGATAGGAATATTTGATATTACCCAAAAAAATTTCAATTTTTTTCACATGCATATAGGTGATATATACACCTGCATGTATGTCCGTACTTGTTAAATGCATCAATCAAAGAAAACTCAGAGAAAACAAAACAAAACAAAAATTTAGACACTTAAAAGCCTATTTACTGGTCTGCTTGGTTTTTTGGTTCTCAAAAATTTAGAAAAAGGAGAATTAAGATGGCTCTTGAAAAATAAGGCCACGTTTGGCATTCATTTTGTTTATGTTGTTTTTGTTTTGGGACTGCTACATTGTCGATTTTGGCAACAAAAATATGTTCGGCCTTGTGTTATTTTACACAGTGCTAAAACACTTCGTGAACAGTGGCCCAAAATCAAAACACCAAAAAGATATTTTTTCTATTTTGACAATTGTTCATGGCCCAAAACCATAACTATGTGTTTTTGTTTCTGACATTTTCATAACAAAACATCGTCCCTAAACGTGCTTCCGATTTTTTTTTTCAAAACACTCTTACAGTAAAAACAATGTTTCTGTTGTTTTAGCCAAAAACAAAATGCTTAAAACAAAGCGCATGCCAAACGGACCCTAAGTCTTTTTCAAAACATTCAACCAATCAGAATTTTTGTAATTTTCAGTTATTTGCAAACACAAAACTAGCAAGGCAGATAAGTATTAATGCACATGTAACATATACGATAACAAAAGTCTGAAGTTTGAGACACATTAAAATTTGTGGAGTAGTGTCTAGAGACAGGGAGGAGTCGTCTAATATATTAGTGAGTTTTTAAGAATTTGTAGATTAGAGAATATTTTAGAAGAGTATTGAGTTTTGTACTAATAGTAAATATTTAAATAGAAAATTTTAGAGACTAAACCTTACTCTTTGATTGTAATGTATTCTATGGATTCGTTAGGGAGGATGAGCCCAAGAAGGAAGTCATCAAGTACTAAGAGTTAGGAGAAAAACTGAAAATCAAAATTATCTGCATATATCTCATTTTCTTCTCCAAACATTGAGTTATTATAGTGTATGTAGAACTAATAAATTTAAGTATTAAGTACAAAGGTTGCTCAACGTACAGATTGTGGCAGAAGACCTCTACCCCTATACAGGAAGGTAGTCATCAAGTCTTAAAGTTAGGAGAAAGACTGAAAATCAAAATTATCTGCCTATATCTTATTTTCTTATAACTAATAAATTTAAGTAAAAGTAGGAAGGTTGCTCGAGGTACAGAGTATGGCACAAGACCTCTCCAAAGGATAGGATTATAGTAGTAGACGAAACTGAGTCGATATATTCCTGTATTGGAACTTAGTTTCCTTCAAAATTTCAAATATTAAATCGTAAAAATAACAAACTCGAGTAGTAATTGTCTTTATGCTTATCTTTCTCCTTTATGAGAACTAGTCATCTTGGGGAAATCACATTGATCTGATCATAATATTCATGCCCCTCTAGTTGAAGAATCTCATAATATTCATGCCCCCTAGTTGAAGAATCTCATAATATTCATAGTTGAAGAATCTCATAATATTGATGCCCCTCTAGTTGAAGAATCCCTTACAAAATTTCACTTCTAAAGGATTCTTAATTTCACTGCTAAAGGATTCTTCCCGACATCCAAAAATGAAAGAGTGACATGTAAATGTAGGGGTAGGAATAATAATCAGGTAAAAATAGAAACAAACACTAACGGTGATAGCATGCAATGAACAGTCAACTTTCTTAGCTAAAATATTTTGAAAATAAACTGAAAGAGAACATTGCACAGTGTAGCCACCAAGAAATTGAATTTGAAAAATGAATCAAGTTGTGATTGTATAATCATGCAAGAAAATTGTATGCATTAATGCATAGTTTCTTTTTCTTTTTTTCTTTTTTTCTTTTTTTTCTGTTCTGAATGGTTTTATAATTTTATTGATACAAAATAAGCAAGGCAAGGCATACCCTAAACATGAAGAATAACAATACTGCAGCAATAGAGAGAAAAAAAGAACAGCTTGATTAACACTAAAGCAACTAGTCCAATAGCAGCATTAAGAAATGTGTGGTAGATCTGAAGGGGATAAGCCAACTGCATCAAGACCCTCAAAACACGACTCCATTGCCAACTGTTGAGGAGAATGGACTGTGACACCATGCACCCTTCTGTTTCTTTCATTCCAGATACACCCGTAAGGTAGAGCTGAATATGCATCTCATCACTTTTTCACTTCATAGAGGGGCTTTCTTCTTGTCATGTCTCCCACTCCACAGAAAGTTCTTCACTCTTCTTGTACAGCTACAGGAATTGAAAATACAGTGGCCCAACAAAAGTAATAATAGGAGGAGATTACTGATTTTACGAGTTCCACTCTACCTGCCATAGATAGGTTGAAGGATAACAGGGCAGAACAATGAGCTTTCTTCACTCTTCCATCAATCAGAGGCAAGCCTATGTATGTGACTCTAGAGAGCCTATGTATGTGACTGGAGAGAGCCTTCTTTGAAGTCCAATGTTCTCAAAATACTGCTTTTCCTCCTCACAGATTTGGACAAGAAAACTAGACTTTTCTCTCTACTCACCTTTAGACCAGAAATAATCCGAAACTTCGTCAGAATATATTCATTAAGTTGACAGCATTTCTAACTGAGGTTTCGAGAATAATGAAAAGATTGTCAGCAAAGAAGCAATGGGAGATGTTGGATCTAAATTTTCTGATTGTGTCACAGAGATCCAGTTTACCATCTACTACAGAATTATTGACCATTGGAGAAAAGCAGTCGGTAACTAAGGTGAACAGAAGAGGAGAAAGTGGGCATCCCTGTATGAGACCTCTACCTTCAGAAAAGAAATCAACAGGAACACCATTGACAAGAACTGAGTAATGGACAGAAGTTACCACCCTGCATGATCCAAGCCCTCCAGGTGTCCCCAAAACCATTCCAGGAAATAAGCTTTACTGCTTTGGAGGAGAAACCCTTGAGGAGTCATGGGCAAGAATCACATTGCTGTCAATCTTCCTGCCTTAGGTGCTCATGCCCAATCATAGTTTCGTTTTTCATTATATATTACACTACAAAAAGACCCTATAGGACCAAATCATGCACAAATAGGTTAAACCCCAACAGTCACTAGGTGAGATTTGGCATAACATGAAGGGTTACCCATAAATAAATGATAGGAAATTACTAGCCAATCACCACCTGCCTTGTAAGCAAATGTATAAATGTTGTTTCATTTTGTTGTGTGTTGTCTTCTTTTTTATTTTTTCTTTTTTTTTTTTTTTTTTTTTTTTTTTTTTTTTTTTTTTTGGCTTGTGTGACAAATTGTCATTGACGGGAACAAAATGGTAAATAGCATCACTCACTCTATCAAAATATACCCACACCAGAGCGTGCACAGAAGGTTTCATACTGGTAAAGACAATTTCTGCAATGATCATCAAGAAGATCACTGAAGTTTTCTTCATGAGCATTAAATCAGTTCTTTTTATCGAACCTAATATTGATAGTTCAATTTGCTAACCACAAACAAATGCCATAATGTTTTTAACTAGATAAATCCATAAACCTTCTACAACAAACCAATTTTTGCAGTAACCAAGTAAAATCAAATTGAACGAGTACAAGCTTACACTTGACAAGAGTGTGGATCCATATAACTATTACAACTATGATATGAATCATTTAACATTTTATCATCTGTAAAGTTCACTTTTTACCCAACTTGGGATAAACAAGAAAAACAAATCAAAAGAATTAAGGAAAAAAAAAAAAAAAATGGTACAAGTTATAAGCTAATCTATCTTCAAACTGAAAATGGGAATATATCCATGACCTTGCATTTTTTTCTCCTTTATTCCCTCCTTTGGATCAACACATTCTTTATAGCATGAGCAATGCTGAAAAGCGTAGACTGGTTCAGTAAGCTGTTAAAACCCAGATATTGAATTGCTTGCATAATCATCCGTTGGGTTGCCATTATTGATTTAGTAGTGATCGAATCAGCCGTTCTTTAGGTGGGTAGAAAAATCACACTGAAAACTTGGCAATGATTAAGCTCACTGCCATAAAAACAATATAGAGGCCGACAAGGCAGAATCCCCAAAATCTAGGCACCCGGAATCTGCACCAAAGTACTACCAACAGGGACCCCATTAGGCTGAGAAGCAAGAACACAAATGCGATTACGATACTCACGTGAAAATGGAGCTCATAAGCTTTCGGATAGATATCAGCTGTCTGAATCACCAAAGCTGTTCCAAGCCCAAAGAGCATGTTAAACATGGGTCCAGCAAAGCACCCAGCCATGGCCATTGCTGGCTGGCCTGCTTTTGCAACTGCCACATCGGCGACAAGATCACCCACTGAGTTTCCCCATGCAAGTACTGTTAGCCCGAGGAGAGCAGGAGGCAATTTGAGAAGCACTCCAAGAGCTGCAAGGCAGTTCAAGAGTTCTCTGGCCACAGTGGAGATCCAAAATACGCTCATTACAAATGCTAGGAGCACTACTGGCAATTGCTCAGTTTTGGGGGGCTCTTTTTCCACTATGAAGTGAAGAGCTGCTAGAGAAGAGCTTGCAAAGAGTACGACCAACCAGAGAGGGAAATGGACGTTTGAAATAAGAAAAGAGATGGGATGATTTAGTGGTATGAACGAGTTGCAAGAGTACAAAATGGCAAGAGGGAAAATAGCTATGTTGACAGAATGATAGAACCTACTCCATTCAGAAGGTGAAGTTTGGGGGATTGTGAGCTTCAGAAGTAGTGAGACTGGAATCTCCCATGCCTTCGAGATCTGTGGACAACAAAAAAGAGAGAATTAAGAAAAAAGAAGAAGCAAGGAACTACAAATATTTACTAAACTACAAATGAGAAGATTTGATGACCATTCATCAGGATAATTTCTCAGCTTACAGGGATACAAAGAATAGTCACTGTCAGGTATATAGTTCAGTGGGTAGCAGCATGCTAGTAAAAGTTACTTGTATTCAACAGCATTATTTATCAAAACATTATAAGAAATCACCATGCATAAGCATTTTGGAACAACTTATACAACTGACTTCAAATGATCAAATCCCAACAGAAGTATGCTAGGTCAGCAATCAAGGAAACATCTGAACAGTGAAAGAATAAAATATATTCCCCTTCGCTAAACAGTCCTGGGACAAACTCTGCTTGGGCAATAGCACAATTGGTATGCATGAAGTAGCCACTGATGCCCATTCTTTCCTTTTCCCTAAAAGAAAAGGCTGCCACCATTAACCCTTGGGCAATAGCACAATTGGCAATTACATAAGAGTGCCCCTAGTACATGTACATGATGTTCTAAGAAAGTAAAATCAGTCCATTTTGTTCTTCTATGGCCTTTAAACACAGAATCGGTTCTCCAGAATGGGACCACTCTAGTAAATGGAGCTCTCTCTAAAAATGAATAATTAAAAAAAAAAAAAAATGCATTTCATGAAATCCAAAAATTACCAGTGTTTTAAATAACTAAGAAAATCCATTTCATGAAATCCTAAAATGGCCAATGTTTTTAAATAAGAATTGAGCAAAACAAAGACTAGTTAAGTGTTGGCTAAAGCATACTATAATCATTGCATATGCTATTTAAAACTAAATTGAGATTCAATATCTATGAGAATCCAAATGGCTTGTTAGTATCTGGTCTTAATCTTAACAGACTTCTGTACTTTTTGGACTGTCAAAACAAATCGAGGGACAAAATTCAGTGAACTCAACAAAGTCTCAAAAACCATGTCAACCAGTTACGTGCGGAGAAGAAACAACTTTTTTGCCCTGTCTATGTCATAGGATATGCCATCAGGTCTTTGCTCACTGCACTTATCCATGCCATTAGAGATGGACTTTTAACCTCATGTTGCCACTCATATATCTCAACATATTCATATTATTTATTGCTTGTTTTAAAGTCCTATTTTCTTATTTCTTGACCAACATTTTATAGCATAAAGCAAGACTGGCCTTCTGGCCAGTTTGTTCAACACCCTCAATATCTTCACACTCATTATTTGGAAAATTGGACTGGCATTTCCCCCCAATTAGAACTCAAAGAAATTAAACACTTCTAATACTTCAATAAAATAACCATATCTAATATCCCTCCAAAAACAACCAGAAAAACTTGAGCACAAATTCCTTATCACTTCCTGATCCTGACTGCTTTGTCATTTTCAAGTGCATTAATCCATGTTGTACAAGACAAAAAATAATAACTACTAATCAGATTCTTTCTTTAGGGACCATCAATTTTGAATTTCACAATCTCATATTCCCATTTGTAGTAGTAGAACTATGAGTCCAACCTAATTTGTAATATATATATATATATATTAATTAATTAATATATGAATGGCAACATTAAATTTAAATAAGGCATCTAGTTAAACCAAAGAAGAGTTATAAAGGTTTAGGGAGAAATGTTTTTGAAACTCCTAAATATAAAAGCAACACCAACCTTAGCTAATAAATTTTATCTCAATTCTGCTTGTATAAAATCACAAGAACTTTCTTTATAGGCCATAAATAATCGAACTTCTTACATATTTGCAGATTTCAATATAGTATGTGTCTCATCAAGGAGATGCCTTCATATATAAAAGAGGCATGTTATTCTCCATAGTCCATACAGGTAGATCTCTTCTAAATAATATGATTATTACAGTTTGGGTTGGCAGTCAACCATATTTACCAAGTACAATTAACTTAAAATTACTTTGAATAATTATTTTCAAGCTCAAGTCTTCAACCGAAGACTTGGGCCGGATGCATGTGATTCAAGACTTGGGCCTGAATAGCATTGTTCAATTACTTTTCAATGTTATCAGCCCTTCCAAATTTTTTATGTTCTTACTTTCCACAGAATTTAGCTTGCAACACAAGTGTTTCAGCAGTCCAATATCCAGTTACTCTTTACAATCCTTTTTTCAGTATAAGGATTGATAAGTAGTTGCTCTAACATTTGTAACTAACTTAAACAGACACATAAAACTCACAGCAGATGTTTCATTCTATGATAATTTATAAATAGATCTATCATAATTTCAACAAACCAAACCTAGTTTTTACCATCATCGTTATCTTTATTTTTAACATAATCCACATAAGGCATGCAACACTCCATTTAGCTTTTATCACTATCATTCTTTTCTGCCCAATATACCACTGTTAAATTGTTCCTCAAGCAAGGTGTTGGCTGTTTCTTCATTTCCACAGCTATTTCCAACTTTTATGTTGGTTTATTTAGCGCTTTCATACAGGTGCTTCACTTCAATGCTGGAAACATAGCATGTTGGATAAGTTTTATATTGGAGCTTGGAAATCAGTTGTTCAAATTGACTAGTAAACACAGATTATTAGTTTAGCACTTATAAAGTCAGTTTTGTATTGTTTCAATCGACACTCCAATAGTTTTAACATCTGCTGCCATGAGGGCTGCATAAAGCAACTCAAAATAGTCATCCGCTGACTCCAACTACCAATTCTACAATGTTTTACTGAAAACAAGAGTGCAAACTACTCAGCAGAAAACTCAGATTCTCTGCCACACAACTATTTATCCCCTCTTTCTTGAGCATCTCACACAACATCACGATATGTCCAGTTGTCCATCATCTTTGAAAAAAAAAAAAACTATTACTTTGCTTATAACTAAATGTGTCTAACCAAGCATGATGAAGAACATAGCTCTTTCAATCTGAAAGAAAGCTTGTAGTTATCATTCTTCATTATCATAGATTTCCCCACCATTTCTTTAGTGAATAGCAAATAAAATTGAAGTCTTAGTTTGACTGAAACCTCATTTTTTGTTTAGTCTTTTTACAAAATCCTAGATAATCTCTGATAGCCCCTACTAGCTTCCAATAATTTTTTGCGTCTTCTAACATTTTCTCAATACAGAGTTACCGTGTTAGTAACATTTGGTCTCTTTAGTTTTCATTCTTACTCCAAATTATCACCTTGTTTTTCCTACAAGAGCTTAAATTTGTAGTTCATAGTAATTACCCGTATATGGGGGCTTGAAAACATTATGCGGCTTATAATGAAAGTTTACTCATGGAAAGGACCAGCAACAATGTGACTACGTGTAGACATTTTCTAACATGTCAATTTTCATGTGTGAAACACCATTTTAGGCTTCATGATTTTAGATAATTATATTGGATACAAAGAACCATTACTAAATAGTGATTGCACACTGGAAAGGTGAAGCAACAACTTTACTTTAGGATGCTAATTCAAGGTTAGTCCACTGAAGTATTAGTAAGTGATGAAAATACAAAACATCTCTAGAGATTAACAAACTCTATGTTTTTTCTAAAAATTAGGGTCATATCACAAGATTTAATCTCCCATATTCATAAACTAAATTAACAAAAAAAAAAGGCTTTGACAGAGAAGAAAGATTTTCCTCTTTTATTAATATATATGTATTATCAACAAAAATAGCAAGGGGCACAACCATGTGGATGCAAAGTATATAGGAGGATAAAAACTAAGCTCCTCCAACCAACTCAGGGCCTTGGACCAGAATAAGGCCATGAAGTTGCTCCATGATACTCTTTTAAAGTTGAAAGACTATGATTTCAAGATTGTTCAATGATTTTTATGTATATACACACACAAAATTCCCTCAGATTGCCATGTTTCGACGGTTTGTCCCTTGCCAAAATTGTGCTGGCCTTGTGTTCCTTACCAAATAAAATAATATGAATATACACACACAACCATGTACATGCAAAGTAATGGAACCATGAAGTAGTTTCAATGATTTTTATAGCTCCATAATCCAGATTGTGTTATACCTATACAACGCTTACTCAAGCTTGACAACCAAAGAGGTACTACCAACAATAATCGCATATGAAGTAGTTTCAATGGATTTTATAGCTCCAGAATCCAGATTGTGTTATACCTATACAACGCTTACTCAAGCTTGACAACCAAAGAGGTACAACCAACAATAATCACATTGTTGTGTGTGTGTATATACATATTATTTTATTTGGTGCGGAACACAAGGCCAGCACAATTTTGGCAAGGGACAAACCATCAAAACATGGCAGCAACCACTAAAAACTAATCTTGCTCAGAAGTCTAAAATTGATTTGTTTCTATGGATGAGAGATATATGACAGTTGTTTTGGCACTGGCATTTTTTGGTTCTCAATTCCAGTGAGAATTTTTATATACCATGGTGTGTGTGTGTGTGTGTGTGTGTGTGTGTGTGTATCTTTTTAGCAGAATTAGAAATGATCGCATTCGGGAGATGGTTGAAGTGGCACGAATTGGAGATTTTTAGAGAGAAAATAGGTTAAGATGGTTTGGACATGTGCAAAGAAGACCTTTAAGTGCAGCAGTTAGGAAAAGTGACATAGTCCACATTGAGGGTAATATTAGGAGAACAGGAAGACCAAAGTTAACGCAGGTAAAGTTAGTAAAGAAAGATATGGTAGCATGTGGATCGATTGAGGCTATACCTTAAATAAACCGGAATGGAAACATGGGATCCATGTAGCCGACCCCAAATAATTGGGAAAAGTCTTGGTTGTTGTTGTTGTTGTTGTTATTGTGTAGGATATATTATATGATGCACATTAATTAACAGCGAACAATTGTTTTAGAGACTCCTACCTAAATAAACTACATATTCTATGGGCTCACTTCTTGATGTCTACGTGGAAGATGAAAAAGAATTTCATGCATATATTACCAACGGGCTAGTGGACTAACGGTATCAAGCCCTTACTTCCCCCCAAAAAAAAAACTTCATGCATATATTCCTTTCTTCCCATACTCCAGTCACAGTTCAAAATTTGAGAAGTGGACCAAAAAGAAGCAAGAGAGCATGGTAAGATAAAGTGGAAACACGACCTTGAAGGAAATAAAATAAACAAATAAATAAAAAATAAAAGTGATAAGGGCCATGTTGTGAAATTCCAAAAGGAATCTTAAGGCCTCGAATGGAATCAGGGAGAGGGGAAAGATTTAAAGATGATAAGACAAAGCTACTTAAAGTCTCCTAGATGTCTCCAAACATTACCATAACATTTCTAGGGAGATTGCAAACCATTCTAGGAACAGGTTTCCCTCAAAACACATTTCCATCGTAATGTTCTGGAAAACGAGCTTTGTGAAACTATAATTGCAATCATATCATGTCAATGAAGGCCATTTGATTTCTACTCTATTAGACAGACCATGAAAAAAAATAAATAAAAAAAATAATGAAATGGATGAGACAAGAACCAGAATAAAGAGTTCCCATGCATAAGGTATCTGCCTCTACAGAGATTTTTCAAATGGACCAAAAGAACATATCAATGCATCAACCATGAAAGACTTGGCCAGAATTTTGTAACGACTTTCAATAGCACAAACCCAGGGTCCAGATGAAAGAAAATAGGGTGCATTGGTACCATCATTCACAACAAAGTAATGACACCCACAAGAAACGATACAAGTCAAAATGAATCCACTACAAAGGGATAAATTGAAGGGCAGAGGGACTTAATCAGAGTAGCACGAAGAGACATGATGATCCTTGCAAAGTAGAGGAACATCATGGCCCTTAGTGAAGGAATTGGCATAATTGGGTTCACACATGATTTTTAACTATTGTAGGGCGGGTTCATAGAGTTGACATAGGTACCATTGGTATTTAAATCAAACTAAAACCCAATATGAAGAGTACCAACTATTCTTTCTTCCTAAGAATTTAATTCAATAAGGGATTGTGATGGACATTGTCACTTCCAGTAATTTTCCCATATACATGATCAATAAATTGATTATTGCCAACTAAAACCATTTTTAGGGATAGAGAGTTGATGCAATATTATTGTTCTTGCTTGCCTTAAATAGGTAAATGTTACGCAATATTAATTATTTCAGTGGATTTTCATTACAAGAACATGCTAAACTGGTAGCATTTTGTTCTCATCATACAAATCAAGTTAGTTAGAAATGTGCATTTTGTGATTTATGCGGCAAACTCACAACAGTACAACAAATCAATTATGACAAATTTTATGGAAACCATCTTGAAAAGAAAAAAAAAATACAATGGAAACCATTAACATGTTGAGGTACCATTATCTAGGTGAGTTTGAGAAGGTTAAAAATCATGTCATAGCTGCAACTCCTCCACAATTTACAGGTCATTTATAACCCACTCCCTCCCCCCAAGGAGTGGCTAGAGCTTTGGTTATTCTTAAGCGATCATATAGTTCTTTTCTTTCTTTCTGTTTTGTTTCTTGTTCAGGTATAACTTATCCTTCTCGTGTATGTCTTTCTCCATAAAATATACACACACACACACATATATAAAAGAATTTATGTCGCAGATAAAGCTCATACAACATTACATAGAAAAGGAATTCAACTATCCTCCAACATTTTATTTTCCAGCAGGGATTTGTAGTTAAGTCTATGATAACTGATCAAGTTATTGTATTAGGTCTCCAAAAACAATACACAGTTAGATCCAATTATTAGCAGCACTTTTTCATTAACACTTGGTAACTGAACTAGTGTCATCCTTGCATTACACTTGGTAACTGAACTAATGTCATCCTTGCATTAACAATTACAGATTTCTAACATAAGCATACTTAAGATACAATATGCACATTGCCCTATAAACCATGCATGAGCAACATAAATTGAATTATTAGCAGCATATATTTTTATTGACACTTGGTAACTGAACTAGTGTCATTCTTCTATTACCAATTACAGATTTCAAAAGTAAAAAAGGTTAAGATAAAATATGTACATTGGCTTATAAACAAGGCAAGAACAACATAAATTGAATATCAGACATACCTGCCCAAATGCTTGTTGAAAACCAGAAGCAGGTTTCTTTTCGTCCAATTTCTCCATTACTTCTCCATTTTCGCTATCCGATGTCATCAAACCCTTATGGACCTCAACATCCCCAACCGAACCCTTCTCACTCCCACATTTCCCTTTCCCATTATCCATCCCTAAATCCATCCAAAACACAAACCCAACGAAGAACACATAAAACCCAACAAACCCAATTGCCTGCCAAAGAAAAATCTCAGCACTAAGATACACATAGAACAAGAACAAAGCCGCAGTCAAGTAAAACAACACGTCCCTCACAAACGGTGCAGGATCAACTGAAAAGGGTGCTGCATAAATTGCCACAAACCCTACAACAAAGGCGGAAACGAAGGTCCCCGCAGACAAAATCGCACCGAACCCAGTCCTCAATTGGCCGCCACGGACGGCGGCAACGGATGCGAACACGTCCGGGGCTCCATTCCCGAGAGCTAGGAGCGTCACAGCGCCCATACTAGGGGACAAATTGAGGTGGGTCGCGAGCTTGGTGACAACAACAGAGAATCGGTCCTGTGCGGTCTTGACCAAGATATAGAACTGTAAGAGGATGCACAGAGAGAGAAAGGGGATGGAGAGAAATGGGTTTTCGCGGAAGAGGCAGAAGTGGAGAGAGAAGTAGTTGAGGAGGCCATTGGAGTCGCCGGAGCAGTGGAGGAGGGAGAAAGAGCAGCGTTGGTGAGGTGGGATTTGGGTGATGGATGAGCAGGATTGTAGGGTGGTGTTGAGGAGGGACCTGTGTGGGATTGGTAGATCTGCGGAGGGGTGAATTGGGGATGATGATGGTCTGAGGAGGAGGAAGAAAAGGAGAGTGGTGATGAGGGTCAGTGAGATTGCTGGGATTTTGAGAGAGAGGAGAGAGAAGGCCATGCCATTCCAAAAAGGTGCTATATATGTCTACTTCTTTGGAGTACTAACATTTGGCTTCTGAGTCCTCAGTTTGTGCAAGCGTTTGTTACCTCTCTTTTCTTGAAACTTGATGCAAGGAGGAGAGACACTATAATAACACGCTTACGGTCGACGACAATGACGAGTTTCTGTTCTACAAAGAAGCGAGTGGTCCAAGTGGCGAGAATTCAAAAAGGTCAAATAAAGTAAATTCTAAAAGTGCTGCCCTTTTTTTTTTTTTTTTTTTTTTTTCATTCATATATTTTTTCTTTTTTCGTTCTTTCTTTTGTAAGAGGATCAAGGCATATAATATTTATTTATTAATTTTATTAAAAGTTGGAGCCCAGATCCCATGATGTATTAATCAGTATTGTAGTGATATTGTAAAAAAAAATCAGTCAATTTGACCTATATTATAATAATATTTTATGTCTTGAAATTTAGAATAAATATGTTGAAACAGAATTTAAATGTGTTAGAATCTCTTTCCAATATTATTATTTTTAATTTTTGCCCATTTAAATTACGTTTAAAAACATTTATTTCAATGTGGAAACATAGAACAAATATGTTAAAAACTAAAAACAAATGCGTAGAAAAATTTTACGACACCATTAGAGCAGGAGGCCAGATAGCAGAGGATTCAATCTCAGGTATGGAGTTATGAAAGAAAAACACTATAGTAGAAGAGGAGGCTGTTTGAAGTGTTGCCAGTAAAAACATTCACTAGCACCAAAGTGCTTCTAATTTGACAGCTTGTTACATATTGCATTTGGTAGTACCTTGTAAGCACTTTTCTATTATAAAGGACTTTGTTCCAAATTCCTTTTGATCCAAACTAAAATTTTAGGTTTTCTGAAATGTTTTTGTGCATTCAAGTAGTTTTATAAAGTAATGTAGATGTAGGAGTATAGTTATGAAAAATGCTTTACAAGTTTCATCGATACACACATCTTTATAACAAGCAGCACATTTTTCATAGCACATGCTAAATCAGAAGTTACATGCGGACTCCTTTGAAATGCAACTGTATATTTCAATGACACATGCCTTAGCATGCTTTTTAACACACAATCTTTGTTTTACTACTTATACATACGCAATCTTATTAACATTTGGTAGTGAGAAAGAAGGTGCATCTTCAATCCATTCTCAAAACCCCGAAAATACTATTGCCGAAGCTTTCTTAACAACCACTTCTTCCGACGGGTGATGTCCATCCTCACAAATGCCTTGGCATTTTTCTCATCCTCCAAAAGATCACAAGCATGAAAGAAGAGTTGATCGTCCATGTCCGGTATGACTTGAAGTGCATCAACAATGCTTTCTATCGAGCTATAGGTCCTGTCCTGTGTATTACTTCTATCTGCTTCTTGCAAACCCTTGCTGGTTATCTTGATTTTTCTAGAGCATGCAGAAGTTAATGGGGTTGCAGAATGCCTTTTTTTCTTCTGATTAGATACTTTATTGTCCCTATCTGGGGATTGTAGACCTCCAGAAATTCCATCCATCCACAATTCTAGGGCATTGTGACCGATATCCATTTCTGGACTTAATCTTGCATCTTGAATACCATCGCCAAATATAATGCTCAAATCGCTGTAACTCTCCAAGACTTGATCTTTGTATTTTGCTGCATCAGGATGCTCCTGCAAATTTTCATCCATTATGAAATACGGTTTAATTAACAATTGTGAGCAATTGGAATGAGTAGTTTACACTACTTTGCAGAATTCACTTTAGGTGTTTAATGCACGTAAAGTGGCATCATGGCATTCATAAAGAAGGTTCTCTTTTTTTCAGGAATATTGCACTAAATTTTCCACAAACAATTTTGGATTGAAGTAATTTTTAACTGAATGAACTGTAAAATAAACACTTGGTAGCTCAAAAGAGTTATATTGGAGTATGGAATTCACCTTGATGTAAGCTTTCCAGACACTATCTTCAGCTGCTACTGCTTGTTGAATTTCATCCTTCACAAAGCCTTTTTGGTTGAGAAGATTGCTGACGTTGTTATATTGTTTCATCAATCTTAGATATTGGTTCTGCAGTACATATTTGTCACATTGAAGTCCAAATCTTTCATTGAATGATGTGGTCATGCAGACCCAAGCCTGCTTACTGAATGTACGATCAACCTTATTCCCTTCGAGCACTTGCTCTGACATAAGGTGAATAAAATATCGGTCCATTGGCTTTGTCCAATCAATGCTCATAGAATCACGAGCAGCATATGTTTGGTCATTCTCTTGGCCTAAAATTTGAAGGGGAAAAAAAAAATAAAAATTATATGTATATATATAGGAGGATTAATAAAAGGAAGAATTAATAGGGTAATGCTGCGCAAGATGAAATAATTACACCATGTAAAATGCTGCTTGAGATGAAATAATTACACTATGTAAGATGCAGCATTTCCAATTTTTCTGTATTATCCAACAATAGAACCATATCGCCTCACTTCTCTTTTCTTAAAAAATTTATGTTATTACATCCCATGTAAATTATCCAACACAAGTGATGAAATCTGTGACAGTAGCAAGCTTGTGTATAATCTTATAGAGACATAGTCCATTTCTATTCTCATTAAAACCAATCAACTAGTGACTCATGAAAATAAAAACACCAGTCCTCGTCCATGCATGGCAAATCAGCTTGAGAGAGAGAAAGAGAGAGAACACACCAATATTTACCCCCAGGATGTGGTTGTCGGTCAGCACACAATGACTTGAACGGTCATGCCTTCCGTCAGTAATTGCATTTCCATATATCAAGAACAAATCATTATAGTTTGGAAGAGTTCTATTTTTGTATGAATATTCATCAGGGTGGTCCTGCATATACAGTATATAAGCTATTACAAACTGAAATATAAGTTTAAAATGTTATTAGATATTTAGATTGAGATATGCACCTTGATGTAAGCATCCCAGAGATCCTCATTAGCAGTTATCATCTGTTGCATTTCATCCCATGCAAACCCACTCTGACCAAGAAGAGTTTTCATATCATTGTATCGCTTTCTCAAAATCTTAAAACGAATTTTTAGAACATCTTCCTTGTGCTGAGTCCCAAATTTTGCATTAAACTTAGAAACCATATATCCCCATGCTGCTTTGTTAAATTTATGATCTACCATACTCCCTCTACGGATCTGCTCTAGCATTAGATCAATGAAACATCGGTCCATAGGTGGCGTCCAACCAGTCCTCAGGCAACCTCCATTTTGAAACACTCGAATATTCCTTCCTAAAACAAATTAAAAGAAAACATAATCCAAAAAAAAAAAAAAACTCTCCTAATATATTGAAATGCATAAGAACTTGCTTATATGAATAAATGATCATATCCACAGTGAAAAAAATCATGAATGAAAACATGTGGTAATCTTTATATTTTCAATCACATGTTCCAAAGAATTCAATGCTAAGAACCATCTAGTAATACTTTCTTGTTGACACAATAATGCTTATTACTGCCAAAATGCAAATTGCTCATAGACTCGCCAAAATGGAAACTCACCATCACCGCTGAAGTCCATATATTGATGTGATTGGTCGCATCTTGCATCAGAAATGGAATGCCCATAGATCACATGTAAATCATTATAATTCGGCTTGCTTTTTGTTCTGAACGATCTCCCATCCGGATGCTCCTACACATAACATATGTGAGCCACTAACAATCAGAACATAATGTGAGCCTCAAACAATTATGGAATTCACCTTGATATAAGCATCCCAAATATCCTCACGTGCTGTGACCATTTGCCGGGTTTCATCCCAGGAAAATTCACTCTGGTTAAGAAGATTCTCCATATCATCATACAACTTCCTCAAACTTTTATGCTGACCCCTCAAAACATATTTGTCATACTGTGATCCAAATCGATCACAGAACAACAAAACAATATTTTCCCATGCCTGTTTGCTGAAAATGTGATTAAACGTATGGCCTTTATGCACTTGCTTTAGCATAAGGTCAATGAGATAACGGTCCATCAAAGGTGTCCAAACTTTTCTTGACAAGTTGCTGTCTGCATTGCATTGAATGTCCTTTTATTTTATGAATCAGAGGATCTCATAAGTAATTATAGTGGCAATTATCTTGACATAGACAATTGCAAACACCAATGATTCTGCTCCTCTTTATTTTTTTTACTGAAAGAACCATTGAAAGGCAGAGTAAAATAAATAAGCCTTATTTAGCTTTAGTTCATATATATTAAGTATCATATGTGATTGGGGAACTGGTAGGAAAAACCACTGTGAGATCTCCCTTCTTTTATGAACCTCACCAGGGAAGTGAAAAGAGGGGAGTAGAGAGGACTTAGGGGGGCACAAGCTCATTCTTCAAGATTTTTCAGATAATTTAGGATTCATGAGCAATATGTTCAGTATAAGAGAATTAACTTGTGAAATCAGAAGTTCGAAGAATCTTGTCATTACAAAAATAAATAAATAAAATAAAGATTCTATAAGCCATAAAGTTCACACGGTATAATTCAAAGCTAAAAAACTATATTAGTCCTATTAGCTAAGGTCATATAGAGAAGCATGCTATTGTACTAATTCAACCTAAGTTGTAGAAGGCATCTGCACCCGTTTACATGTAACATATCATGACTGAACTAACAATTCATGGAACATGCAGCATCAATTATCTTATCCTAATTTTTATCACTGAATATGCAGCATAAATGATCTTATCCTAATTTTTATCACTGAAATAAGAAACATACCAGTCATAAAAAGTGGATCTTCACCACTAAGATCTATGTTATGAGCCATACAACTAGATCTCTCATTAGCACTTTCTTTGCCATATATGACACACAACTTGTGGTAGCTAGGTACAGTTGTAAATTTATAGCATCGAGCTTCAGGATATGCCTGCACTAATACAAATGAGCTAAAAACATCAACCAAGCATAGCTCACAAGCCTCATATAATGACCATGTAAATAGTGATCACCTTCGTATAAGAGTCCCAAATATAATCTTCAGCTGTAATTATTTCTCGAGTTTCATCCCAAGAAAATCCACTGTGATCAAGAAGAATCTTCACATCATTATATAGCTGGCTCAAATATTTGTACCGATTCTTGAGAACCTCTTGGTCATACTGAGATCCAAATTTTGCATTGAATAATGCCACCATTTCAGCCCAAGCCTCGGTTGTAATTGCGTGCCCAATTCTGTTCCCTCTTGGCACCTGGTCTAGTAACAAGTCAATAAAATAATGGTCCATTGGCAGTCTCCAAAATGCTTTCACACAGTTGCTGCCAGTGAGAGTTTGACCCTCCTTCCCTCCACCTAGATATAAAAAAACACTCATTAAGATTTCACTCGTTATGTTCGTCAACGATTGCAAACATTGACAATACTAAAAAGCAAATCATCAACACTTTGAAATCATGAACACAAACTAATCATTAGTTTCGGAACTATAACTCAGCTCTCAGTACCGGGTTATCTTCAAAGCCAAGTACTCCCAAGCGAAATTTAGAAAAGAACATTGATCAATAGTCAACAAGAACTTCAATAAAACAGCAGTCAAGTCTGCCATGCAAATACATACTAAGGAAAAACAAGAACCTACAAGTTCATTGTCCGTACTATAAAGTATAAAAAAGCAAAAGATCACTGTACAGATCCAAGTTCATATTTTGCACAAATCTATAATTGCAACATTGACTTGTGGGACCTCATTCTCATATAGTTATTAAAGAGATCACTGACACCCCATTATGATGCAAGCTTCCCTTAAAGCTGTAGTTATTCCAACTTGGTGATTTAACTTACTTGTTAATGTCATTGTTGAGATCGTCATTTTCACACTGATGACCACAAATTCTGATAAAATTTGCATTCAAATAGATCAAGCCTGGATGTGCATACATTCATTGTAGAAAGTCTATGATATATGAGAAAATCAATTGCACGATACTTTTTAAATAATAAAAAAAATAGTAAATTCTTAGAAGTAGAGATCAATTTTGCATTGAATAAAACAAGCATATCTATTCGATCTTATAGCATTTTTCAAACTAAAACACAAACTTGATGAAATATTGATCCATGGATGGCAGCAAAGATGTCTTATAAATCACATACTTGCTGGTGCCCTAGTGTCCCATCTGTTCCTGAAACTTCATTACCAGAGGAAGCCTACCCATTCAATCACCAACAATTAAGAAATTATCATTTGAAGTTGCTATTTGTTCATTAAGAACTTGAGATGATGGTTGGAAAATGCAGATCCTTTAAGCTAATAAAGAATGAGTAGGATTAAACTTGGTCTGACTGCATTAATTTCTAGTTCATTTACTATGTGCTAACAAGAAGAAAAAAGTAACAAACAAAACAATTGGAAAAAAACAAACCACCTCCAGTGTAGTTCAACTACATGTTCTTAACTTCTTTATAATCAGGCACTTCATGCACATCCATCCGCTCCCCCTTCCCCCCAAAAATAAGATCATGCTTTGCAACAATAAATCGTGGCCCGTGATTGACCAGTTTTAGGATATGCTTGGCTTAGCTTATGATGGAGCATATAAAACTGTCCATAAGTTACTTGTTGAAAGTGGAAAACATTAACTGTATACTGCTTAAAGATTGCTGAAGAGTTATATTAGCCTTCAATGATTTTGGAGATGATATGGGAGCATCTATGTCCACAAATCAAGAAACTTGACAGGAAATACAGTTCCATCAAATTCTTGTTCAATTTATCAACCAAAAACTACAGTCTTTATTTGGGGGAGGGGGCGCCTTATAACAACATTACTTTTCCCCACTTTATGTTGACTCTTCAGAGTTAAGGGCTATGGATTTATAAAACAGCTAACTAAATAAACCAAAAATCAAGAAAAGGAATAAGAACAAACCAACATTCGCTCCTTGGATGTCATCATCAAAATCTACATCATGACTTGAACGACTGTATCTTCCATCTGCTGTTGTATACGCATAAATCAAGCACAGATCGTTGAAGTTCAACACAGCTTTATTTCTGTAATATTGTGCATCTGGGTGAGCCTGTAAGCATTTTAAGTCAATTACTCACCAACAAGGATGGAAACAAAAAGAAGATGAAGAAATGCACCTTGACATAGGCATTCCAGACATTATCATCCGCTACTACCATTTGTTGAGAAACATCCCAAGAAAATCCATTCTGGTCAAGAAGATTCTTTATATCATTGAATTGCTTCCACAAACTAGTGTATCGACTTTTCAAGACATCTTTGTCATATTGAGATCTGAATTTTGCATTGAACACGGTGATCATGTCTGTCCATGCTTGTTTGTTAAACGTATGACCAATTCTATTGCCCCTATGCATATGATCTAACATAAGATCAATAAAATAGCATTCCATTGTCGGCGTCCAAGATACCCTCGACCTATCACTGCTGGCAGGGGCTAGGCTGCCCATTCTTTCCCCTGCGAAATTGCGAAAATTGCTGAAACCATTCACTTGTTAAAACATATAATGCTTCCAGTGCATAAAAAATTGACCAACATAATGAAGGCAAATTTCCTAGATTTTAGTTGGCAAAAGTCCAAGCTTACAATTACTTCTTCTACATGAAGTTTATTGCTCGTGGTCATAATCCAAGGTTATGCACAATAAGCAGGATTAATATAATTTGTCTTCAAAAAAATAAACCAATTTCAATTCTTAAGATATTAGTGACACATGTTAAAGGTTCAGTTGATGTATTTTGGGCAGCAACAAACAACTCACTTGAACAACAAGAAATATAAACACACAAAAAAAGGGCAAAAAAGCGAAGAGAACAATAAAGCAATGATCAAATCAGTAAAAACGTTCTGTATGGTCTAGAGTTCTGAATTACAATACCAAGAGCAGGCTTCATTAACTATAGCAAAACTAGAAAAACAAGTGAGAACATAGTAAAGATCAAGAGGAATAAATATAAATCAGAAAACAGTTTCTTTACCTAGACTTGATCATTCCACAAGATAGACCAGACATGATCGCACTCACAGACTTTAAATAAAATTTGTTAGACAGAGGAGTGCATCTGAATTACACCTCTACATTTAAAAATTAAATAAAATAAAGCCGCTATCAGACCAATCATGTTATAAAAATTAATAGGCGTTATGAGTTTGCTTAATTGTGGTTAGCATGATTATTAATTAATTGAAATTGAATAAAATAAATCAAAACTAAAATAAATCAAAAATTGATCAGATTTTGATTAGGATCTATACACTCGCACTAGATCCAATTTGTACCCATAATGCCTATTATCACAAGGAACACCTTTTTTCACTTCATATCGAGGCCTTCACACATGCACTATTCAATATCACCTCCTCTACTCAAGAATTTTTGCCATAAAAAATATGCTGATGAACTAGGAATGACCCATTTCCTCCTCGTCACAATTTGGTTGGATTCCAGTGCTAACAAGAAGTTTTTACAAGTATCTCAGGCTCAGCTAGCGGTGTGCCCCTTTGCTCAAAACACCTTTAGTTTTACTTATATACCAAAAAAAAACTTTTCTTTTCGGAAGCAAAATGTAAAAATAGATAAGAGAGACAACACCAACTTCAGAGATTAAAGTGGAATGACAATTGAATAGTGTATCCAAATAAATAGCTACAATGCTCACAGATAGGACTATGCCCATTGATTAACGGAAAGAAGGCAATGCACAAATAGGAAGTAAGTCAACATCACAGACTCAGCTTGTTCCATATCCAATTTTTTATACACTCATATATACACATATATATATTTATATATAGGTGTGTATGCATGTATATATAATTATATATACAGCTGAAAATGCCTTCAGAAAACGAATCCATTGAAGAAGACGAAGCAAGAATCGAGTGAATCAGTATCTTCACTGCAGCTAAACAAACATATATATATATATATATATATATATATATATATATATATTGTACACACATAGAGAGAGAGAGATTCCGCCCCAAATTGGAAGACAAAAAGAAACCCTGACATGAAAGAGAAAGTAGAGAGAGAGAGAGAAGGGGGAAGAGACTAGGGTTGCGTACCTCGAGAGTTGGAACGCCGAACACGACACGGCCCCGTTTGGAGCTTAGGGACCCGGTTGCCGGTGGATCCGCAAAAGTGATGATGAGAACTGAGAATTTAGCTGAATAATTGAGCCATTGAACAGTTTTGTTTACTTTCAGGTGTACACTAGTGTTTTATTGAAAATAAAATAAAACAAATACTAGTACACAAAATTAAAAATAAAAATTCTAAAAAAAATGACAAGGGCGTTCGAGATGACTCATATTACGGCTATGTCGGGACTCGGTACACTGGAAAAAGGAAAAAAGAAAAATAATAATAATAATAATAATAACATTAATTAAGAGAGCAAAGAAATGAAAGAAAAAAACCAAAAAGGAATGGAAGAAAAATAATACTGTAACTTGGGATGTTTGTTTAATGAAAGAAAAGAAGGAAAGAGAGTAATTATGTTTGGTTTCTAAAAAAAAATGAAAATACTTTAATGAATTTACAACATACTCATTTTTGTCGTTTCTTTTTTTATAGATTTTGTCATTAAGAAAGTTTAATTAAAAATATTAGTTTTTCTTTCTTTTTTCCTTCCATTTCCTCACATACTTTATTATATCCTCCAAATTACACTTTTTATCCACATTCAAACATTTTCCCTCTCTTTGAGAATGGCTTCTCCTCTCCTATTTGAAGATGGCAAGTTTTAACAAAGAACCCAATATTTAAATATTTGAGTTTATATTCCACTGTCAAAAAAATTTATAATTTGTGACTCGTTATTGAGACTCTGCCTATGGCGTGGTGGGTGAGATCTGCAATCATTTTTAAAACATATGAAAGTAGAAACACCCGATTTCAACACCACCTTAAAATGATTATTCAAATATCACTTTTTCCCGCCCCTAAAATTTCACGAGAACCCCAAATTCTTAGAAACACGACAACAAAATCTTTCGCAAGGCGTTGGCTCGGTGGCAGAGCCAAGGCTTTACAATGCTGGTGGTCTCCTGCACGGGCATTTTATGTTACAATGTTAGAGAACTCTGCTAGAAAATCGTTTCACTAGAATGCTTCACGTGTAGAACCATACACAAAATCATTGTGGAATCAAAACCTTACAAAAATAATCATCTCCGATGATTATCGTGACATTAAACCGTCGAAAAGTCGGATTGGTCCAACTATCTGATTACATGTCATTTTCCATCAATATTATTAGTGCTGTTCACCACATTCACAAGTGAAATTATATGAACACCTGTGGGAGGGAAAATGACGGGAAAATATTCTTCTAGAAGTCCAAGAAAACATTAAGATTCAGAAAATTAGCAGTTCTATTGATTCAAAAAGGCAATAAATATTCCTTCTCTAACATTCTCAAAAACAAAAGTTTCCCTATTTCTTTTTCCCCGATATAATTTAACTATTTATCCCAAACAAGAGAAGGCTAAATTACAATATGAAATCACACAAACGGGAAAAGTCGTCAACTATATTTTGTTGGCAGCTCGTAACCAGTCATAACTATTTTGTCACTAAACATCTTGCCGGTTTTGGGCATGACATGCCAGTGCAATGTCAAGTTAAAATCTTTTCCCCGGAGATTGCTTCCCTAACAAAGCAAAAGAAAAGATTTAAAAAGTTAACCAAGGAAAAATAATGGGCGTTCAAAGATGAAAAGGAGAGAAACTACTTCACAAAGAAAGCTCACCTGATCAGTGAAACGATACTTGTTTGGGGTATGAATCCAGAATTTTGCGTGCTCCTTGGAGGGTATGATTCCATCCCATAGGGATACCTGTAAAATATAATATTGAAATCAATGAGCCATGGACACAGTCACACAGTTTTAAATTTAATCTGCAATGAAACCAAAGAAATGAAACAATTTCAAATCACAGGCCTCGTACTATTGATGGTATACATATTAAGTGGTAGCAACGACTCAAGACAATTTAATCAATGGCTTGAGAGAGAGAGTAAACAAACATCAGCTCCTTGGGGTATAGAAATACCTCATAACCCTGCACTCAATAGACAAGCAACCTTGCCAGACATTTTGTTAACAATACTGCAATAAGCACCTGTATTTGCCAAAAGATCACAAAACAGACACATTTTTTCTATCGTATCTATACTAAAAGGTTAAAAATCTTCAAGTAATGCACATTTGACTAAGAAATGGCTTAATTTACTTCAGGGTAGAAATTTAATTATAGCTTATCATGAAATTATACATTAACCAACAGAGGTCGCTAAAGTACGGATGGGCAATGGGGCGGATTTAGGCTAATTTCCTAAACCCTATCCCATCCAATTTAATCATTGAGTAAACACATTCCCATCCCACCTCGGGCAATAATACAATAGCAATTTTTGAATAAAATGAGTGATCACATAATGTGGATGCTTGTACTTTGAGGTTCCAGGCAATACACTTCAAAAATACATCATGGCAGAGTGATTGTCATGGTACATGATCTGAATTTGGGTCCATAAAAGTGTCTGTTTAACTTGTAATTTTTGTAAAAAAATAGGTTTTATGACCCAAGGGATGCGAGTACTCAGACATGGAAACTCCCCTATAACGAAGCATGGAGACACAATAATTTATGTGTGTTAATGAGATGATTATGTTAAACATGCATTTCTTCGTTTAAGTATTTGTATGTGGACGAATTTTCAGTACTAAAAGAAGAAATAACTTCTTAAGCTAGGTTCAATATATATACATGTATATATATATGTATGTATATATATGCATGTATGTAGCATGTATGTATCTAAAAGAAGTAACAATTCACAGGGTCTTCTGCACATCTTTTAAGGATATAAAGGTTTAACCCTTTGTCAATGTATGCACCCCTTCTAGTGTTTTTTTCTTAATGATACTTGTAAGAGAGAAAAAGAAGGTTTGAACCTTAGCGAGTGACCAAACAAGACTGTGACACCCCAGGTGGCATATGTCAACCAGCTTTGAAACCACCTTCATATAACAATCTTCAATATTCAAATCCCCTTGGGGCCACCCCCAGAGATTTTTCCAGGCAATTGCCCGGTGCATGTAGGATGGGGGGGACTACATGTGCCCGGTTGTGGATTATGGGGTGCTTTAAGAGGCTCGAAACCACCATTGTCGAAAAAATAAAAATAAAAAATTTGTTAAGTTCATTCAAATAGACTTCCCATTTACCAGTGCTCTGAAATCTTCCCCTAACACACAAATATTCCACCAATTCAGGTTTCCAACAAATTGTACATTTTCAGTTGTTGGAATTTCCAAAAAAATGAAGTTAAACCTTACATGACAAAGATCACTTCCTGAGCCCTACCAAAAAACAATTCCATTCATCTATGCACGTAGCTATTCTGCCTGAATTTGAGCAAGATGAAAGACTGAAAATTCTGCATAAGATACCATCAACTAACAATGTGTTGATAGTACTATCATATGTAAACTACTTGACCTTTCACACCATCCTTGTTTGGCTCCCAAGCTGCTACATGGAAGCTAGCAAGTTTAAGCAAGGCAATTTCTTATACTTTATCTAACATATACAAGCAAAAATGCAAATGATTATGCTTACTTCTTGACACTACTATAGACAATAACTGATACAGCACCAAAGAAGCTGCCGCTTTTATCACGTCAAAGTCCTTGATATGATACCATTCCCTCCTTCCCAAGCCTAACACCAACATTCGACACTTACATCACAAGTAAAGTATCACCAATGTCAGCAATAAAATCTCACATCCTTATCTACTATTATGGCTTTCATAAAAGTTGTTGAAAATAATTTATTCCACACAAAGGAGTAGTTATAATTTGTTCTACCTGAAATAGGCCCAGAAGTACCTCATGGTTTGTGTAAAATCATGTGCCTTATTACAACACACATTCCATGGGTTCTAATGAATAAGCCTCGTTAAAACACAATCCTTTCTTTTTTCACTTTGATAGGTAAGACATGCATGCACAATATAGTCCCAACGTGGACTTGAACCCTCAACCTCCAATGTGGGAGGAGGAAGAGATACCACTTGGGCTAGGCATTGGTGGTAAGAAAATCCAATTTTAAGCATGGCAATTACAAAAATCTATTTTTCCTCTCCCTCCTCCCCGCCCTCCAAGCTGAAATATATGCCCACATCTTTTTTATTCTTATGCATGTATCGTTAGCACTCCATTAAATGCTTGCTTAACTGCTTAATAAGACCCCTGATCATATAATAGAATTTCTTGACTTCACCATTTAAGATTTCACCTAATAAATACAGTAAAGATAGAAAACATGTTAGCACCCAATGTTTTGCATGAAGCAATGGCCATGGCCACTGTGTTCTCTAGTGCCCCTAAATAGCAAGGTTGGTGAAAGAACAAGGCAAAGGAATGTCTGACCAACAATGCAATAATAAAAAGGGGGCAAGAAGTAACAATTACAACTTCTCTCCCACATGCACATGTATACTATACTATGCAATATGTATAAAGCTGGTGTATAAGTCACTCGTGGTTATAGCAAAGATAATGCCTCGAGCCAATGTTCGAGCAGCCCCCCTAAATGAAATGGCGATTCAAGCGATGCACGTCTCTTCTGCCTTGGAAAAGGTGTTCAACGGGAAAGAATGGAGCCATAATTAGATGACATGGTCATCAAAAGTTTCAGTAAAGAAGAAAAGATACACGCATGTGGTCAAACTATGGGGTTCAAGCAAGACTCGGAGGCTCTCTATCCGCGTGTGCCCGGTTTTGGCACAAAGTTTGACCACCATCGGAATCACTGATCAAAGAAAAGAAGCGCGCAACTTGATGATACTTAAAACCGGCGACCACAATACTCTACAATTCCAAGACCCGATCACACACAACATCAAGTTCAATTACCACCAACAGTCTACAACGGGGAGCCAGGGCTCGAGCAACATACCGTGGTTGATGGAACTGGCATTCCTCTAGCTACTCATCTTGGAAACTTTGCCGGTCATTGCTATGTGGTTATAGCACTCATAATCTAATACATCTCCACGTGAGGAAAATTGTGAATTGAAAACATTAAAAATGGAGTCTATGGATGAACAACCATACAAGCAGTAATACCTGTCTAGCAGGGTACATGTGAAACACAAACTGAATTTTGCCCCAAGACAATCTCAAGAAATTCAAATTTGAGGTATTATATAAAATTCAGTGCCACATTGAACTCACAACAAAAAGCAGATTCTGTCAGATGCAAACAAGCTTACCTGATTCAGAGCATTCTTAGGGGTTTCATATTCAGCTGCTAAAAATACAAAAACCTGCAAATAGGATATGAAAAGATAAATAAATTTCTAAACAAAATAAAAAAAATGTAATAAAACATTTGACTGGAATGAGACCGTGGTATTTTGGCCTTCTTAGAATTTGCACTGAGAATTTCCATGAAAAATCCAAACAAAACACTGATCAAACTCCCAAACCACAACACACCCACCCCACCGCGAAAAACGAAAATAAAAATTAAATAAAATAATAATAATATAAAATAAAATAAAAAAAACAACTGGCAAGTATCAATCATATTCAATGAAGAAAAAACCGACTCTAACATAAACACTGGGTATCTCTCAATAAAAATTAATAGTCAGCATCTATCTCAACAACATGTTCTTCTTGTCTCTTATTTTGATTCTCCCTACACTTGCACTTCCCAGGTTAGACAATAGCATAGAAGATAAACAAATAGTACAAGAATCTCTTCTTTTTTTTTTTTGATAAATAAAATGTATTAGAAAGCATTCATAAGGGGAACGCATCCCAAGAGATAAACAAGAAAAATATAAATCACAAGAATTACAACAAAACGTTTATTTTATACCAATATATCAAAGAGAAATCACAGGCATTGATGTAACTTGCTAAGCTAGTAGCCCACGGTGAAAGTATCAATATATCAAAAAAACTATAGCACATAACATACAAATATATCAGGAAGCAATGTACAAGTAACCAACCACAGAAAACAGTGCACCTAAATGCACATAGATTAATCTATACATAGACTCCTCATCGGGAAAATGAACTTGACGAAAGAATGTAAGAAAATAAAATTTTACCTCAGAAAAGATTTGATGCAATTTTTATTGTATTTTCTTATGTAGTTTCATCTGCTGCACTTTGCTCATTTTCAGAATATTGGGCCTATATTGTAATAATTTTGTAACTTATTCTTTTCTTTTTACAAGTAAGTTACTCACACACAAACACCCATTATTGCCCCTAAGGGGATTTAAACCCTTAACCTTCCATAATTCCATTTGTAACTTATCAATATCAAATCAATAACATTAACAAGATGCAGGCAATCGTGTGGTGCTGTTATTATCACCTTATGAAAATGTAAAGAACACAGAAAATAATGTTAATACTTGGAAGGAGAGTTACAGGTCTTAAGAAGCAACAGATAGAACAATTGTTTCATCTCTCACTATTATGACAAACGCAGCAAACCAACAACAAAACAAGGATCATGACAGACTAGTAAAAAAGCCAAACACAAAGATTTACGTAGTTCGGCAAAGCCTATGTCCACGGTAAAGATCCTATGAAAGATTTCACTATGTGCAAAAAACAAGATATTACAAGTTTCAGCCCCCAAACCCTAACTATCTTTGTCACTCTCTTTCATGCGATTATCCGTGTTCTCCCGTTAACCATTCCAAACACTAAACGCCCTTATATACTGGCCTACGAGAGCACTAAGCAAGGTCCATGACCCATAAGCAAAAACGGGTCAAAAATTCGGGCCGACCCAAGGTCGCATTGAAACAAAATTCGGGCCATGACGTCACACTCACATAAAATGATTTAAAGAGATTATAGCTCCATAATGATTCTCATTCTTCAACTTCTTCTTCATTTGTAAATTGAAGATGAAGAAGATAATCAGTTGACAAGTGAAAAACCCACATCAACAAAGTATAGGTCCTCACCAACGTATTTGTGACACAATAGAGGCACAAGTTGAAAATATGTCAGTTATATAAGTCAGATAATGAGTTGGCATTACTACTATTTGATGTGTGTCAAGATTCTTGACCTGACCTATATCCAGATAGCAAACAAGTGTGCAAATTGTTGCTTAAAAAGCCACACACACACACACACACACAAAAGGGAAAGAAAAGAAAAGAGCAATCACACCATTTAATCAAAGCTTTAAGAAGCATATTCTCAATAAATGCTAATTCCCTTACCAACATATATATATATGGGGGGGGGGGGGGGGGGGGGGGGCGCAAAATTGAAGATCCTAAACCAAAAATAACAACACGTCAATCAATTAACAAGCAAGCTATTGCAGCCAGTAACTAGGAATTATAATAAGTTCAACGTCGTTCCCATGAAAATATGTGAATTGAGTTGTTCATCTGTGTTACATTTTGTTCCATAGGGATTCAATAAAAACCAAAAAAAAAAATTGATATGCACAAGACTGGTGTCTTTAGAGTTTAGACTCATAAGTGGGACAAATTCTCTTTCAAACAATCTACAAGCGCCACCCCTCCCCCCGCCACAAGGGAAAAAGAAACAAAGTGGTGAAAAAAAATGCATTCATAGAATCTAATCAATAACTACAGAGTTAAAATTAAAGGCACACAAGAATATGAGCCACTGTAAAGTAACAAACCTGCTTCGTATTCCATGTAAACAATGACTGTAGGTTTGCTGATATATTCAGTGTCATGCTGACCTGCACAAAATACAGAGCATATCATTTTAAATTAAACCAGTAGCTTCAAGACAGATTCTTTATTCTCTTTTTTTTTTTTCCAGCATTTCTATTAGTACAAGGCCAGAAAGTGAACTTGTAACATGACAAGTACATACAATAGTATATGACCAACACGATAGCACCACCAAAAAAACCCACAACAATAATAAGAATGGATTTCTCTGTTCTTTTCTCCGGTAATGAGAAAATTCTGAACCTAGTACTATTAACCTTGAGTACAATTGGTATAACTCCACATTAGCCTCCTAAGTTTATCACTCAAAATTCTCTCATCCATCAAAATGTTTGATTAGACCATCCAGAACTTAGAGCAGACATTGATCTAAAAATGCATTAATCAGACATAAAAATTAAAGGATCAAGAGTGTCTATTGATAGACATGGTGGACAACAAACCTTGAGAGAAGTGTTTGTAGGTCAGTGGAAAAACATGCCCTTTAATTACAATAGCATAGAAATCTTCTCAGTGGTAGATGCTGAGGCTATAAATCATGAGTTTGATATACATATTTGATTGGCGCATTCTAGCATGCGTATAAAGCTGGGCCTTAGTGGTTTATCTAACATTCAAGGCTAAGTTATTATTGTTGAACTGAACAAAAGCAAAGACTTTAGGATCACTCAAATAAATTTCTCCTCTTTATAATCAACCCCTCACTCCCCCCACCCCCACCAACACACACACGTATTTTAGTGAAATTATGGCAAGGTCCTATATAACAGTGACAGACCAACATTTTGAAGAATTTAAAAAAACCAAAATTTGATTGTGCGCATCTAGTAAGACAATCTATGCATCAATTATTAAAGTAATAAACATATAAATCTCAAAATTCACAATCTTGCAATCAATTTTACTTCAATCGGATGATAAACCCTAAAAAGGGTCTCCACCAGTCAAAATCTTATAAATTCAACCATCTCGCAAGTAGATGGACTTAATGTAAATAATAAATCGATATATAAATATATATAGATATAGACATGTATCTAGAATTACCTCGTCATTTCCTTGTGTTGACATATGGAACCAATTGATGTTCAATACCTACAATCAAAAACACGCACAAACAATCGAATGGAATCGAACGATTAGGGATTGGGGAGGTACAGATCTGGAGGGAGATTTTTAGAGAGAGAAAGTAGCAGTGAAAAGTAGTACCTGGACTTGGGCGGTGGGAGAGGGGGTGTTGAGATTGTCGGAGATAGAAGCCATGGCGCATATTAGGGCAAGTATCGTTACGGCGAACGTTAGCAGAGCGTTGGCTCTGTACCCGAACGAATGCATCTTCTTCTTCGTCACAACCTTTCTTTGCCCTCCTTCACACTTTTATTACAAACAATTGTTATCTCTCTCTATGCACAAAAACGTCGATCTTTATACTATGGACTATATTGCAACGAGTGAGGACTGACTTCGGAGTTACAGGTCATGCAATAAATCACCAATCTTGGAAAATAAATACACACATTTAGAATATTTTGAAAATTTATTATTAATTGTTTTTTTATAAGAAAAAATGGTAATTTGAGCTCATTACGTAGGAATTTTTAGATAGTCCAGTCATGGTCATGGACTTATGTAAGAATACTAACCTCTTTCGGATTAAATGGTTTAGACGAATCAAAATTTGGCACTAACCTCTTTCCACCAATTAAAATTTGGTACCAAATTTTAATAAAAATTGACACGTTTGTTTGCATCTTGAATTGTGATTGGCTGGAACCATATAATGATCTCTCCTAATTTAGACCAATTCGAGTTAAATTCCAACCAATTAAACTTATAGGAGTCTAATGGGATCCAAACTTAATTGAAAGTTTAAGAAAATAAACTTCTTCGATTGAGTAAGTGTAGAATAAATGTGACGTGTTCGTGTTAAAAAATAATTTTTATTATAAATTATTTTAATAGCACGTGATTTCAATTAAACTTGTCTTGTAGTGTCTTGGTCTTGACCTATTTATTAGAGAAAAATGAGTCGCATTGGGTTACATATTAAATAATTTGCAATAAAAAATGTTAGATCTTAACTTATTTATTAGATAGATTAAATTAGTTATATTGTATTATTTATTTAAAAATATGTTCATAAGTATATAAAAATATTCATATAATACCACGACACAATTATGACATGAAAACACTGATTACTACCCTATAAAACTCATTGCATATTTAAAACTCAATTTGCACTTAAATTTGGACTGATGGTTTTTTGAAGCTTTGACCGAGCTCAAGTTGAACCCTAAATCCATTTAACCTGCTAAATTTTGTTTTAGGTGCTACTAGGTGCACTAGGCATGGATGGTTTCAGAATGGGCCGGACCTGCCCCCATTGACAACTAGTAATATAGCTCGGTCAATCCTGGGCTTGCTTGACTCAAGCCTATAACATCTAACCCAAATTCAAGATGAGTTTGTGCTATTTTGGACTTCATGGTGATACAACCCCTAATAGGTTGCTGACTCTATATCATGACCATTAGTTTCAGCCCATTTCCCAGTCACATGGATTTTTGTACTGGGCTGACTTCCTCTAAACACTATTCTTGGGTTTTTGAACCAATATCTGAAAGTTGCATCAACTAAGGATGGTTGGCCATGGGAGGTAGCTAGTACCAGCAGTTAAAACCATTTGTTGAAGCCGGATGTAAAGAAATTATTACATGAGATTATATAATTTGTCAATTATAATTTCACGCGTAAGTAAAAATTTAAATAAAATTGATACATCTACATATATGAGTTATGATTGGCCATTATCATATATTTCAGAATCATGTAATTGATGACGTGTAATTAGCAAGACATCTATCGTATTGTTTGCTATCTTCTTGTTTAATATGCATTTCTTATTATTTGTTATCTTCTTCTTGTATAATATGCTTTTACACATGTTTTACTTTTACCTGGTCTTCATTCAATATTTGAAAATAGTGTTTGAATGACACATATTGCCTTGATTTTGTTTGATGTGTTGGTGTAAAACGTAGCTACAAATGCACATTGAAATGTATGCGGGCGGACCTGGTTAAGGACGATGACCCCACTGGATTTTTTTTTATTTGCATTATTATTTATATTTTTTGTTAAAATTTTAAAAATATTTGTAAATTTTTTTAAAATGCTCTTTCTCAGTTGATAAAAATACCATACTTTACATTTACTTTCACTATTTTTTTGGATCTAACGATAATCACCTCTTTTTCACTCCCTCCTCAAAAAACTTCCTAGCTCCATTACCGTTAGTGCAGGTAAGAGGGGACCTCATTGCAGTCCTCTAGGGACACTTCACATCTTTAAAACTAATTCTTGGGATGTGACTTCGGCTGCTTAATTATTAATTCATTTCAATTGAATAATGGCATCACTCGCCTGAACCAGTGCATGTACCGTTTTATTTGAATATTTTTTATTTTTAAAGTTTTTAAAAAGTGTTTACACAATTAAAAAAATGCTTACACGAGTATTATTAAACCTCTCTTCCAAAGTAACGTGGGACGTCACATACATTTTCTTTTAGAACATAGTGTTCTCGCTGACATAACTTTCATGAACTTGTGCACGCTCTCCTCATTTTCAATAAAAGAATTGGCTCTGATACCATTCATTACAATCCGCCCAAATACATATACGCTCTTTATACTTACAAATTTTAAACGGATCTACAAAATTAGAAAAATATACACATATAAATGTCATACTTACAAATTTTAAACGGATCTCCAAAATTAGAAAAATATACACATATAAATGTTACCAAATCTCTGCGGGAACATCACAAATATTCTTATCCTGAACTAGCTTAGACACAACACGTTGAGTGCTGATTTATCGACTAAAGGATGGGGAGTGTACGTGAGAACAACCTAGTGGAGATGCACCACCTACCCAGTGAGAACAAAATGTTATTCAGAGATGGTGGGCCATGGGAGGTAGGGTCCAGCAGTTAAACCAGTAGCAGAAGCACCAGTTGTTGAAGGGACAAGTGTCTTAATTGTTGGCACATGCCCATAAACTCCTTGCCTAAGTACAAAAATTTCACGTACCATACAGACAAATTACAGTTCATTTAATCCAAGAAACAGCTGTTTGGTTTATACGTATTTATTTGGGCACAGACAGTACAAGCCTAGTGTCTCCTTTGGGATAGAAACAAGGCATGGCTTGTGGTTATGGTTCAACTCTGGATTTCCTTTTTTTGATAAGATTTTAAAGGTTATGATCTATTCTCTATCATTTCTTTATAACAACATATAAATGTGAAGTAATGCACTCTTTTTAACATGATTAGACAAGATGTGATACTTATTAATTAAATTCTACTTTAAATCCATTTTATTAGTTTCTTTTTGGTACAAATCATCTAGATTAATGCTGGATCTTAGCAGTAGATCAAAACATTATACTTGTAAACATACCCAATTGAGATGCGGCATGATGATCTAACCATATTAAGCAAAAACATAAAACGAAAATCACACATCACAGAAATACAAAGATTTGACATGTACCTACAGCTTAGGACAATGGTGAAGTCAATTTTCACTATTAAAAGAAAAAGGAAGAAGAACCTTACTTTGAGATTCCAATTGTACGAATGACAAAAAAATCCCAACACCCTTATATACCAAATTACGATAAAGACTGATCAGCATGATTAAGGCTGAAAGAAAATTCGGGCCACAATTCAACACATTTTTAATAAAGAAATTACAAACACCAACTTACAAAAACCATTACAATTTTACAGACACCATAAAAATATATAACAAAAAAGAGAGTACCCAATGACATGAACTGAAACTAGCTCAAACAAACTTCAATTTATGCCTCAGTTGCTCATTCTTTTGGGTAAATTAATTTTCAACCAAAAGCATGCTCATATCTCCTTCATAATTTGCAGAATGGAAAAACCAGTTTTTACAAGTCTCTCTCTACTTCAATTTTACAAAACAAGACCATGATACAGCAGGGCCCTAAAAGACCAATCAGATAATAATAATAATAATAAATAAATAAATAAACATCACCAAAGAGAGAGCTTGTGAATGAAGCCATGAATGTAATAGGCCAACACATAATACTCTGCTTCTGCTTTAACACCTTTAAATACAGATCTAAAGATACAACTACTTATAGCTAGTTAGGTACTACTACAATTTGATTACTATTATATCACACATTTGATGTAAAATTGAAACCATCACAACTAGTCTCCCTCAAAAAGAGTGAAGAAGTGAACCCCAACCTTGATGATACCAGATCAAATTGTAGAAGATTGTCCTCCAATTGATACCCTCCGAGGACAATGGAAGCACTTGGATTCAATCCTCCATCCAAGAATCCGAGGCACGCTACATCCTTCCCCATTGGCACCATTGAATTAGTCTCAAAGATCCTCCAAAACACTTCACTATTCTGCAAAATAAGATCTATAACAGGCAATGCTGGCCTCGCTAGACCCCCACTAGAGTCCTTTGTGCTAAAACAAACATCAAATGGCGCGATCGGAGCGACTCTAGTAACATTTGAAGCTATGGCCTCTTCAATAAAAATCTTAGTAAGAGATGTATATATAGAACTTTCCATGACAGTATATGGATTGACAGTGCTAATCTTTGTTCCACCAACGCCTTTGTTCTCGATCACTAACAAAGAAGAGTTTAAGGGCACTAATTTTGCATTTACCCTTAAGGATTTAATCCTAATGTAGTACTCATATGAACTATAAGGGTCACTATACTCACTACTATAAGTTATAGTATCGGTGTTTTTAGCCTTTACAATGAGAGGAGTGTAAATAAGTAACTTGGAAACATCAATACCAGGAAACAGAACATAAGGTCCATCACCAATGAACATAACACCATAGGAACCTGTTGTGGGGGAGAGGCACATTGCGAATTTCCGGCTGATGTTGAACTCTGCCATGAGCTGTGCCGGTAACCCTAGCCGGCCAAGGCCAAGACCAGCTATTCCCTTGGCTCCACTAGCAAGGCCTTCCGAGAGCAATTCTGGTGCACAGAGGAAGTGGAACTTGGGGACAGAGACCATCGAATTCGGATTCAGCCCATCGGTTGATTGGAGACTCAGAACATCCTCACTTAGGTACCCTGCAGAAACTTTGCTTGTGAAGACATTTTTGGAGTAGACAATGCATTTGTCATTGTTGCTGCACTTGGGTGTATTGCTAGAGATACAATGCTTGCAAGGTTTGTTGCCGTGGACTAGTGAGCAGAGAGGTGAGTGGCATTGAGCTGATCGATATGAGGAAGAATTATAGCTCGAATTGCAGCTGACCCACAGAAAAGGGCCACTGAGATCAATAACAAGATTGATGGGAACAAGAGGTGTTCTTTGGCTGATAAGGGTAAGGTATTGGTGAGTCGAGGCATGTTTGGAGATGGGAAGAACAAGTGCATTGGGTGGGATTGGTGTTTGGGATGAGGTGAGAGAGATTAGAAAGAAGAGGGAGAGAGAGAATAGAGAGAATTGAGAAGAAGCCATAGGAGGATGTCAAAGTTCAAAGATCTAGGAAGTGCAGTGAGGGGGTAGGGGTATTAATTTGGTGATGAAACATAGTACTTGTGGTTGAATGATTGTTGCTTTGTGATGGCAGAGAAAAAGATGGAAAAGATCATGTGATCCCATAAAGGATAGGTGCAACAATAAAAAGTGGTGTGACATTAATGCATGCTGTTTAGATTTTTTCTTACCATCAGAACAGCAATTACTACAATTTACTGGGACAACTGAGATGGACTTTAGCAGATGCAAGTTATTCTGAAAATACTTTTTGACCTTAACTGTGATAAGAGAGAGACACAGAAGGAAATGGAAAAGAACTTCTACACTTGCAAAAAAAAAAAAAAAGGAAAGCAAAAAGAAAAAGATAAAGATTAAAAAAAAAAAAAAAAAAAAAAGAAAAAAAAAAAAAAGAAAAAGAAAAAGAAAAGAACTAAAAGCACTTCTATGCTAGGTTTTCTTCTTTCAATAGTTCCATTTCCATCATACATCCTTGTGAAGTCCTCTCTAACTCTTTTCTGTATAAACATGTTATACACACACACACACACACACACATTTCTAGCTAATAATACTTTTAGTGGTAGGCAGACCTTATGTTTTACCAAAAATCAACAGAAATAAAGAGAAAAACTAGCAGGGCATATAAACTTGCATGGATCCAATCTGGTCTTTTATATAATTCAAGCCTCAATTTGTGAATAATTGTGGAGATTATTACAATAATATATACTGTATTTTTTATCGACAGCAGTTAAAATTGAACCCATAACCTATCACTTTCCCTTTAGATGTTATGCCATGTCCTGTAATGAACTACCATCTCTCATTCCCATGTACATACAATGCCTATGCCCTATAGTAAATTAAGTTTTAGAGCATGGGATTACTTCTTAAAAAGAATATAATATGGAGAAACCTAACTTTCAAAACAGTCATTTCTTTTATGTTGGAAAACAAGATTCTACAACTCAAGACATTAACACATAAATTTTACCGCATCAAGTCCAAGCAAAAACTATGGACAATAATATGAAGCCACACATATGAAACATTCAAACAATACTTAACCAAAAAAAAAAAAAAACATTCAATACAAATTTATAGAAAGTGAAACATAATGGACTTGAAAATTGAATTGGACAGTTGTTACACATTCATCCATTTGATACAAACTTGTAAGTAGATGTAGATACAATATTTTCTAAAGAAAGCTACAAACCTCACTAATGTTATCACCTTTGTATCATCAGATATCTTATGGAGTCATAAGAGCACATCATGAACAATTTCCTCATACCCAACCAATTACAATTCCCACTCTAAAATACACTTCAATATAAAAATAAACCCTAAGATTAACTAGGCAAAGTAAGAACTTTGAGAGGAAAGAGTAAGAAGCATTACAAAAAAGTTCCAAGTAATATAAGGCACATGATATTTGCAGCCTTGGACTCTTGGATAGAAGTGAAGCACCACACCATAAAGGCACAAACCTAACAGGGTAACACCAAAACAGTGTTGGGGTAGTCTGGCCAGTCACATAACACTGCAACTGCCAGTATTCTCATCACTAAAGAAGTGGGTGAAATTGTCGGTCACCGGAGGCTGCATTGGTGGCCCATAACTCACCGCCGGTGGCGGCCGCGCATACATCATTTGTTGGAACATATCATTCCCATTCCCATTCCCCCACCTTGGATTGCCTGGCCCCATCATCCCTTGATGGTATCCACTCCCCATCCCTTGATGGTATCCACTGTTCATTGCTGCCATCGCCGGCACTCCTTGCACTGCCGGAATATTCCCCATGTGAGCCATTGGATAATTACCCATCTGACCCCCATTCCTACCACCAGGCCCATAATTTACATCCATCTGACCCACATTTCTTCCACCAGGTCCATGACTGAAATCCATCTGACCCACATTTCTTGCACCATGCCCTTGACTGAAATCCATCTGACCCACCTTCCTACTACCAGCTCCATGACTGAAATCCATCTGACTCACCTTCCTACTACCAGCTCCATGACTGACATCCATCTGACCCCCCTTCCTACCACCAGGACCATGAGTGACATCCACCTGACCCACCTTCCTACCACCAGCTCCAAGACTGACATCAAAATCATGGAACCCATCTTGCTTATTGTTCATTTTTTGGTCCCCATCACATTTATCTCCCCCTTTCTTGCCCCAAAACTTCCAACTTTTTTTCTTGTTCCCATCACCACCAACACTTCCTTTATTGTCACCCTTATTTTTTCCTCCTCCATTTTTACCTTTCCCTGATAACTCACCACCATTTTTGCCACCATTTTTACCATTTCCACCACCCCCATTTTGATTTCCTCCCTTGTTATTCCCTCCACCATTTCCTTTCTTTCCTCCATTTCCATTCTTACCATCATTTTTTCCACCATTGCCCTTTACTTGCACATGAAAATCAATACTATCACCTTTTTTGACAACCCCACCATTACCACTCCCACCCTTCTTATCATTCATCATTCCCTTAGGCCCCCCATTGGGTCCATGGCCATGACCCATCATTGGCATCATCTTGGTGGGTGGATTATTATGACCTTCAAAACCAAAATCATCAAAGTCATCCTCATAATCATCCAATTCATCAAAATCATCATCATCAAAATCCTCATCATCAAAGTCCTCGTCATCAAAATCATCATCATCAGGCAAGTTGAATTTGACAGATTTTTGGTCCTTGGATGGCACTTTGAAGTCCTGGAATTGAGGCATGCCTTTAAAATCTTTAGACCCTTTGACATGATGTTGCATCTGTTGTTGGGCTTGTTGTTGGCCACCCTTGTGTTGGTCCTTTCCACCCTTTTGCAACTTCTTGTTGTCTTTCCCACCTTTGAAGTTGTCAAATTGCATGTTCTTGAACTGGTTATTGGGATGGTTTGAACCCTTTTGGGGTCCCCATAGCTCAGCATGTTTCCCTGACTTCACAAGCTTTTTTATAAGTGTGGCAGGATCAACATTTCCTGTTACTGTCACTTTCCCTTGTTCTACATCTATAGCGGTAGTATACACCCCTAGCCAAAAATAAATACCCAAAAAAAAAATATCAGCAACATAAACTTACAAAATAATCTATAGAATCTAACAAATCAAAATTCAAAAAGCAATTATATAAATACTGCCAACACTAATTCAAAATTAAAAATTAATGGGCATTTGTCCAGATGGTATGATCTCCCCCTCTACAAAGGGAGATCGAGTATTATAGTCTGAAAAATATATTTTTGCGGGTCGGTGGTGCTTGCCTGAACTTTGAAAAAAAATTTAAAAAGAAATTGTGGATATGTGTTTCTTTGTTTGTTTGAACTTTCAAAAAAACAAAAAGAGGAGAAAAAAAAATATATATATATATATATATATATATATATATATGAAGAATAAAAAAATGAACATGTACTAGCAAAAATGGTTAGAAAATAAGGTGACTAACCTTCAAGCAAATGAGGTGACTTTGAAAAAAAAAAAAAAAATTTGTGAGTATGTGTGTGTGTTTGTTTGAACTTTGAAAATACAAGAAGAAAAAAAAAAAAATTCAAAATATGAACAAAAGAAAAACATGTACCAGCAAAAATGGATAGAGAATGAGGTGACTAACCTTCAATTTTATGCAGCAGTTTCTTAACTTTCTGCTTACATCCATCGCACTCACAGTTCATATTCACTCTAAGAACACAAGTCTGTAATAGAAAAAGAAAACAAAACACAGAATGACAAAACAGAGAAAAACATTAGTCTTGGACATCTATTAATACAAAATAAGGAAGATTATAGGGAAAAATGTAAAAGAGCTAGATTTATATTGATTGTACAAAGGAAAATTACCTGCATCTTCAAGATGTCTTGTTTACTCATTCTTTTTGGCACAGTAATGGAAATCAGAAAGATCTGATTTTTGGAATAAATTGAAGCACTGAGGATGAGTATGAGACAGAGAACAAGGGTTTTTTTTTTTTTTTTTTTTTTTTGTTATTTCTTTTGGTTGGCTTTTCACTAGAGGAATTTAAGAGAGAGAAGTAATTGAGTTTGATGCTCTCACAGAGACACTGAGGATAGGAGATCACAATGTGAAGACTTCAGGAAGAAAACTGAAGAAGAGAAGTAGAGGGAGGAAAAGTGACTGGAAAGCATTAAAACTCTCCCACACACACTTTCAGCTTTGTCCCATATTTAAAGGTTCAGTGCTGTTATATATATATATATATATATATATATATATATTTAGACAGAGAGAGAGAAGCATTATCAAGGCAATTAAAGAACTCATCATCAAAGAGAAAAAGAACTAGATACGGGTTGGTTTCATTACACATAGTGCTGTAAATCACATTCACATAATTAAATTTATCACTGACAACTAGAAGACTTTTGTGGAAGATATTTAAGATGAGTTGATCAATGATTAGTTTTTTGTTTATATTCTACCATGGTCCATGAGCAGCTCACTGGGCCCATGTATTAGCTGGGTTACTGTTACCCCAAATCATTTTGGCTAAGGACCTGGATCCTCTTCCCCACAAGGTACCTCACGGGGCAAATTCAAGGTCCAAGAATCATTTCATTATTGATAATTCACTTGTTAAAATGAGTTTTTTTATACTTTAATAGTGAACACTAATAAAAATGGTGAATTTTTTTACTACTGTGGTAAAATTTCATCTTGGAATAATGACATTTGAAAGAGAATAAGATAAAGTTTGCATAGGCAACACTGAGACAAGAATGTGTTATTGAAGAAAATTTTGATTGTTTGACTAATAGGTTTGTTTTGCAACATGCTATGCTAAGTTGAAAATTTAAAACTTGTTTGGTTCAATTTCTTAACAAATTTTTAGAGAATTCTAAACCAACCCCCCCCCTACCCAAAAAAAAAAAAAACTCCAAAATTAGGGCTTTTTCCTTTTTGTTTTTTCTTCTTGCTCCCTCATTCTTAGTAAATTATTTTCAAATTTAAAAAACGTAACAATTAAATTTCAACTATTTTTTCAAGTAAATATGAAAAACTTTTCTCAAATTATTTGCCCAAATACCCCTCTTTAACTTTACCAAGAAAGTTATTTTATGTTGATTTTACAATCATTTGACAATCCTCCTAATCACAGTAATTACTCAAACTTATATCCTCTTTCTTTTGACTATTTTCATCAACAAAACTGTCGCACTTTGATTTTAGAACGATTTTTTTAGGACAAGATTCTGCAAGTACAAATAACATGCTGATATTTAAATTATTGATATATAAACCGAACGACTCTCAGCCGCTAAACATACATTGTGGGAAAACGAAATGTTTTCAACCAATGGGAGCCGAATAACCTTTTCTGATATTTATTTCATTTCTCATATTCAAAACATGTTAATTTAAGAGAGACTACATGAGTGGTATAAAAAAATAAAAAATAATAAATTAATAAAAAATAAAAATTAATAAAAAATAAAAATTAATAAATTAATAAAAAATAAAAAATAATAAAAAATAAAAAGTGAGAGAGAGAGAGACATCATGACATTATGAACTGCACCTCATTGTAGCATTCCTGTTTGTCAAATTATAGGAATTGAAATCATGGCATGTAACACGACTTAATCCACCAAATCAGGATAGCAATAGATGGTCACACACCACTGCTTCTGCTAACTAAATTCCACTTCTTACACCTACCATTTACCAACCAAATATCAATAAAATAGTCTATTTAATTATACATATTTGGCCATTTATTTATTGAAATAATGACATTTGGTATGCACTTTCCTAAAAGGTGAAATAATAGCGTAATAGCATAGAATGTGGCAGCATGTAAATTACTAAAGCCATCTTCTAAATATGCCCATGGGACACACACACACACACACATATATAATGGTAGAAATTTTATATTCTTATTTCTGTTCTAGCGAATCTAGCATATCAATTTTTTTTATTCTTTTATTTTCACAAGATCATGAACTCATATTTTAATGCAGATATTCAAACCTGAAAATAGTACGGTTCTGATTCTGCAAGAGAAAGAGAGGGGCTCCATACATGCAGAACTGATCTATCCAAGGGTGTTGAAAAGACAACACTACCCTCTACTCACAGAACACCTTTACAACCAATAGGGGTAAAATTGTCTTTTGACATAGAAAGGGTATTTTTTGTCATGATACGAGGCGCCCAAACTGAATCATCTCGAAATTACCATAATACCCCTTCTGATACAGACGCACGCTAGAGTCAAATCACAAGAGTTAAAAAAGTTGTTCAACAATAATTTTCTGTAATATATGGACCCTTCTTTTGCAACCAAATTATTGTCTCTCCATCTTAAAAGCCCAACCCATGAAGAATATGTTGTCCTTCTACTCCTCCCTTTTTCTTTCATAGTGTGTCCCTTTGCCTGCAAAAGTGGTTTGAATGGCGACAAAAAAGAACCCCCCACCATAAGACACAAAACCCAAATATCTATTCTCACTAAATATACTTTTTATGATATAGGTCGGTCACAAAAATGGCTTTTGTAATATAAATAAATAAATAAATAAAATTGATTAATGCACTTTGTTTAATACAATATGTAATGTGTAATGGTATTGGTATAGTTATATCATTGAGCTAGTTGAGTTGGGGTGGGGTTTTATGGGCTTTAGACCCTCGTGTAGGGAAGTCAATGTCAAGTCTTGTCTTTCCTAAATCATTCCACTAGGAGATTTGGAATCCCACTCATCTTTATAATTTGAAGGTTTAAAAATTAAATTAGTTGATGCTTACCCAAGCAATAGGATTTTATTCTATTTTTTTTTTTAATTTTTGGTAAGATAGAAAAGTTGATCAAGGAACTATAAAGAGAGCAACCTACGAACACTTCTCTTATTCCCATTTATTTATTTATTTATTATAATATTTTCTTGATATTTTCGAGTACTTATAATCTTAACCGCTTCGTTTAAATGATGTATCGAACATTAGGCATTAATAATACATTAAATAGGATTGCAAATGAATTGAATTGTTCATCAACAATTTGGACTCGACTTAGACTCGTTTGTTAAATAAATAAGCCGAATTTAAGTTCAATTTTTAAACTCATTTATTAAATGAGCCGAGCTCAAGCTCAATTTCTAAATTTGTTTACTAAACGAGCCAAACTCAAGCTCGATTTCTAAGTTGTACGTGTAAGCTTGTGTATACTTGTTTATGTTCATGAACATAAATACGTGTAAGCTCGTTTATGTTCATTAACTGTAGGATAGTTTACATTTATTTTTATTTTTTTATGATTTTTTTTAATTTTTAAAAGTAAAAAATAAATATACAATAATTTACTAAACGAGTTGGCGAACTAGAAAACAAGTTAGAACAAATTTTGACTATAAATTCAATTTATTTTCTTAAATGAGCCGAGCTCGAACTTTTAAAAATCATGATGAGCTCAAGTCCGAATTAAGTTTTTTAAGTTCAAGCTGAACTATAGACAAACGAGCCCGAGTTTTAACAGCCTAAGACTCGGCTCGGCTCGGCTCATTTGTAGTTCTAATCCTAAAACTTGTCATCCCAACAAACATGATGGGTATCAAAATTGTTTTATTCGTGACAAATTTTTACTACGAGCATGAATTTTGAATATACATATATATATATATATGTATGAATTATGAGTTTAGGTTATGTGACTGATGCCTATCACGCCCATGGCCATGTAGACATTTTTGTAACCTATGTCAATTTAATTTGAAGTCGTGAACTTCATGAGAAAATATTAAGGATTCATTCAACAATAAAGAAAAGCATCACAAGTCAGGTGAAACATTTAAGGTAGATTCGTCTCCCATCATCCCATGCACCACAACATTTGAATAATGCTTATAGATCTTGTGATCTAAACAATAGCACTCCAATACAATGAATCCACAAAACACGTGAAATCGATCTGTCCAATTATGAAAGTAATAAATGAAAAGTTTGAACAAACAATTCTTAATAAGGAATACAAGTTCTTTACTATATGTGTTTTTTTTTTTTTTTCCTCCCAAAGGCCTTATTTTGAAAATATTTCAAAATAATATGTTGAAACTTTAGGCTGAATCACATTTTAATATATTACATGGGTTATAATGCTATTACTTCGAATTTCAACAAAATGATTTAAGTTATAAAATAATTATGTTGAATCAAGGTTCACTGCAACAAAGACTTAAATAAATTTTTACACAATAATTTTAAATCTCAAAATAATTAAATTAAATTACAAATTAATGTGTTAGTAGAAAAGAAAAAGAAAAAGAAAAAGAAAAAGAAAAAGGAAAAGAAAAAAAAACCGTAACGAGAGGACAGTGGTAATAACCAAAGCAAGCTATTGATCTGGGTAAGACAAAATAGGATAGGGACAGTGAATACTCTTTAACCTTTATGACAGTGAATATATATATATATATATATGTATTCATAGTTTAAAGGGACTTGACGATCAATGTTGTATCCATTAGATGACAGACATGACAGTCAATGCGGGCCGGGGTTGAGGGAACAGTGGCCTTATGTCGGTAAAACATTACGCCCATCCCAACTTATTAGTTTCTTTTCACCATTAATCATAATTTCTATTTTCTAAGACATATATAATTAATAATTATTGTCCATTTTCTATAATTTTCAACCACCCATTTGAAGTTTAAATATATATATATATATATATTATGGGAAAAAAATTTAAAATTAAATTGTAACTATGGAGATATGAATTTATCATATTAACCTTTTAAATTAAAAAAAAAAAATAATAATAATCTAATAATAAAGACTTTCCTATCACATTTTTGAGGTTAGATAGTTATAATTTTCTCACCTCGCACGGTTGGCCTAGTGGGTAAGACTCGGATCTTGGTGTCATGAAGAATTAGATCTCACCTTTGAACCTCTAAATAAGTAATTTTTGTGAGTGTACCTATACAGATTAAGTTGACAAAGTAAGTCTAAACTTGTCCAGTCTTACATATGGAATACCTCCCCTAGAATTTTTACCCCTATAATTGCTCATACAGGCGGACAGAAAGTGCTCTAAAAGAGACATCATCGCTTTCGTGGACCAAAAAATAAAATTCAAATAGTATTTTGGAAGTTAAAAAAAAAAAAGATTTAAACTACACTAATACTAGTAAATTAGAACAGAGTTGTAGTTTTGACTGTGAGTTTATATTGTAAACTAAGAGTGACAACATATCCATCAATCACTTTGGATTTGGTTACAGTTGTGTGATTTTACCTACCTCTTTACCAAATAAAGGAAGGGTCATGTTTTTGTTACTTTGGGGAAAAAATAAGAACAATGCAATAATAATGCATCTTTCAATATATATCTATATATGTACAT